AAAGTTAATAATTTTAATAGTTTTAATCCTTTTATTTTAATATTAATAAAAATATTTATTAAGCTTTAAAAGTTAAGGAAATTATAAAGTAAAAGAGTGATTTCTACTTTAAAACTCTTTTATTATATATATATCCTTAACTTAACTTTAATCTTTATATTTTAAACTTCTATTAAAGTTATTAAAGAAGCTTTTAATAATTAATAATTAGTATAATTATAGATAAATACTACTATTATATTTTAATTTAATATAAATATTATACTTTTATATAAATTTCTTTAATATATATAATATATATATAGTTTAAAATATATATTTTATTTATTTAATAAAATTACTTTAAATTTATATAAAGTTTATTATTTACTATTATTAAAAGTAGTTATTATTTATAAATTTTAAAATATATATATTAAATTAATTAAATAAATTAATGATTATTATTAAATTTATAATAATTAATACTATTATATTTTAAATATTTTAATTTTATTTTAATTAAATCTTTTAATAATATTAAACTTTATATAAATATTATTTATTATTATAGAGTTATTTATAATAAAGTAAGTTATATTTTCTTTTATATGGTAGATATATTACCTTTAAAGTTATACTCTTCTCTTAAGGGTTATTACTTATTATAATAAATAATATAATATTTAATTAATTTTTTATTTTTATTATATAGGTATATTAATTATTAAATTTATAATATATTAAAAAAGTATAAGTTAATTAATTAAATAAGTAAATTAATTATTAATTCTATTTAAATAAGTAATTAGGAGAAAAGATCTATTTTAATATAAAGTTTAAGATAACTTTTATATTTAAGTAAATAGTATTATTATATATAATTTCAATAAATAATATAATATATTTAATTATATCTTATTTAATTATATTTATATTATACTTTATATCTATATTTAAATAAATAATTAATTATATTATATTTATATAATTTTAATATATTTTATAACTTTTATATAATTTATATAATAAATTATTTAATTTATTAAGTTATAAATATAAATAAGGGTATAAGTATAGTTTTCATTACTATTAAAAGTAGTAATAAGAAGGGATTATAGTTTATAATATATTATTAACTATAGGAGGAGGACTAATAACTTAATATAAAAGTTATAAAAGTAAGAAAGTATTAAAGTTATAAAAGATAAAAATAATTATTATAATTATTATAAAGATTTAATTAATATATTTATAATTAAGTTATTTAATAAAAGTTTATATATAATCTATATAATAAATATAATTATAATTATATAGTTTTAAATATTTTAAGGATTATATAATTATAACTTAATCTCCTTTAATAAAGTTTTAAATATTTTAAGGACTTTATTATAATTAATTATAATATAGGTATTACTATTTATAAGAAGAGTTTTAAATATTTTAAAACTCTTTTATAATAATAATAATAACCTACCTTTTAACCTTATTATTTTATAATTATTAAATAATTATTAATTAATATTAATTAGCTTTTATATATATATATAAGAGGAAGGAAGATTATTTATAATATAGTTATATTTATCTTAGTTATATATATTACCTCTTTAAAAGGTATAGTAAAGCTATACCTAATAAGGTAACCTATTTAATATACTTACTTATATAAGTAGGTATAGCCTACTTACTACTATTAACCTATTAGATTAACTTAATCTATAATAGTATTAAATATAATTTATAATTATAAAAGTAAATTAAATATATAATATATTTAAATTAAAATATAAGGAATATTTTATTATAAATTATAGTTTTAATATTAATAATAACTATTTATATATATTATTTAAGTATTCTATTTAATTTATAATAATATAATAAGGATTTTTAATAAATAATTCCTTATTAATAAAATAAGTTAATTATAGTTTTATTAATATATTTATTTTATTATTAAAAGTAAATATTTTAACTTTTATATTAAATTATATTTCTACTATTATTAAAAGTTTTAATAATTATAGAAATATAATCCTTCTTTTAATAAAAAAATTTAATAATATTTTATAAAGTTATTAATAAGTAATATAAAGTATTAAAACTCTTTAGTAATCTTATTAAAAGCACTTTAAAAATTTAAGTAAATAATTTTAAATAATACCTCTAATTTCTATTCTAATAGTAGTTTTAAATATTATTAAATAAATTTTATAAACTTATAAAGTTTATAATTAAATACTTTTAGTTTTATTAAAATAATATTAGTATTAATATATAATTATTAAATAAAAGTTTTATTAATATTACTATATTTAAATACTTTATAAAATTCTTTATATAATAAAAGGGCTTTAATATTTTTATTATTAATAGTTTAAATCTTAAAATTCCTTTTAAAATTTTATTTATATTACTTTTAATTTATTATTTTTAATTATAAGAAAATATTATTTCTTTAAGTATTTAAATAAAATTAGTTTTAAATTATAATTTAATTAAATAAATAAATATTTTTAATTTTTAATTATAAAGTATATTAATAAAAATATTTTTAATAATTAATCTATTAGGAGCTATAAAAATATTTATAATATTAACTCTTTTATAATAAAATAAGTTCTATTAATAATAATAATTATTCTATTATATAATTAAAATAAACTAAAATCCTTTATATATTCTATTATATATTTTAAAGTATTTAAATTAAAGATCTATAATATTTTATTTATATTTTTAAATAATAAAAGTTTTACTATATATATTAAAATATTAATATAAAATATTATATTTTTTATTATTATTAAAGATTTTATTATATTATCTTTTATTTAATTAATAATAATTTATTTTTACCCTTTTTTACTTTTCTTATATTTTACTAACTTATTATAATTTATATATAAATAGCTAATAAAAGTAAGATTATAAAAGTAATATTATATATATTCCTTTTATTAAATTTCTTTAATAAGGAGTTAAAGTTAGTACTAAATAATATAAATTTCCCAGGCTTTTTAGTACTAGTTAATACTAACCTTTTAAAAGGTTAAAATATAATAGCCTTTAATTATTTAATTTTTAAATAAATAATAATATTTAATATTTTAAATTTAATATTAAAAACTTTAAAATTTTATAATTATTAAAATTATTAATAATATTATTTATTATATTAAGTAATATTATAAAAAAGAATTTTAATTTATTATTTTAAATAAAATTTTATAGATTTTATTATAAACTAATTAAATATTAAAGTTTTAATAAAAGTTTTATTTAAAATTAATAAAATAAATTAAAATATTTTATAAATTAAAACTATTTTTATAATATAAATTAATTAATTAATAAAATAAATAAATAATTAAATTTTTAATATTATAATTAAAATAATTTTTAAAGTTTTTAAATTAATAAAAGTTTTATATAATATAATATATATTATTAGGTTAAAATATATAATATTTAAAAATATAATAAAACTTAGTTATTTTATTTTATTATTTTATAAAGGTTTTATTAATAATAGTTTAGCCTTTATATTAGTAATAATTTTATTAAGGTTTATAAAGTGGAAAGCTTAATTTTAAGTAATATATTAGTTAAAATAATTCTTTTTTAAATTAAGCTTAAATAATAATAATAAATTAAGCTTAAAATTAAAGTTAAGTATTTTAAATAATATTTAAATTAATTTAAATAGTTTTAAATTAATATTAATTAATATAGAAAATTAAAGTAAAAGTAATAAATTATTATAAGTTATATAAAAGTATAATATTTATTAAAAAATATAAATAATATTAATAATTTAACCTTATAATAACTATATTTTAATAATTTTTAAATATAAAATAATTTAAAATTAATAAATATTAATAAAAATAAGTAAGTAAAGATATATTAAATAATATTAGGCTTATAATCTAATAAGTAATTAATATAAATAATAATTAGTTAATTAATATTAGAGAGAAGTCTATAATCTCTCCCGGCGCTCAGAAGGAGCAGGTATAAGTGTTAGTTAGCTTAGTCAGCCAGACCCGACCGTGCCTTCCAACAGGGTTGCCCTTCTCCCTTTCTTACCCCTCCCTTGCCTCCAGAGCCTACGGCACGTCGCATTTCTCTTCAGCTTACAAGAAGAGGACGCAGATATTTCCCTTAGTAAGCGACTTGTTGTGGTAAAGTTCAAATTCATTGGTGTGGCTGGAGAGACGCATTTTGGATATGACATCTTGGCCTATCAAGAAGATAACATGGGTACCTAGGTAGTCGATAACTGCGCGTATTTTCTGGAGCGTCCTGAAACCTATCTTCTAAATGGTGAATGTTCTTTTTCAACTGGTCTGCGGTAAGTTGGATAGGCCGCTTTACCTATCCAACTCACTAGCGACCAGCATGATGGCTTCTGAGTAGATTGAGTTGCAGAAACAGGATAGTTGAATGAAGGTCATTGGAAAATCGCAGCAATATATCAGCTTTGACCGGGACCGGCTGGTTTGCGTCAAAGCTCATGTCACCAACACAACCGCATTGCCTAGGTACCTAGGTAGACAGATATGGCCCAAAGCTGAGACGAATGGATATTTCGAAATGACAACTTGTAAGAGGATACCAGTCTGTAAAAGTAGATTGGAAGGTTGCTGATGAAAGCCGACATAGAAAAGCTGACTGTATTCATCTAACACAACATACTCATAAGGTACTCGAATTAAAATTGGCATTGCCGCGTAATAGAAGAACCCAAAGAATACAATTAATCTATAAACCTGCTATGCATTCCTACCCCGGTAATGTCCACACTACCAACACATCGCCGTGGTGATTCCAAAAACATTCCATGGCCCAAAGCGAACGTAATAATGCAATTTTCGAGGTGAACGACAGACACCAAATATTACAAAAACCCGCTCCGCAATTAATGAAACCCAGCCGCGCAAAATATCTACCCAGGGTATCAAAAGGTACTCACGCACCAAGCCCCCCACGCCCCTCTCACGCCCCTCTCACGCATTCGCGTTCCTATGCTCAGCCTCCTTAGCCGACTGCTCCCAGTCGGACCGCGCGAGGTACCACAGCTCGACGACGCTGACGAGGGCCAGCCCCAGCGTGACGCCGAACCACAGGCCCAGGAGCTTCCAGCCGAGCCCGAACGCGGTGCCGAAGGCCAGCGGCAGCGCGACGACGTAGTACGAGACGAGGTTGGCGTAGCCGCCAAACTCCTGCTTGCCCGTGCCGCGCAGCAGGCCGTGCGAGATGGCGGCGAGGCAGTCGAAGAACTGCATCACGGCGCAGATGGGCATCGTCTTGGCCACGAGGTCGATCACGTCGCTGTCCGAGGTGAAGAGCAGGGGCAGCTGGTACCGCAGGGTCGAGAGGATGGTCACGTTGAGGACGCCGACGAGGCACCCGGCCCAGAAGGCGACCTTTGCGCACGTCTTTGAGGCGTCGACCAGGCCGGCGCCGATCAGGTTGGCCACACGTGTCGATGATGCGATGGCGATTGGGAAGGGGATCTGGAATGTGGTGGACGTGATCGTGATGAGGATCGATTGTGCAGCTAGGTAGGTCGAGCCGAATTGGCCGGTTGCGAGTGTCAGGATCTCAAAGGCAAACCACTCTGCTTCGACCATGATCATCCCGGGGATTGAGAGGCGTATCATCGGGCCTAATAGAGGTTAGTATGACAATCTCAGAAGTAGGCATGGGAGTAAAAGGCTCACCCCAGTTAGTCAGTGCGCGCTTGCTGAACCCTCCCCAGCATTGCATCCCGTCCACAAAGTAGACGTATAGGAAGAGTAGCATTGGCAGCAGGTTCTGAGTGATGGCAACCGAGATCGGTGCCCCGACAAATCCCAGGCCAAGATGCCAGACAAAAAACCAGTTGAAGAAGGCGTTCAGTGGTGCCGCGATTAGCAGGACGTATGTGGTCGCGTGGAAGAGACCCTGAGCCTGCACAAAACGTTTCCCTCCCTCAAATACGATAAAAGCGGGAACACCAAGGAGATAGATCTTCAGGTACATGCCAGCGAGTTCTGCTGAGCGGTACTCTGGGATCATCATGGCCAGCAGCTCCGTGGAATACATCCACAGGACGATGAGCGGCAGGAAGAGGAGCATCAGGAAGCTGATCATCCGCTGGATTTGCAGCCCTACGAGGTGCTTGTGGCCGGAGCCGTAGGCTTGAGCGCAAAGCGTGTCCAAGCTGGTGGCCAACCCCTGGAAGGGAGCTGAGCAGGTGATGTTGGCTGTCATCGTTGCCACTGGATATGTGTGAGCCGTTATCCCGGAATCATTTCAACCAATTTCAAACTCACAACTGATAGCACCGAGCTCGATCGTGCCAATACGGCCGACTGCGAAGATGCTGGCGACATTGATAGAGTACTGGAGGAGGAATGTGATGATCAAGGATCTCGAGTAGGTTGCGATCGTCTTGGCTTCTCTCTGCCATGTCGTCTTGAGCTTGCCTGAGGCCACGGCAGCCTCCCACTGCTCATTCAGAAGCCCATCCGCCGCCGGAGGGACCTCTCCGTTCCTGCTGATCTGGGCCAGCAAAGGCGCCGTCTCGGACACAACGCGCGACAGAGGTGCATCCTCGTCGTCGTCGTCTGTGAGGGGTACCTTGGTCGAGAATAGCTTTTTGTAGATCCGGCGCGGGAGACTCTCCTTCTCAGGCACTGGATGCTTCGGTGGGAGGATGTGATTATCCCTCAAAAGGCTGAGCTCTGCATTCCTGGACTGTTCCCATTCCTCGTGCGTGAGCACGGTCGATGCTCCTCTGGGCCCCAAGGCTGGCCGGGTAGTACCATACGCGACTGCGCTCGGCCTACGATACATGGCAGGTCCATGAGACTCCTCATCTGAAAGGTCATCGCCGAAGGTCGAGGTGAGATCGGCCTCACATTCGGAGTCTTCCTCAAGATCCCGCCTTAGCGCCTCTTGAGCGATAGGCGAGCCAGCCTGGAAGGAGGCTGCCAAGGACGATGCAAAATCATGGGCATGGGCATGAGACGGTGGGTTCGACCGACTGCTGTCATTGCCGGTTGGGATGGGCTTGCTGCCGGCCATTTTGCCTGCCCTTCTGAGTCTTGGGTCTCCGCCGTGGAAGTATATAATGTGTGAATGACGGGAAGCCAGAAAGATGTAAAAACCTGGGGATGGCAATTTTTAACAAAACCGGGTGCCCAGGCCAATTCCGCCGAGGGACGTTCGCCACTAACAAGGACCTGGGTAGTAGTGTGACAATCAATAACGGGGTGGTATACGTGCTAATAAAGGGCGCCAGAGCCGTAGTCCAAGCCAGCAAGCACGATGTGGTGGGCAAACCAACGGAACGACTAACAAGGGCAAGGCAGTCTCTAACACAGCCAGTAGGGCTGACAGACAAACGGCCTTGGTGAAGCGGCGGAGGTCACGACATGTTATGGGAGCACGGGAATGAGTCGTGTAGGGCGGAGGAGGCGGTGGTGACCATGATATGACACATTGGGAGGGATAAGCCGCAGCCCGCAACGGCGCACATGTGGGAGCTAAGGAGAGATATCGGAGCAGTGGTGCGAAGATCCACATGCACCCAGGGTAATGCAATGCAATGCAAATGTACGAGAGCGGCGCGCAAGACGGATGGGCCATGAGCAATGGCGATACCGCACTGTAGGTAAGCAGCAGACAACAGACACAACGGCGGCCGGGACTGGCTTGACTGGACCCGCCTGGGACCACCCAGGCATAAGGACCACGAGCCGGGTGACCCTTTATTAGGAAACATGAGCGGGCTGGCGGGCACTCCTGGCACTGGCCCAAGGACCCAAGACGAGATCCCTTCCCCACACCATGGTCAATGGGCTGTCATGGGTTGATGGGCCCAGATCCATGATCGCCTCGCTTCCGCAGTGGGGCTGCTGCTGGCAAATGGCACCAGTCGACCAGGCCGTGGCTTACTTCGGAGCCTGTGGGGATGGATGTTGGTCGTCTGAGAAATCCGGGAATCAGGATAGATAGGTGATAGGCAAAAAAGCACCAGAACTAGCGGATAGGCAGCGCTAGATGGCTAGCTCTTGTTGACGGCTCAATGATGCGGCCAGTCAAGTGAGGTCATTTGTCCTGCCTTCTCACCGCACCGTCTGGGCGGCTCAGAACATGGGTGGCATGTGCCGTATCTTTCCGGTGCCGGCCATCTGAGGAGATGTGGTTGTATGACAAGACTTGTTCGCACGGCTAGCCGTCGCTGCGTCGCCATGGTTTGCTCTGGTGGCACTGATCTGTGGTTGCTCACCCCGGATTGCCGTGCGTGGAGTGTGGTGGCGAGACGAACTGGCGAACCAAAGCATCTCAAGGCTGAGTAAGGTGCATTAGGAGGTGAAGGCGCACAGGTAGTGGTGCACATAGATCGGAAGGCGGCCCCGGCCGAGTACAGCATGCGCGACAAGTAATTTGACAGGGATGCTGAGGTGTGTCGGTGTGTCGAATGACGACGCCACAACCGCCGAGGTGCGTAGTCGACGACGTCCTCGACTAGAGTGCATCGTACTGAGACCTGTGAAGGATGGCAGTGCAATGTTCGAGAAGGAGGCTTGTGGGAACAATCAAGAAAATTGATGATGCTGAGAAGCGGGCCTGACTTCCAGTGTCTTTTGCGACAACTCCGCGTAGCATAACCTCCTATAGCACAAGCCTTCCAGAGGACAGGCATCCTACTATTGGACATGCTCGTATGAGACATCCTCCCTTGCATAGGACAGTCGCCCAGTCGAGCAAGAGCACTTGAGGGGAGTCGACAAGATTGATGCTGGGGAGCGGGTCTGGTTCCGTAGCCGGGCAGCCCCTCAACCGGTCCGACCTGCACCTGCACCCGCACCTGCCTGCACCAACAGGTCCCCGCCATCCCAGGCACGCAATCACGCAATTCCACAGGCAAGAGCCATTGGCCTATCACAGCAGACTGGCCGTCTCAAAACGGAGGCATGTGTGGATGCCGTAGTTTACAGCCTGACTGACATCATCCACCCACTGTACATATCCTCAGCCTCGTCAAGGTTTATAGTCTCTTTCTTCGACAGCCCAGGGACTGAAAAGAAGAATCGGATAGCCAGCTGGATCAGTGTTGACCAGGAAGAGTGTGACACATCACAGACATAGCCGAACCGCCTGCGTCTGCCGACCCGTAGCGACAGCCGCTATCGGGACATCCAGCTCGAGCTCCAGCCGCTATCGACAGGACGTCACGAGCACGCGATAACCAACGACGAGTGGCGCAATCAAGCCTACCAACTGAACAAATGAAGCCATGATGCGGATGGACCCCAGCCCGACTTCAATCCCGCCATCAGATAGACCCTAGACCCTTCAAAGTCATTATCCCCAGGATGAGGCTCTGCTGCCCATATTGCCTGGTCCCCACATTCATGTAGTAAACCTTAATTGTCCATCCGACCATTTTTAACCTCACTTAATAAGGGACCCCTCATCTCATAATATACTCACTCACTCCCGCCAACCCCCGAACGCTTTTCGGGGACACCAACATGGCCGACATCCGCGACGAAGAAGACGGCACCTTCTGCGCCGTGAGCTGCTGCAACACGCTCAAGGAGCTCAGGCGGCCCGTCGACGTCGACGACCTGTTCGACACGGGGTATTACTAGTAAGTTGTTGCCATGCTCAACACACAATGTACCAATCAATCTACGATGTGGTAGCAGGAGTTTGTGAATACAAACCCTTCAACAATACACAACACATCCAAACTAACCACCAGCAGCGAGTCCAGCTCAGGCCCCTCCTCGGCCTCCTTCTTCGCATGGCCCTTCCTGGGCCCCCTGCTCTTCGAGAACACGACCTCGGACGCCCGCGACCACTGCGCCAACGAGCGCACCTTCCTCAGCTACCTGCGCCTCTCCGTCTACATGGCCGTCGTCGCCGTCGCCATCGTCCTGTCCTTCCACCTAAAGTCCCAGCCCTCGGCCGCCGAGCTGCGCATGGCCAAGCCCCTGGGCCTGGTCTTCTGGGGCCTGAGCGTCGCGTGCTTATTTGTCGGGCTGGGCAATTACATTCGTGAGTTGCTTTGTTGCCCTACTTTGTCTTTTGTTCCCTTATGGTCTGTTTTCATGTATCTGTCACACGAGATGAATGCATTTAGCCGCGGACGGCCGCTCACATGGTGATCTTGCTCGGTAGAAACGGTAAATAAGTACAGCCGGAAGGCTGCTATAGTGCAGAGTGGTATCAAAACACAGCTTGTGAGTCTCGCCCGGAGCCCTCCCCTCTTTCCTTCCCGCCCATAAAGAAATGCAAGGGAAATCAGAAAAGGATACGTCGGTCCTGACCCACGACTGCTGCCAGACGATGGGCATCGTATCCCTCAGTATTATCGCGACCTGCGTGACGCTTCTGGTCGTGAACAAGATGAGCGAGGGAATGGACGACAGCAGCTAGGTCCGGATGCAATGCACAGACATGGCGAAATCCGATCAAGCAAAATCTTTGGAACCCCCCCCCCCCCCAACCCAGCCTCGCTCATGATCCCTTAGTCACTGCACAGTGAGACGTGTGAATCTTTAAAGAGGTATATACAACTTGCCAAATAAAACAAACAACGTCAACTATGTCCTCGATGACCCTAAACGCCAAGACCGACGAATCCAGAAGCGCCTCGCTTGTAAAGATACCTACACCCCGTCGTCGCCCATGCAGTACAAGTCCTTCGCGGACGGCTCTGGCGCGAAGGCCTGGCCTATCTTGCAGCCGCCGACCACGCGCCTGAACTCGGCCGCGTACTTGATCGACTCCTCATTCAAATCCTCGAGCGATATCCGGTCGTCGTCCCACGTGAGCAGGGGCATGTCGTTGAAGCGCGAGAGCCCCTCGCCATTGGACAAAAAGGTCCCGTGTCGGAGGATCACCGAGTCCTCGTCCCCGTGTTTCGAGCCCGACTTCTCGTTCTCGTACTCCTCGGGTTTCTGGTACAGCTCGCCGTGGATGGTCGCCAGGTCTGAGGCGAGGTCTGCCCCCGGGTAGACAGTCATGTACCCGCGGGCGCGACAGAGCCGGAGTGCGTGCTCCAGCCACGAGGGATAGTCCTTGCTTACGGACTTCTCAGCCAGGAGGGTGGGCGTGCTCTGGAAACCGTGTTGCGCTTCCAGCAGCTGCGAGACGAAACCGTGCAGCTCGGCCCACCTTTCCCCCAGGAAGAGTGCCGCGTTGCTGTTTGGCGCTTGCCAGAGGAACGAAGATGAGTGGCCGGAACTTGGGGCGCCGAGCTCGGCTCCATCAGGGCTGCTGGCCGGCGCCTTTGGTGGCACAAATGTTGCCGAGCCGTCGAGGGTCTTCCTGGGCAGGTCGAGACTCAAGCTAAAGACCCTCTTATCCCATGCTTGGTATATCGCAGGGCCCGAGTATCGGTATTCCAGAAGGGCCATCTTCAGGTAATGGTAGTAGTTGGGTGACAGCTCGACTTGGGGAGATAGGACCAGCACGTGGGAGAGGCTTGGGTCCAAAGGCCAGAAGCCCTCGAGGAACCGTACCGAGCTCTCCTCTTCCGTGGCACCACGCCTTGTTATCCGATGTCTGAGCGTCAGCTGGTTTGCAATCGCCGGATTGGTCGCTCTGCGAGGCGGCCAGCGGAAGGTCTTCAGGAACTGGGCCGTCGGTGGGTCGATCTCCTCCGGAAGTTCGATAGTCAGGTGTGGTGCAGCACTCGCAGTATAGTCAGCTGCGCGCAAAGACTTTAGCAGCCTGATCAGGCTCCCTGAAGCTCCCGCATGCGCGTGAACCAGTATATCCACGCTGAACTTGTTCCAATGCGATAGCGATCGCGAGTCTAGCTTCGAGACCCAGGACAGGCGATCTACTGCAGATCCGGGAAGCTCCACGACAGCCTGGCCGATTTCCATCTTGTTCGCTTGTTTCTGTATAGACTTGAGCAGCAGGGGATCTTCCACCCCCGAAGAGTCGACAATGATTGCTTGCGGGTGCATGTAGTTGTTGATGTGGTAGAACGCTCGTTCGACGGATTTTGCGAACCTCTCGTCTGAAGATATGCTAGGGAATTCGACGCGTGCATCTGCAGTCTGTTAGGAAACAGGCTCGACCTCTGGCAATCAACAGTGTACACCTACCGTGAAATATGATCTCGCAGCTCTTGTCGATCCCGTTGACAGCCCGCAGCTCGTCGATTTTGATCTCGTTCCTGCTCATCAATGCAAAATGGACATACGACTTCAGCTCCCTGCCCATCTTACAAGCCAGCGGAAGCAATGAGCCGGCGCTTCTCAAGCTCGACGCTGCAAACAGGACGTTCTTGTTGAGCGTCGCCCCTCCGTGTGTACCAGCTATCGCATTCAGGGTCCCGGCAAGCTCCATGAACCTTATGGGGCCATCAAAGCTGCGAGCAGGAGGGCCCTCGTCGTCCCCGTCGTCGTCGGCATCTGCGCCCGCCTCGGGGGCATGAGGCTTCGGCGCAGCAGCAGCAGCAGGTGGTGGTGCTTTCGCATTCGGGTAGGAGGGGCGGCCGGTCCGCCGCGGGCCCACGTCGGTGGGAATGTTGTGGATGAAGAGGTAGGCGGCAACGGCGATCACGACCAGGATGCCGAGGCGCTTGAGGGTCTTCCGGGGCGCCACGCGGGGCGCGGACTTCCAGCCGCCGGCCGACGTCGACGAGTTCCTGTTCCTGCCATGCTTGACGTGCAAGTCATCGTCTCTCTTGTGGGACCCAAGCTCCGGGTCGACGGTGGCTGGCATTGTCCCCAGCCGCCTCGCAGGGGCACGCGGGGATGCGACCACGTTGTGCGCAGGGCCGGGAGGGTGCGACGGTGTCTCGTGTCTTGGGGGTGCGCAGGTCGGGACTTCACGTCATGTCTGGCGTGAGGCGTATGCTGGCCCAGTGCAGAGGAACGCGGCTGTCTGGGTTGGGCTGCCGTGGACCGTGGCTCAGTGGTCCTTGGTCGGAGGACGAACGGGAAGGAGAAGGAGAAGCAGGGACGAGGGGCACACGAGTGGCACGTCAATAACGTGGGATCATCACCATAAATGGAGATCGGAGAAATCAGCCCTTGGGGAACACAGGTAAGTGTATGGCTCGGTTACTCCAAGCGTTCGAAGGTTGTGGATGTCTGGATTGTAACCACGTTGCCATTTGGGGCGGAGATGGGACGAATTGGGAGGGGGGGAAGACCAATGCGTGCTTGGGCGCGTGGGTGCGCGGGTGACAGCCCAGACCAAATTCAAATGGCATCTTCCGCCCGAGATGATCGAGGGCCAGGCTACTGGCCGGGTTCAAAGACAGCCTGTCCCTGACCCCTGTCGTCGTGGCCGATTAGCCACCTGCCCCACGGCCCTTGGGCCTCTGAACCCTGCATGCTGCTGGCTCACTGCAGATCAGTCCCGTGGTGGGGTCCAGCAGAGAGGAGCTTTACCTGCCTCACAGCCCTGACCCAGGTACATGGTAAAATCTCCAATCGGGTTCAGAATTGGATGCACAGTCACGAAAATTTGCAGCTTGATGAAAAGTTTCTGGCTGCTCAGCAACCCCATCCAAAATACCGTTGGTTACTGACCGTTTGGTTTTTTGGTTACCACTCCACTGCATTGGAATAAATTGGTTCAATTCACCCATACACCGCACAACTTTAACCGGAACCATCGACCAAAGCAGGGCAAAGCAGAGCGAGCAAGATGGGCAAATCCCGTAGAAACAGAGCCCATGCGCATCGCGCAGACCCCATATCCGCCGCCATAAAACCAGTCAAGGCCCCGACCGACCCTGAGCTCGCCGCACTTAGAGAGAAGCGGATTCTGCCTGTCATCAATGACCTCCGGAGCGTTGACCCCAACGCCCGCTCAGCAGCCGCCGGTGCTGTTGCCAACATCGTCCAGGATGCAAAGTGTCGCAAGCTTCTCCTCCGGGAGCAGATCGTCCCCATCGTCCTCACCGAGACCCTCACCGACGCAAGCCTGGACAGCCGTGCTGCCGGCTGGGAGATCTTGCGTGTGATTGCTTCAGAGGAGGAGAGCGATTTCTGCGTTCACCTGTTCAGACTCGATGTGCTCTCTGCCATTGAGCACGCTGGCAAGAATGTGAGTATCCAATCTTTCCAAGACATTCCCCGACTTCTGAGCCGCGGGCTAACACTTTGCATAGGTGGTCCAAACAGTCGGAGAGCCATCTTTCGTCAAGACACCCAAGGCTCAGCAACAGGTCGTGTGGAACATCACAACGGCCTTGATTGCGCTGGTAAATGCCCTCGCCACAGCTCGAGACGAGATCCTGGACGCCATCGCCTCCAATCCTCAGATCCTCCCCTTCCTATGTTTCCTCGCTACTCATAATTCCACGCCATATGAGACGTCTACCGAAGCTATCAGCTGTCTGATGTCGCTGTCTGAGGACAACCTCAAAGTATCGCAGCTCGTGCTGGCTGATCCGTCAGGTTGTTTCAGAACCCTGACCAAGTTCAAAGAAGGCCCTGACGTTAAGAATGTTTATTCTTGTGGCGTTCTTCACAACATCTACTCGTCACTCGAGTGGCACGACGGTAGCCCTGGCCAGGACGGCGCCACAGACGCACAACTCATACCGGCTTTGTCTAACGTGCTGCGACGCACGAGGCAGGAGTCCAAGACGAACAAGATCAGCGGGGTCCCCCCCGAAGCTGTGTCACTCGCGCTGGAAATTCTGGCCTCTATCGCAACAGATCTGCAAGACACTGTGGCAAAGGGCAACAAGGACAAGGACAAGGAGGAGTGGAATGGGATCGAGGACGACGACGAGATGGCGGATAACGACGAGGATGAAGCGAAGCAAGGAGACGACGAGGATGAAATTGCAGATGCCACAGACGCCATGGAGGCTGACGGAGCCGAGGGCGAGGAAGACGACGAGATGGACGAGGACGCAATGGAGGCTGACCTGGATTTGGTAACTGGGGAGGGCGACGACGCTGAGGACGACAGCGGAATCGATGACCTGCCGACGCTCAGAGAGTTTGTGACGAAGGCAGTGCCACAAATAATCCGCATGGCCAACCTGGCACCTGCGTCCGACGAGGCCGTCGCAATCCAGAGTGAGGCGTTTTCCGCTCTCAACAACATTTCTTGGACGCTATCCTGTTTCGACTACTCGGAGACTGGCAACGCTGGCATTCTGAAGGCCTGGACGCCGGTAGCCAAGCAAATCTGGTCCAACGTGATTACGCCCGTCCTCGCAGCGGACACGGGGGATGTGTCCTTGGCTTCCCTTGTCACTAGCATCGCATGGGCCGTCTCTCGCACTCTGCAGGGTTCGACCCCTCTGGTAGGCGACGAGCACCGGAAGTTCATCGCTCTTTACAAGGCATCTAAGGGTCTGCCCGCAAAACCCGAAGATCAGGCCAGCGAAGAAGAATCCGACCCCTTCCAAGCTCTCGGGGTCAAGTGTGTCGGCGTGTTGGGCCAGCTTGCTCAAGATCCCGCGCCCACCAGCCTCAATCGCGAAGTCGGCATCTTTCTGATAACGATCCTCAACGGGCTGCCGGAGACACCAGCTGCAGATGCGGTGGAGGCTCTCAACCAGATCATGGACATCTACGGGGACGAGACCCTGCCCTGCGACAAGGATGTGTTCTGGAAGGACAACTTCTTGAAGCACCTCGAGGAGATTCTCCCAAAGGCCAAGGCTGCGGTGAAGACAATCGACAAGAGGGGCGCGACGGCTGAGCTGAGGTCCCGCGCAGATGAGGCCGTTCTAAACCTGGGCCGATTCATCCAGTACAAGAAGAAAAACCCGCCAAAACCCTGAGAGAATAAGAGGTAGCATTCACGGTGGAGGGGTCAAGCACTTGGGGGCATGATTCACGACGATCTTGCTGATCGCTCACCTAAGTTCTCTGAACGGGTCGGAGGCTTGTACTTGGGATGTCGGGGGCGAACTGTCCCATAAGTCAGCAAGACGCAAGCTGTGCCTAGACAGGCACCGAAGGCAAATCGTGCAAACCTCGTTTGAAACGATGTGATTCATGAGTAAATAGCAAAATGACAGACAGGTCTCTGGCCGATACCATCAACTGGCCCACGTCGAAACCCGCAGGACCGGGTGCTCCTAAAAGAGAAAAAAAAAAAGGTGTCGTAGAGGGGGAACGCCGTGAAGTCTGTCCCGTAAGCAATACACCGCAACGCCACAGAAACCTTCCCGAAAGGAGTTGCTTTTTGTTTTACCCAATGGGCTTGAGCTTCTTCTTCTTCTTCTTGGACGGCTCGTCGCCGCCGCCGCCGCCCGTCTTGCCCTTCTGGAACTGCCTCCACGAGTCGATGCGCACCTCCCTGGTGGCCTCCCAGTCCTGCTCGTGCTGCCTCTTGCGCTTGCGCTCGTCCAGCTCCTCGTCCTCGCGGCGCTGCTGCCGGCCCTCCTCCTGCATCTGTCCCTTCATCTGGCGGCGGCGGCGCTGCTCGTTGTCGACGAGCACGCGCACCGTCTTCTCGGCCCACTTGCGCTGGAAGGTCTCGTCGGGATCCTTGACCTCGGGCGAGTCCACCGTCCACTTGTTCTCGCGGATCAGCAGCATCCGCGCGTCGGCGATGGCCTCGTCCAGCTGCGCCCGGTGCTTCTCGTCCATCAGCTCCGTCTGCGCCTTCTTGAGCCGGTCGAATGCGTCCGGCGCCCGCGGGTTCTTGGTCTTGTCCGGGTGGATCAGCAGCGACTTCTTGCGGTACGTGATCTTGATGTCCGACTCCGGCACGCCTGGCTTGAGGCCCAGCACCGCGTACGCGTCGAGCCGGAAGGCTTTCAGGATGCGGTCGATCTCGGCATCCTGTGGGGTTGGGAAAGAGGTGCATGTTAGTCATCAGCCTGTTCTGTTCTGGGCGGCGCAGAAGATCGGGCCCGGGGGGGGGTGGATGGTTGACTTGCCTTTTCCCACTCCTTGCCCTCGGATTCGAGAATGTCCAGGGCATCTCGGTCATCGACTGGCTTCTCTTCTGTGGATGCCATCTTGGGATCGTGACTTGTGACTTTCTTGCCAGGTGAAACTGGACAAATTGGGAGAGTTGTCGCAAGGCCAGCTGAAGTCGTCTTCAAATGCCGTCGAGTGCCACAATGGACAGGGGTCGGCTGCAGGAAAGCGCGATTACCTACTACCTAGGTAAGTAGCTACCTTTAAAGTGGGTCCACCCCACCAGTGGGCCAAGACAACCAAGGGTCCTTATCGATAAACCCGTCCCTCCCCAAAATTTCGGAATTCTTTAGTCCTGTGAAGATGGAAGAGGTGCTTGCTTCACCGCGGTAGCAAACTTTCAATTATTTGCGGTTTTCCTTCGCGCAACCCGCCAGAATGCCTCGTGCTGCGTCACCGACGCCTTCAGATGGCGAGATTGATATCTTCGACTCGCTATACACCGACAATGTAAATACGAAACCGCAAGCGACGGATGGAGGCTTCGATTTCCTCGACGATGCGAACCAAGACGACGGCGATGAGGCCTTCATCGCCCTCAAGCAAGCAGCCTCGTATCGGAAAGCTGCGAACCAGACGAAGGGAACTGGTCAGAAAGGAGGTGGTTTCCAGTCCATGGGTACGCATGCACATTTGCTACGGATCTTGACAATGCCCGGACCGTACTAACGAAAACCAGGGTTGAACGCAAAGCTTCTCTCGGCTATCCTACGCAAAGGTTTCAAACAGGCGACTCCAATCCAGCGAAAAGCGATACCCCTTATCCTACAACGGAGAGATGTGGTGGGCATGGCAAGGACAGGTTCCGGCAAGACCGCGGCTTTCGTCATACCCATGATTGAGAAACTGAAGGCGCACAGTGCTCAAGTTGGCGCGCGAGCCTTGATCCTGTCGCCATCCCGAGAACTTGCGTTGCAGACTCTCAAGGTGGTGAAAGAGTTCGGCAAGGGCACGGATCTGAAGTGTGTATTGCTCGTGGGTGGTGACAGCCTGGAGGAGCAATTCGCCTCGATGACGACGAACCCGGATATCATAATCGCAACGCCCGGTCGATTCCTCCATCTAAAGGTGGAGATGTCGCTGAATCTTTCCTCGATCAAGTACGTCGTATTCGACGAGGCAGATCGGCTGTTCGAGATGGGTTTCGGGACACAGCTAGCAGAAATTCTGCACGCCCTGCCAGCATCGAGACAAACCTTGCTCTTTTCCGCGACTCTCCCAGCTTCGCTCGTGGAGTTCGCCCGCGCTGGTCTACAAGACCCAAGCTTGGTGAGACTGGACGCCGAGACCAAGATTTCGCCCAAGTTGGAAAGCGCATTTTTCTCTGTGAAGGCTGCGGAGAAGGAGGCCGCCCTTATCCACATCCTACACGACGTGATCAAGGTGCCGACGGGTGAACCAGAAGGCGCACCCCAAGACGAATTCTCGAATCAGGTCTCAAAGAAGAGGAAGCGAGGGCCGGACGAGCCCAAGCATGATAAGCCAACCGAGCACTCGACGATCGTATTTGTAGCTACCAAGCATCATGTCGAGTATGTGGCCGCTCTTCTGCGCGAACAGGGGTTCTCAGTTTCATACGTGTATGGATCGCTGGATCAGACCGCACGAAAGATTCACGTCGACAACTTCCGCCGGGGAAGGACAAATATCCTCGTAGTCACAGACGTGGCGGCGCGTGGTGTCGATATCCCGATTCTCGCAAACGTTATCAACTACGACTTCCCCCCTCAGCCAAAGGTCTTTGTCCACAGAGTTGGACGTACCGCAAGAGCAGACAAAGAAGGTTGGAGTTACAGTATTATGCAGGATTCAGATGCTCCTTATTTGATAGACCTGCAACTGTTCCTGGGAAGGAAGCTGGTATTGGGCCGAGAAGGGGGTAGCTCGCCGTCATACAAGACTGATATGGTGGTCGGCTCTCTACAGCGCGAGGAGGTCGAGACGCAAGTCGAGTGGCTAAACAATCTCTTGAAGCAAAACGAGGATATCAAGGCACTGCGGAGCGTTGCTGCCAAAGCAGAGAAGCTCTACATGAGAACCAGAAACCCAGCATCAAGTCAGAGCGCAAAGAGGGCAAAAGAGGTCGTGGTGTCAGATGGTTGGAGTCAACTGCACCCGCTATTTGGGGTTGCGGACGAGGAGGCGGAGAATGCGCGCAACGATATGCTGGCGAGGATCAGCAAATGGACGCCAAAGGAAACCATTTTCGAGATCAACCTGGGCAAGAAGACTGCCCACAACCCAGGAGCAGAAGTCATGAGGAAGATCCGGGCCAAAATTATACCCAAGAACCGCGTGGAGAAGAAGAAGGGCGATGCAGAGGCATCGGATGATGACTTTGACATTGCCGATGCACCAGCAGCCCACGAAGACGGAGAAAGCGACGAGGACGACGACTCTGTTGAGAGCAAGGACGGGGACGACTCCGCATCCGAGGACGACGAGGAAGACGACGCCTTCAACCACGAGGTGATCTACCCCAGCGAGCACAACAACAAGAAGAAGAAATCCTACAAGGACTCGGAGTTCTTCATGTCCTACACCCCGCGCACGATCAACGCAAACGAGGAAAAGGGCTACAGCGTCAACAACGGCGGCGCGTCCTTCGTGCAGGCGGCCCGCGACGTGACGATGGACCTGACCAACGACGACGGCGCCAAGTCCTTCGGCGAGCCCGCGCGCGCAAAGATGCGCTGGGACAAGAAGCAGAGCAAGTACGTCTCGACGGCCAACGACGCCGACGGGTCCCGCGGCGAGAAGACGCGCATGATCCGCGGCGAGTCGGGCGTCAAGATCGCGGCGTCCTTCCAGTCGGGCCGCTTCGACCGCTGGCGCAAGGAGCACCGCCTCGGCCGGCTCCCCGGCGTCGGCGAGATGGAGAAGACCGGGCTGGCGCGGCTGGCCGACGACAGCGGGCCCGGCGGCGGCGGTTCTGGTGGGGCGGGCGGGCGCGGTGGGCTGCGCCACTTCAAGCACAAGCAGGAGAAGGCGCCCAAGGAGGCGGACAAGTACCGCGACGACTACCAGGAGCGCAAGAGGCGGGTCGCCGAGGCGCGGGAGAAGAGGATCGGCAAGTTCAAGGATGGGGCTGGCAGCCGGCGCGAGGTCAAGGGGAGGGAGGATATCAAGAAGTCGCGCAAGATCGAGGCGCTCAAGAAGGCCAAGAACGCGAGGCCTTCGAAGGGCGGCAAGAAGTAATGGAGGGCGGGCGGCGTCACTGCTGTGTATGTAGGAGTGGCCAGCGGCGGGAGATCAAGCCGTGCATCTTATTGCTCATATGATATCAAAACCAAGAATATTCCTGCTCGCTGTGAATCAATCCTAACGGGCCTGGAAATCAATGTAATTGGCTAAGATAGCTATTAACACTGTCTCATTCAATACAAATAACATCAACGTGACTCGTATGTAATCAAGGTATTTGGTACCATTCAAGTTTCCTTTAGTTTGCCATAATCCCATTAGGCACATACCGCAACAGCAGAATACATACATATCACAATTCCAGACTGAGCCATCCCAATCGCCTCGCCCCTCTTCATTATCGTCTTCAAAAGACAACCAGTCCAACAGAACTGCGTTGCCGAAATTCGACACACACACATCTCGTATTTCAAAGGGTCCGAACTAGCACTCCAAAGCCGTGGCCAGGGACTTATCACAAGACAAAGCCAAGTCAGCCAGTCAGTTCTAGAGAAAACAGAGACTCAAAGTGACCTGCAGCCACCAAATGGAGGAAGAGGAGGGTCAACGGGCCATCGCCATGTCCCTATCTAAACGTCTCCTAGGTTGGCTTTGGCTTCAATGTTTTCCCCCGCGGTGCGATAAATCAAAACAGAGGTTGAAACGGCGCATTCTAGCTCGGTGGAAAACTTGAAAGAACTACTTGTAACTCGAGAACATCTCTGTGAGAATAGGTTTTGCAAATTGGAGCTCTGACCCGTCATACTTGATTCACGCGAAGAAAATTCTCGTCCCTTATAATAACTAAGCAGTTCATCACCGTCACTTCATTGGGTATCACAGTAGACAGACAAAATAGTCACCAAGTCACACCGGGCATTTCAAAGCAGTCCTTGATCGGGATATCTTTCAATTTTTATTTAACTTGAAACTTCCACCCACGAGCACACGTTCGAGATATCTCCATCTCTCAGCTCAAGCCACAAAAGGCCGCTCTCCCCGTCTCCCCGTATCCGGAGCGACAAACTTCCCTGCCCTACTCCACCAACGTCCACAAAGACCGACCACAGTCAGGATGACCGAAAAAAAAAGACACAGCATCCACCCACATGCCCGTCCACCTTTCTAGAAGAATCGAACCAAAAAGAGAAGAACTGTGTATGGAGAAGAATATAAAACCGCTTGAAAAGAAGGCTGCAAAAAGTGTTTAATTTGTTCGTAGGTAAGGATTCGCTCTTGGATTCCCTGGATACCCTGACCATGAATGGAACGCAAGGTTCGTGTCGTTAAGAAGGAAAAGAAAAACATTCATTGCTGCCTCCAACGCCCGTTGTGGGGGATAAGTGGTCGTTAATTGCGGTTTGCTCAACTGCTCGCTGTCGGCCCTTGGGGTATAGATAGACTCCGCTGTCGAAGTGTGCCGCACTCTCTTCAAAGTTTTGTTTGTGCGAGGTCGTTAGAAAAAGTTGCAGATGTTGGTGCTTGGGTGCATTATTGTACACTTTTTGGAATCGACACATGTACAGATGTTTGATTCGGAAATTTTAGCATTTTCTTTTCTGTTTTCGATCATGTACACTTTATAGTCCATTAGACGTTCTCGTCGGCGGGATAGTCTAGTGATGGTCAGCGGACAATTGTTTTTCTCCGTAGGGATACTGTTTCAAACTTACACCACGAGCAGACTGCGATAATCACATAAAGGCACATCAAAAGCATTCCTTCCAGCCAGTGACTCTTGCCATCGCCGATCAGGTAGTTGACCAAGAGCACCGAGACGAACAGAACCGCAACCTGGAAGACGTCGAAGCTCAGGCCCATGGCATCAATTCCCATGCCCCACCCGATAATAACGAGGAGCGGGATCAGGAACAGCGCGACCTGCATGCTCGAACCAACAGCGACACCGATGGCAAGATCCATCTTGTCCTTGATGGCGACCGTGACGGCAGTGGCGTGCTCAGCTGCGTTTCCGACGATGGGGAGCAGAATCAGGCCGAGGAATTCCTTACTGATGCCACCCTGGGTTGTCACGTAGTCGATGCTGTCGACCAGGAACTCGGCGCAGAAGGCGATGAGGACGGTGGAGCCGGCCAGTGTGCCCATGGCGACGCCGAAGGAAAGTTGGGGCTCCTCCCCCTCCTCCTCCTCGTCGTCCATGCTCGGGTCCGCGTTGAGCATCTGCTGGAGCTTCTTGTTGTTGCTGCTCTCCTCGTCGTGTTTGCCGGGCATACCAATAAGCCCTGTGGGCCCGATCAGACCCTTCTTGATAGCGCCGGGGCCCAGGTCGTTCTTCTTAGGCCGCATGGGCACCTTCTGGCTCTCCTCGGAAAAGACCGAGTGATGGGTCTTGAGCTGGAAGTACAGGTAGCCCGCGTAGACAAACAGCAAAACGACTGATGTGCCCCGGGAAAGCGCGGCTGTCGCTTCGACCGGCAGCTTGGTTTCCCTGTCGAAGACTGTAGGGATGATGATGCCTGCGATAGCGAGAGCCAGAAGACTAGCGGCAGTTTGGGCGACTGTCATGTTGAAGAACTGCTCTTGCCTGCGGAGACCGCCGAAAAAGAAGCACATGCCCATGACCAGCAGCAGGTTGGACAAGATACTGCCGATAAGCGAGGTCTGCACAATAACGACTTCGTTCTTGACCAGGGCCATGATAGCCACGATGAGCTCGACGGCGTTTCTTTGCGGGTCAGTAAGTAATGGACGATGGGGGTGACAGGTGGAACATACCCAAAGGAAGCATTAAGAAGACCTCCGAGGGTCTCGCCGGTGCGCAGTGCAATCTCCTCAGTAGCAAAGCCAAGGAGGGCTGCGAGGGGGATGATGGCGACAAAGTTGACGACGAAGATGGCGATGGGGTTCATGTTCGGGATGGCACCCAAGGCAATGCCGACAGGGGCGGCTATCAGCAGTATGTTGATCCATGAGCTCAACAGGGTGCGCTGGATCTGGTTGCCCACTGTGAAGGGCTCCTTGGGCTGGACGTTCTTGAACAGACGGTGGTCCTTCTTCTTCTTTGGCTCGTCCGCGGGACCTGAGCCGGCGGGTGAGTCGATGGGCTCCTTCTCGATCCGCACCCGGTTGCGCATCTGGGCCCCTGTGTCGACGGCGGTGAAGTCGGAACCCGGGGCCTGGGAAGCAACGACGGTATCGCCGGAGCTATCGGGCCTCTCCCGCTCCCGGTCTTGGCCGGTGAGATCTGCGCCACCATCCTTGCTTGTCCTCCCGGCGGCGGCGTGGCTGGATGCACCGTAAGCCCCTGTCGGCGCGGTCTGCGAATGTTCTATTGGGGAGCCTGTCTCGATATCATCGTCGTCGGGTAACTGCCGCTGTGCCTCGCCGTCCCACGTTTGGCGACGGTCCTTGCTATTCCAGATGTGACCAAAAGGATTGAAACTGGCGTCGCTCCTGCTCACGGCATGTGCCGCACGTTTGATCTGAAAAGCATTGACTGGACGTTGTTCCATGTTAGCGCGGACTCGGAGTGGCGCGCCCCGCCGATGGGCCTCGTGAGCGGCGGTGTGCTGTGCTGCAAGAGTACGAAGAGCGGGTGTCAGGCCGTGCTACAAGGGGTGCTTGCAGACGACAGCAGCAGCAGCAGCAACAGAAAAGAGAGTGGTGGCAGTGATATGAGGTGGTGGTGGTTGTTCCCGGGGACAGACAGGCGGAGAAACGATTCAATTGGGCATGCCCATGGTATTACTGAAACGCGAATGAACCGGCTCGGAACGGTAAGCGAAGGAGAGACAGGAAGAAAGATGACGCCGATCGACGACGGATGGGCTCGTACAGATGATATGTGCAAATAAGGTAGGATGTGGTGATGTAGGGGGGGCAGGTAGCCTATGGGGTCAGGTGGATGTATACAAGGAAGGGGCAGGGCAGGAATGTAACCCCCGAAAAGGCAGAATCGTGAAGTGGAATGATGGGGAGTGAAGTGATTTTGAGTGCAGTGCAGTGCAGGTGCAGTGCGGTGCAGAGATGAGAAAATAGCGCGACGTGGGAGAGTTTGGGCGCAACGCAATGCAAGGTCAAGCAATGGTCTAACAAGAGACGGGACAGGGATGGGCGGTGGTCAGATTTGTTAGGAGGCTTGTTTTGCGGTTGTAGGTCTGTGGAGCAAAAACAAGGGAGACGATGGTCCAACAACCGTGCATGTGGTGCATGTGGTGCTTGTGCACAGGACAGGCCGTGGACTTTGGGGATTTTGGGTGGACCACTTTTCCGCCTGGCACTTTTGTGACCCTTTTATTTTTTAGGGACTGGCCGCTGTTGATGTTGATGTGGAGGTGCTGGGTGAGGGATAAATGATGCGCTGCAGAGTGATGTCTCAAGGCGGCAGAAAAAAAAGAAAACAAGAGGGGAAAAAAGGTACAATTGCACTTACACTTGTAGTCACTCATGACGGCGATGGGTGAGTGAGCTTGACTGTTGTGGGTGACTGGTGCTGCAGGTGCGTCGTCGTACTAGAGTAGAGGGTGCCGTGCGCGTCACGGAAGTTGCCCCTTTCTAGTAATCCAGCCGCGTACCTTCGGATGCCGTAATTTGAATCTCGGAGCGGCGACCTGGAATTTCGCTTCCTTCGCTTGGATTGTTCGCTTGACGTGCCCCGTCACAAGCAACCCTCGAAGAAGAGAGCTGGAGAGTACTTTGGCAGCTTTCTTGGACCTCCAATGCAATGCTAATAATGCTGCTTGCTGCTTGCTGCCAACGCTGCTGCTGCTGCTGCTGCGGCGGGCGATGGGTTGGGGGCTGAAGGGGGTGGGGAAATCGACCGTCAAACCGGTATCAATCGTACCCGTCCGACAGGCTAGCCGCGTTGGAGTAGACGCAGGTTGATATTCTTTGACGTGCGTGAGGAATTACTGTGCCGTATTAGAGTTTGGCTGCTGCTGCGGCTGCTTGCAGTTCTGGGCTGGACGTGGCTCGTTTCGGTTCTTGTTACCGTCGTCTGGTGTTCAACAATAGTATTATCGGCCGTCGAAACGGTTGCTGGCTTTGTTTCTGCAGGCAAGGGAGTACAGTATAGCCAACGCGGTCGGGCAGCTCTCGGCGGTGGATGACGGGTGGGAAGCCAAGACAAGAGATGTGGAGAGAAGAGATGGGAGAAGGGAAGCAAAAGGGCAGAGGCGATCGCCGGGAGAATTGGGCTGGCTGGCGTTTCTTTTTGACGACTTGTATCTCGCTCAGACTGGCCCAGTCTTGGGGGGTGCCCGCTGGCAGGCTGGTTCCTGACGGCCACCACAATCAAAGCCGGGGTGGGCTCGAGAATGGGCCTCCAACCAAGGCCCCAGAGGCCCCCAAGGGGGTTGCCGCCGAGTGACTTAGCCGACCCATACATTCGACGTGGCTGTCGCAGGTATCGATCGGTACCTTGGGCCTGCCATTTAAGATTGGCGGCGACTCAGAGTTGCAGGGAACCACCCGTGTGGGGTTTGGACTGTTTTGAGCATCACCCGGGGGCGGCGGCGCCAATGGGCTGAGTGGGCGCCACAGGCACGAGTGGACAGAACGGAGTCAGGCAGTCCCGTGGGACGGTCCTTCCCTGTTGACGGTGTGCGTAACGCCCAGCACATTCCAACGGATGAGCCCCCTTCCACCGGGATTCCACCGGAAAGGACTGGGAAGGCGCATATGAGAACAATGGCCACACCTTCCAATACCAAACATCCATATTGCACAGCCCGTCGCTGGGGCGAACTGGCAGAATAGGGTTCAAGAATATGCCTTGCCTTGCCCTTCCATTCAGCCATCTTAGCGTGGCGATGTGCACGAACGGAATGAAGACCGCCCATTTTCCATTTCCGACACTCCTCTTCCTTCGCCGTGTTCCAAAATAGGTGATGCTGCTGTGCCGCGGCCAGTTGGTGAGCCATGATATGATGACTTCGCGCTGGGCTGCATAGGGGAGACCTCGCTGCCGCCTCTAATTCTGTCCACAGGTTGGGGTCCGTCCTATGCAGAGCTGCACAGAGTGCGAGCCACTAGTACTATTAGATGTTGCAGTGCAGGCACAGTCCGAGGTGAGAAGGAAGGTCAGAGAGAACGAGAAGCTCTTTCCTCCCCTGCACCCCTGGCCGGAAAATTACCTACCGTGCGCGCATGCGACGTAATTTTGCATCTCACTTTCGCAGCAACCATCATCGACTTTCCCATATGCCGCTATTCCAAGGAATAATAAAGAATAATAAGTCCAGTCTAGTCCAGTCCGCCGTCGCCTTGAGAGCATTCCGAGTCTCACGTCCTCCCGTCAACGACAACACCGCGACGCTAGGGCACCAAGATGACGTTGCTCTGGTTGCTCTGCCAATGACCGGCCATCGCGACAGCCACAAAAGCGACTCTGCTAGCCACCACCGGGCCCCGTTTCCCTGCTTCCACTGCTGCCACTATCGATGCCCTAGTCGGCTGCATCAGCCATCATCGTCGTGGGGGACGGTGAGTGTGAGATCCACCGCCGATGGGGCCGATTGACGACGGCGTCAAGCGTTGTCGTCGTCGCCGTCGTTCCTCCAGCGCAGCCGCAAGGTCTTGGTCAAGCTTTTCGCGAGTGAGCCGGGCTGTCTTGGGAGGTCTTGGTGTCTTAGGCCAGAAGCTTGATCTGTTGCTTGGCCTGCTTGGCCGTCTTGGGCCTGTTCTCAACCTCTTGGAAATCTTGCTTGGCCAGCTTGGCAGGCACACAACAAGATCTGGGACTGAGGGACTCCGAGGCGGGCACGACTCGGGCTGCTACCAAAGCCAAAGGCCCCGCTTGTCGCTCCCCGGCATGCGATTCGACGATCAGTCGATTCTTTGGCCAGCACAGCACAACAGCCACCTGTCGTCGTCGCCGTCGCGCCACATCGATGACATTAAAACATGGGATGGGCGGTCAGCAGCTTAATGCGATGCTTCTGTACCACCCGAACCTACAGAGTCGACGATTACAAGTCAGAACAACGCCAGGGCCCGTCGCCACGAAACAACCGCAGCCCCGAGCCAAAACAAAACCCCTGCATTTACGTATGTACCTGCACATTCAGCCACCCGACCACCTGTCAGGCCCGCAGCCCGCAGCGTCAGCAATCAGCCACACACGTAACTCCACCAAGCTTGCGGGAAGAAACCCGATTAAAGTTTCGTGCAAGACTAGCACAACGCTGGCAAAAAGCTTGTGTGTGTACAGACGTGAATGACAACCAGCACGCATACGCTGACTATCCGATCTGCCCATCCGACGTGTCGCAAAATGTTCGACGGTGCTGCAGAGAACGGGCATCAGATTAGATAGTGACACCCGGGAGGCCTCATCGTTTGCGGCCTCATTGGCATTGTCTCCCACCGTCTAGACTACACCCAGATCCGCCCTCATCCTGCGCATCCCAATCCCGCCCTACGTACTAGTTGCCCACGTTTGATTGGCTTACATATTAGGAATCTGACCTCAATTGGTAGCCCGATATGGGGAACAGGACAGAATCGCACCACTCACTCACTGCCAACACACAACTACAAGCCCAAGTTCCGCGGTCATCCTCCTAATGTGTAGGAAGGAACCACAACCAACCAGGCCGAGACATCCCCTACAACAACGGGTCTTGGGCTGTGGCTCGTCACACACACACACAAATGGTTTCAATGCCCGGCTTGATATCACACGTCTCCATTAGTATAGTAAGTCCTAATAAGACACCCACATTATTCAGCATCAGCACAAAGGCCTGCCCGCCGCCACCTGTCACCTGGTCACTGTCAATCCGTCACCGATCCCCGGATCATCACCCGCGCATTTCCGGCGGCCTCCATCCCCCGACGCCTGATGAAGCCGCAAAGGTTTCACAGCTCGCTCGCCCTTCCTCGCACAGGTTTCCCACCGCATGGCGAAAATGAGTCGGAACGGGTGGGCGTCAGTTCATCACAATCACGCGTGATGGAAGGCAACGCCAAGAATCCTGTGATGGGAGACATTTATCTGCGACTGTCTAGGGTAGATTAGAATATACGACCAACCCACATCGTCCACCGCCAGTGTGACACAAACCCTAAAATGTAAACACGGCTCATCCCGAAACGCCTGAGTTCCATCAGCCATACTGCACGCTGCCCCTCCTCAGCAGGTGGCTGGCAGCCCCCATGATGCTACCAGGGCTGCTCGTCCGCGGCCCGGCCACAGAGCTGGGACTCCCCGGCCCGCCAGCGGCCCCGGCCCCGTCCTCGGAGGCCTGCTGCTGCGCGGCGAGCACGGCGGGCGGCAGACCCAGCGTCGGGATGTTGCTGTCGGCCACGACAGGGCCCATCCCGGGCGTGACCATCAACGCCGACGCCGACGCCGACGACGACGAGGCGTGGGTCGTCGGCCGCAGCCGGCTGCTGCCGAGGCCACCACCGCCCGTGTGCAGGCCGCCGGGGTGGGCGTGGTGGTGGTGGTGCTGCTGCTCCAGGACCTCGCGGTAGAAGGCCTCGAGCCCGGCCGCGTCGCCGCAGAACCGCTCGAACTCGGCCTTGACGCCCGACGGCTCGTACCCTATCGACGCCGTCACGTTCGCCGTGGCCAGGCCGAACCCGCCGCCGCCGCCGCCGCCGCCACCCCGCGAGGCTGAGGCTGCCGCTGCCGCTGCCGCTGCCGCTGCCGCGGCGGACGTCGGCGGCGGCACCGCGAACGGCTGGTCCACGTTGGACGCCGTGCTCGCCGCCCTGATCACGGGGCTGCTGAACGCGCCGACCGGCCGGATCATGGGCGACGACGTCGGCGTCGCGCCCGCCAGCCCCATGGGCGTGAACGCGCCGCCCAGCGGGCCGCGCACCGACCCGGCCCCGTTGCCGACGCGGTCGATGGACGCCTGCTGCTCGCTGCGCAGCTCGCGCTCGCGCGCCGCCATGGCCGCCCGGTTGGTGTACATGCGGTTGGCGACCATCAGGAAGTGGCCCTCCTCGTTGATCTGCGCGATCACCGTGCCCGACCGGTGGATGTACTGCGTGTACCTGAAGTCGGGCTTGCCCCACGAGAAGGTCACCTCGACGTTGCTCGGGAAGTTGGACGCCGCCTCCATGTCGAGCACGAAATCGAACTTCCTCAGGATCGCCTTTTGGTAGAAGTGATCTTCCATCTTTGCCTGCGGTGTAAAGGATGTCGGGTCGTAATACGTGATGGGCTGCTGGTTTGGGGTTGGCACCGCCAGCTTGACAATGTATGGCCTGCGGAATGGGTTTGTCTCGCTGATCGTGCAGGCCTCCGCGATGGGGACTTCGACTAGCCGCAGGCCGAACCTCGCCATGTCGCGGGTCCACTGCTCCACGGCATCTTCAATCAACTTCGCTGTCGTGTTCATCCACTCGATCCGGATGTGGTAGCAGTTATCCGGGTTATGTAGGCGGTCATAGTGCACGTCGATTCTTTCAGGCCGATACGATCGTTTCCTGGGGTCCACATCGTACTTCATGATTTTGCTCAAAGCAACCCTTGGTCGCCTCCTGCCGGCTTCAGTAGCCGGTATAGTAGGAGTAGTCCCGCTCGATGTTGACGAGTCCTCCTCGTGGATTGAACTCGGTCTCTGGAAAGCCAGTGGCCGGGGCGAGTCACGGGGCAGGTTTTCAGATATCGGCGTCGACGGAACAGATGCAAGGTTCCGCCTCGCACTGTTGAACCAGCTGGGCGGGTGCGGCTTGGCGTATTCATTACTGATTTGGTAGAAGTACTGCCCGTCTCGGAAGGTATGCCGCTTTTCGACGTGGACGAACAGGCCGGGCTCCTTTGACCCATCTTTCTCTTCCTCTCTGCTCTTATCCACCATCAGACTGTCGCCTAATGCTTCGGCCTCCTCTCGGCTCTCGAGATCCTCGAAGTTGTCAAGCAGCCAGTTGGTCATATCAGATCCGATGAAGCAGTTGTAATGCAGGCGGAAATGCCATCGGCGATTCTGAAGCCTGACACCACCCTCTTCCACTGGCTTCTGCATAGCTTCAGCTAGAGCTGCTACGCTGAAGTTCGATTTCTTGAACTGCTCTCGGTTCGTAACGACAAGATGTCCTTTCCTGTTTCCAGGTTCCATGCTTTCAAGCAGCGGTAATGTCTCGAGCTCCGCGGCGATCACAACCGAGGGGTCTTCAGTCTTGTAAACGATATCAAGCGGATTTGGATCTTTTCGATTTCGAGGGCCCTGAGGCTGAAAGCGGCGCTCGCCTGGCGGGACGTATCTGTGCCTCAACCACTGCTGAGCAAGGTACCGGATCCCTTCCAGGCGTACCTCTTCTTCGTTGTCCGCATACTGAGGGTTGGACATGTCCTTTGAAGAGGTAGTGGGTATCAAGACATATCGAGCTCGCCAGAACCTCAGACTCTCAGACATCTCGTCATAGTGCCCGGCTATGAAAGAGTCGATGTAGTTCCAGTTCCGCTCCATCTTTGGTGTAGTTATGTCAATCTCAGCTGTTTGGTAATCCCGATCCAACAGTGTCCGGATCGCCGGCCGGTACATTGCAGCAAAGCCATCAACGTGTTTAGTGGGCTCGGTCGGCTTGCGCACGTAAATGGTGACCTCCACCTCCGTCTCGTTGACACATGACAGCTCGTGAATCGTATTGCCTACCGTCATAAAGACGCTCGTTCCATCCTCTATCTCGCGGTCCCTCGAGAACACGTCCCCAATCTTGACGTGCTTCTGACCGAACGCTTTGGCCACAGCGGGTCCGATGACGACCTGGAAACCTTGCGAGAATCGCAGGCTGATGAGCTCTCGAAGGAACTCTTCTCGACTTCTTGGTTCCTCAGCGACTTCTTCATCGTCGAAGTCCTGAGCGATGTTGTATGGTTGGCGCTGGTATTCACGATCGAATTGCTCCTTGGTTGGGAAGTATTCCGTTGTCAGAGGCACTGCCGCTGGGGAGCATAGTGACTTCCACTTCATAACCCTCATCTCCGAAGGGCGAACAAAAACGTGCTGCCATCGGCTGTACAGTCGGGCCATGTCAACCTTGTCCGTTTCTGGATTTGAAGGATTGATCATTGTCAACCAGGGCGACATGGCAGTCTTAGGCGAGAGCATGGCAGGCAGTTCCGGCACATCACCTGCGAGCAGCTTGTTGATCTGGGCAGCATCCTCAACATCTTCGGTCCTTTCCTTCTTCCTCAGGAGATTCGAAAGCTTCAGCTCAGGGTTGTCGTCGCGAAGGAAGTTCGATGGCCTGAGGGTGGAGATGAGCGACTCGTTCACGAATGTCCGCGGCAAGAAATCCTGGGATGGCAACGTGTTTTTAATCAGCATCGGACGACTGGGTGTCTGCGCGCGGCTGTCCTTGGTCGGTTCAAAAGCAACGCTTCGAGGAATCTCCTTGGGCCCTGGCCCCGAACTTGCGCTTGACATGCTCTGTGGGGTAGTAGGCCGGCGTGGCTTCATCGTCATCTTGGAGGCCGAAAGTGCCGGCGAGGTGACAGCCACAGGGCCCATGACTGGAACAGCATTCTCAACATGAACTTCTGCTGTGACAGCCTTCGGGGCAGCGATGCCGAAGCCTCTCTGTCCAAGACTTATCTGCCTGAGGAATTTAGGCGCCTTGAAGGAAGACACCTGAGTGCTCCCGCCCACGCTTCCAACCGTGCCATTGGAGCTCTTCCTCGAGTGTGTTCGATGTTCTGGGCCATCGCGAATTGGGCGGGCAGATAGGCCAGCGATTGTGGGCACTGCTGGAGTGCTGGTCGATCCCCGGCGCTCATTTACGGACGTACCGAGCAACCCTGTGTCCTCTTGATGATGCCTCCTTGCTCCTTCTTCCAGTTCTCTGGCAAACCTTGGTGCCCGGCGTTGCCGCCGTTTTGCCACAACCTTCGCTCTAGCCTCGTCAAATTCTTGCAATTGCTTCCACAGAGACTTTTCCCCTGGTTTGGTGTGTTTGTCGGGTACAAACTTCTGGAACCCGTAAACGTAATCATGCAATGGGTCATGGACCTTCTCAGCCGGTAGAACAGCGAGCTCTTGCAACTCACGGAGCCGAGTCTGCTGTGCAGCATTGCCCTGTAAAATGCTCTGTGGGAAGAATGGGTCGCTGTGAAGGGGTAGCGTCTCGATTTCATTCGTCTCCAGCACGCTCCTCATTTGCAAATCGTACATGCGGCATCGGATAGGGAAGTGGTCCTGAGAGTGCTTGGACTGGTCTGCCACGGACAGAGCAATGCCTTCAAAGGACAAGGCATCGTCCGAGTTGCCCGTCCAGTACGACACATGCAGCCACTGGGGCAGGACAAAACACCAGTCATCGCCTTGCCGGAGGGATAGGGACTCGAACCTATGTGAGATATCGCTGGCCCTATTTGGCGACAAAGAACCCGCCAGGCTCTGATAGCTGGTACCCAACGGCGTAGATGGCTTCGGTGTGCTGCCGTGGCTGAAGCTCAGCTTTGACTTCACTGAATGTCCGTCTGGCTTCGCTGGGTTGCGATAACGGAAGAGGGGAACAGAATGAAGGGGTATCTTGGGTACGCAAATGAGATCAATACCAATCCCATTGCCGACAAGTGCCTCTGTTGTACGTCTCAAGGTCTCGTACTCGACCTCGAAAATACCTGGGCCCGGGGATATCACAACAATGGAGATTCCAGTCCTCCTTAGGTCCCGGTCGATGTAGTCATGGGAGAACAAAGAGGAAGCGAGATTGATGGCTTCAAGGACGTTCCCATATAAAGCTCTTGATGCTTCGGCCTTGATGCGGGTCGAAGGACCCTTCCCGCCTGGTTCTTCAGCGAGACTAGGGGCCGAGCTGAGGGCGCTCAGGTGGTGTATGCTAATGTCCCTGCGGAAGTGGTTGAATTCCTTCTTCAGCTGGTAGAGTATTTTGGTCCACTCGCCACTAGCCATCTCGCTTACTACGACCCGGTAAAAGTCCTTGTAAGGCCTTCTGTCACCGCATTCCTGAACGCCTGTGTAGTAGTCATTGTGGAAGGTAGCGTTGCCCAGCTCGGCGGTGATGCCGGTATCGTACTCGACACGCGCGAATAACACTATAGTGACGAGGTGCTTGACGTTGAGATCGGCCCATTTCTTGAGCAGGGCGGGCAAGAATCCGTTCACGACCTTGTTAAACATGATCTCACCAGAGTCGTCTGGGTCGAAGTCCCACATTTCCTTGGCCATCTGAATGAATATCACGTATCGGCCAGATTCACTGCGGAAGATGGGCTTTGTATTCTTCCCAAAGAAGGCCGAGTGGACCTTTCGTCCGTCGACGAAGACAGCCGAGATCTGGGCCTTGACAGTTCCCATGAACAGCATCATCTGGCCCTTGTAGACGGTGCGGCCAGCGAGCTCTCCAACAGTGATTCTCCACATGTCTGCGCGCGACAAGTACTGGTCCTTGAATGTCAACTCGACGTGGGAAGCCTCGGTTGCCGGGTTGTTCTCGTCGACAGGAGCCAGGATGACCTGCGAGCCCTTCTTGATGCCGAAGACATCGGCGATCTGTTTTGCAACGTATAGCTCGACGTGAGGGTACCTGGCCTTCAGCTCTCTTGGCATATCCTTGACCACGAAGATGTATCGCTTGGACGGCTGGCCGGGTTCGCTCGCGACGTTCTTGCCCGCATCCTGAGAGACCAGTCTCTTGGCCGTTGTTGATAGCTGCTTGGAGAACTCAGGCTTCAGAATGTCGATCGACACCAGCGAGCCAGGCCTGATGTGGCTGCCGAACAGGTCGAGGTTGACAAGGATCTCATCGCGGGCGAAGGACTCGTTGATGGTGACGGTGCACTTGCGCTCCAGGCTGCCATCAGGATGGTCGCGGTGTATCCTATCCCTGTGCCTTTCTCTGTGGTCTCCGCGCAGGGTCGAGGAGCTCGAGACGGTATCGGGTGATCGCGGTGGCTCGGTGGACATCTTGTCTAGGCTCGTCCGAGAGAGCTGGCGGAGATGCGACGACCAATGAGGCCGTCGCGGCGCCGAGGAAGACGGCATGCCTCCAGCATTTCGGGGCATGAATGTATCGTGGTTGGGACGTGGCACGGCCAGATCATCATCCCGGACGATGCGTCGTCATCGCATAAATCACCGAACCTGGGAATTGCGCCGAGTTGATGGCATTGCCATTTCCTTTTGCCATTGCGCAGTTCAGGGTAGCTTGGCGCTGGCTGGAGGCGCGTGCTCCATTTATGGTGGGCAGATTCGGCAACTAACGTGACCGCCTAGACTGATTAAGCTTAGCTGGGGAGCTCCATCCGAACTTGGTAGGTCCAGGGACCAACCACCTCTGGCTTCTCGAGATCTACAAATTGACAAGAACACCATTGCTAAAACTAACACATATTTGCGATTCGACAATCTCAGAGGGAAAATTGGTTCTGGATACCCAAACAAAGACACAGTCTAACACTGATCAACACCATAAAGCTGAATAGCCTCACTAAGCGCGGAAACGGCCAACGACTGACCCCACATTGTCTGAAGCCTGGGCTTGTCGTAATAATACTGCGCATCTTGGCCAACGCCGGTCGAACCACTGACATTTCTCACAAGCCCGTCCGGCGCTATCTGACCCAGAACAGCCTTGAGACCCTTGTGTACCAAGGGCTGATACTCTGAACCAATGTACCCCAGACGCTGAGCCTTCAGATATGAGAACAGAAAGCCTGCCGCGGCTGAGGTCTCGAGGTACGAACCCTCGCTGAGGGGCCGGTCCAGGACGGTGCGCCAAAGGCCCGAGGGGTCCTGTAGCTCGGCCAGGGCCGCCAGTTGTCGTGTCAATATGCTGCGGAAGTAGATGGCATCTGGATCCGTGTCGGCTAGACCTAAGTATTCCGGCAGTTCCACGGCGGCGATCAACCCCCAGGCATTTGCTCGCGCCCAGTGGATGGCGCCGAAGTTATTGTTGTCGTTGAAAGTGTACGCGTGGAAGAATAAGTCGCTGGGAGAGTCAAAGATCCACTTGACGTGGTTTCGAAACTGGAAGACGGCTTCTTGTCGATACTCGGGCTTGTCGGTCAACACACCAATCTTGGCCAGCGGCAGAGCCGCCATCATGAGGGTATCGATCCACATCTCGCCGGGATGGGGTTCGGTCGTGAGGTGCTGCCAGCCGCCGTCCGCGGTTCTAGTCAGGTTGTACATGGCCCAAAAAGCCCAGTCCTCGAGCACGGGCAGGTAGGATGGGTTGCTGGTGACATTGTAGATTTCGGCCAAGGCAGTGATGGCGGCCATGCTGTTGACATGTTTCGTCACGCCGCGGGGAATGGCCCGGGCGAACCAGGTCTCGAGCTCTTGGAGCGACTGTACATCTCCGGTCGCCTCATAGTGTTTCCAAATGCCATAGAGCCCTGTTCCCTGGTCCCAGTCCCAGCCCGTTGTCCAGGCTGGCATCCTGGTGAGACTACCAATGGCACTCTTTGCAGCGACATTGAACTGAGTCAAATTCAGGCCTCGCGGGGGAAGCATGGCCGACTGCCCACATGCAAGTACCAAGGCGCCATAGCTTGCCAAGAGAGGATATGCCGATAGGATGGTGTACACAATATTCTTCATCATGAAAGGGGTGAGTGTGAATGCCACACGCTGGGTATTTGACAAGTCTTGCTACGTTGCTGTGGCAGGATATATTCAGATCTCACGCCCAGAGCAATATATAGACAACCTCAAATCTATTTCGACCGAAACCCCGAGAGATCAACCCCGCCTTCGATGTACCCAGGTATGCAGAGATGTATCACATAATGAAAAGGTTGATCTTGCCGTCAGATGCAATCAACGGAACGCGTCTCCGCAGCTTTTCCCCTTGTGGAATCGTACTCGACATGGTTTTGCAGCTGTGAGCTTGGCTCAGACGGTACACATCAATGGATTGGCTGTACAAACGTAATATTGCAGCGGTCTTCCCCGCGCATACAATGAATATGACCAATTTTAATCTTGTTTTTTGACAGTTGAATGAATTCAAAAATGCATCACTTGGAGTGGGAGTAGTCAGGAATTTATTGAAGACTTGGTGGATTTAGTCGGAATCAGACTGTGCATGTAAACTGATGGTGGACATAATTATATACGCACAAGAATACTGGGGGCCGTATGTAGGCCCTTCAAGTAAGCAGCTGGCTAATCAAGAGGGAAGCAAGTAGTTATAGTTAAATATACGGCAGCATCGCTAACACGTTGACGCTAGAACTTTGCGAGAACCTAGACTCAAGACATTGCATTCACGGTACTACCTACCTAGGTAACTGATTCGGTTGTTATTCCGCGTACATAGTGCTTTTGTTTCTAGTCCCCATACATAATATAAACCGTATGCGGCGCCTTCAAAAAAAGAATACAGTGCCTCCGCGTACATAACGAGACGTATACGGTACATAAAAAGACTTGTACTTTAGAGGCTGTATCGAAACCTTGGAAGTTAGACCCACGCCGGCGGTTCTTCATAACGACATTGCGGACCCGTCCTTGTCTTGCGGACCCGTCCTTGTCTTGCGGACCCGTCCTTGTCTTTCACTACGAAGCCTGGCTTTTCGGTGGGCTTATTGTCATTCCACGCCAAAAGAAGACGCTGTCTCACCAGAAGAAACAGTGCTGAAATTTCGGTTACCGTCCTTGTTGAAACTTCGAAAGTTGTGTGAGTACCCTATATGCTGATTCATACTGGAGAAAAGGTCGATATAAAAGCAAAGTGCAGCTTTGTAAACCGAGAATGCTTAAACTCAGTCGGTTATCTTGACCTACCTAGGTACCTAGTAGGAAGTGAAAAACCGTTTGCGACCTTTTTATGCCTTTTTTCCATTGAGACAACCCAATCCAGAAATCAAGAACGACACATGTTGCCAGACAACCACGCTCTGGTGCCACTCGAGCTGGCTTCCAGGCAGAATCAGCACGAGAGTATATCTAGGTAAAGGCCACAACAGTGATACCAACATTTGAGGGAAACACCAGTTTGAATTGAGTGTGTTCGTAAACCAAATGTTTCCAGTATTTCAACGCCAAATATAATGTTAACCAGACAGATGAGTCTACGGCACTGTTCTACTTCTTATTACACACGGTGATCGCCCTCAAGACCTTCTGAGTTTGAGTACATCTCCCTAGCACTGCACTGTTGGCAGAGACCTCAAATGCCGAACAGCGGCGGTCTCAAATGCTGCAGGTCCTTTGTGTGCCATGGGAGCTACTGATACACGTATGGTTCGCTGCCGGCTCGCTGCATACAATAAGTGGGTTTTGTCGTCACCAAATTCCAAATCATTGGCATTGCGCGTATCCAAGTTTTGGTTGAGAAATGCAAGTCCTCGTCGTCTGTTTTAGAGGCGGATTACTGTGCTTGATTCAGAATTCCAGAATAACTTTAGAGCTCAAAGGATATGCCTGGGCAGAGAGGCAGGCACCTGGGCACCTGGGCAGTCACCAATCTTGGGTTATACTTATGGAACCCCGTCTTCGCCTACGGGATAGATTTTTAAACCCCAGACTTTGCTCGTCAATCGACACGCCAAAATGGCAACCACTCTGTCCATCTTCACCTGCATCATGGAAACAAACAACGCCCAGCGCTCGCCGGGCAAGGATCTCGTCAAATCAATTAGTATTGGAGTGCCGGAAATCCCCCCCGCCAAATTTGCCAACGAACATCTCTGCACGGTTTGCCCAAAACCAGGACATTTCCAGTGCTCAGCCTGTAAGGCAGCGCGTTACTGGTAGGCACATTCCTTTTGTCAAGACAGACCATTTTCTGGCTGAATCGATCCTTTGAGATTCTGTAGGGTTACCAGTTGATTAATTCATATCAGTTCTAGAGAATGCCAGAAAATTGATCGACCGACCCACAAGATCTTCTGCAAGTCATTCAAATCTTTCACGACCAACGACCGACCGTCTCCATTGCACATACGTGGAATCCTCTTCCCACAGGATAAGGAGAAGCCGGAGTGGACGTGGATACTGATGAGCGAGGACCAAACTGCCGTTTCTGTTCCACATCTGTACGAGGGTCTGCCCACGGATGGGTTGACTCGGGATGTTACAACAATGGTTATTAGATCCCACGCAATGCGTCATACGCAGAACTGGCTCACAAGCATCCTTCGACACCAACCAAGCCGAGGCGAGAATGCTTCTTCCATCAACAAGAGCCTATTAGGCTTGGGTCCTCCCGGCCACTTGACGACGTATTGGGGACCACTGCTAATGGTCTCCAATATGCCGGTCCAATCCAGTCCTACCAACGACGCCAAGTCCGTCGCCCATTTCCAAGACCTGGAAATGCAAGACCTGAGCACCGCCATTGTGCTCCTAATGTACGGTGACGACAGGTTGCCATGCGTGGTCAATGTCCCTCGCTGTCCTTTCAAGTCGCTCCCCGGCATCAAGATAAACTGTGTTGGCGACCGCATTCGCTTTCACCCCGACAAGGATCCAAATAGCGACGCAGCCATCTACGAGGCAGTCGACGTGCCAAATGCAGAGCCGTACCCAGAGAAGTCCCAGTGGCCGTCCACGCTCGCCTTCATGTTGGGCCTGCCGTGGCTCTGCCGAGTCGTGGACAACTCCAAGAATTTATGGGCAAAGGATTCCAGCGGCCGCTACTCCCAGCCGGACAAGGCCGTCGTCTCCAATCCGGAGCTGGGCCACCTATCTGCCTTCCTGAGGGATATCAATCTGGATAGCTTCGACACCGAGATCCCGAGCACGCCCGGTGTCAGCACGTTGGGCATGACCCCGGAGCCCGGCCCCCATTTCGGCTCTGTCATCCTCGTGCACATGTTCGGCGAGCGCATCCCCTCGGAACACGTCAAGATGGTTAACATGTTTGCCGAGGAAAGGGGTTTTGGTACCTATGATTACCAGGATCTGAACCTGAGATTGGCCGGGTTCCGAGAGTACTGGGACCAGAAGCAGAGGGAGAACAATACACCCGGCGTGGACTTGCAGGGTCTGCCTTCGCCGTATAGTGCTATAGGCCGATGGTACCCAAAGGAGCGCTGCGTCGAGAACTTTGCTCACTACAAACGCTTCTTTGACGAGATAGAAGTGATCATGGCCCTTTCCTCACCATCTCTCGAGTTCGAGCCACTGACTGGATGGCTACTGCCACAGGCCTTTGGATTCAACAGGTTTTGATCTGATCTGAGCAGACGAGTGAGTGGACATTTGGTGACAGAAAAGGGGGCTGCGTTCGGTGAAATAGTGCTGGTGATTCCGTTTGCTATGGATTAAGACAAGTGTGTATTGTAGACTGAGCATTGGGCATAAGGATAGGGGGGTCAAAACAATCTAGTATCTTTGAATCAATTTGTGCTTTTTCCTGGATACTTCTCAAATTTTCCTCTCCTCTTTTCAGAATAATAAATGCGCTGTGGGTGACGAGCTAAAGGCTGGAGAGCGGGAAGTTTTCTATTCTTCAATTAAGGTATGCTTTGCACTGCGGGCACTAGACTATTTGTCTGCGGTGCATGCCAGGTGCTTGACTAGACTAATATTGATCACGGAAGGCTTCATCCGCTTGCCACCACATTGAATACGGGCCCAGCCCCACCTTACTGTAATACATATGTACCCTCTTAATGTCAGAGCTAGGAAGTCTGCATACTGTGATAAAAAAGGGCCAAAATCATAATTTCTCGGGCTTAGAGCATAGATTTATTTAGACCGAAGAAAAGGTGTTCATTGATTGACGAAACTAATTGCGAGGCTTGTATCGTCTCTTCCCAAGCCCTTGGCTTCCCCTCCTACCCGTGGCTAAGTCAATCAAGAGACCCAGATTATATACTTGGCACTGTCTTGCAGCTCGGTCCCTTCTGTCGCGAAGCTTCCCTCACCCTCGGAATAATGTACTCCTGTGCTACTGGCTGTGAAATACCACGGATTTCAAAATATCCATAAATCTCCAGCGTCCCCTCGTATTGCACTCAATTTCTAGGGGCATCACTTTATCGTCAACCACGGCCTCATCAGCCAGCATGGTCGGCTCGATCACCTTGTTAGGCCTCGCCCTCTGGGCTCGAGCCGCTTTCTCTGCCATCACTACCTCAGAGTCGTCGAGCGCTATCAACATCTCCAATGGAAGACTTTCCATTGTGGTCTCAAAGAGTGCAGGTACGGTAAGTGGCATCACCCTCGATGGCCAGGACCTGCTCGGCTCCGGGGGAAGGCTCTACCTCGACTGCCACTGCGATGGCGGATACTGGAGCTCGGGGACAGGAACCCTTTACAAGGGAACCGACAGCACCGGAACTGCCTGGGCTGGCGTCAAGCTGGGCAGCAACTTTGCCGACAAACACGTCATGGAATCGTACTTCTTCCTCCGAGATGGCGAGACTGGTCTTCACACATTTGGCCGTGCTGCATACCCTGACGGCGGTGCCCTTGGCGAGATGCGCTTTCTCTTCCGCCCCACTTCGACCATCTGGAATCAGCTCTCGTCCAGCAATGACATGTGGTCTGTAATACCCACTGGAACCCGCGAGACCGTCCAGGACACAACCTACTACGTTCCGGGAAGTGGTCTCAACGAAGTGTACCGCAAGCAAATGTCAGACTATTTTTCCAAATATATGTTTTCTGAGTCTTGGGAAAATCACACACACCACGGCATGTTTGCGGACGGTACAGGCACGAATGACGGGAGTGTATATGGAGCTTGGCTTGTCATGAACACCAAAGACACTTTCTACAACGGGCCAAAATGGTCTGATTTGACTGTCGATGGCATCGTTTATAACTATGTTGGTACGTGGCAATTCGACACTATCCTGTATGTTCACACATTATGTATCAATGCTGACTCTTTAGTCTCTAATCACCACGGAAATGGAAACCCCGATCTTACAGGCGGGTTCGATCGCACCTTTGGTCCAGTAAGGCTGTCAGTCCGAGTCCTATTCAGCACTTGGAAGACTAACGCAATATAATAGTCATATTACTATTTCAACAAAGCTGCGAAGGGCACCTCGATCCAAGCCCTGCGTGCCGATGCAGGAAAGTTTGCAGACCCATCTTGGAACTCGCAGTTCTATGATTCGATCGCCCAATACGTTCCGGGCTACGTCGCAACATCTGGTCGCGGTACTTGGACCGGTCAAATCAAACTCCCGGCTGGTGTCTCCTACCCTATCGCTGTCCTTGCCAGCAACGGACTCGACTTCCAGGACAACAACTTCGACACAAAGTCATACCAATACTGGGGCTACATCGGCTCCAACGGCGCCATCACTCTTCCCCGTGTGAAGGCTGGTACGTACCGCCTGACGGTTTACGGCGACGGCATCTTCGGGCAGTACACGCAAGACGGCGTAGTCATAAAAGCAGGAGCTACTACAACAACATCGGCAACCTGGGTCCCAGAGTCCGCTGGCACTGAGCTCTGGCGTATCGGTACGCCTGACCGGAGCTGCGGCGAGTTCCGCCACGGCAAGGAGAGAGACACGACACGCTCCAACGCGCCGAACCAGTATCGCCTGTACTGGGCGGTGCACGACTTTCCGAAAGACTTCCCGAACGGCGTCAACTTCCACGTTGGCAAGAGCAACATCGCCACCGACTTCAACTACATGCACTGGAGCGTCTTCGGCGGAAAGGGAAACACCATCCGGCCCGAGCCGTACTACACCAACGTCAACAACTGGACCGTCACCTTTGACGCGACCGCCGAGGCTTTGACGGGGAAGACAAAGGCGACCTTCACCATCCAGCTGGCCGGTGTCAAGACGTCCGCTGGCAACACCGACAGCGATAGTAAGCCCTTTGGCAACTTGCCATATACTGTGGTCTTCAACGGAAAGGCTCTTCCTGTCTGGACTATCTCGTAAGTGCAATACAAACGCAAGTCATGTTGTCAAGGGTGAGCACGGGACTGACATTCCAAAAAAGGTCCAAGCAAAGCAGCTCGTGTGGTGCCCGCTCCTCTGATTCGTGCTATGTCACGGGCAATAAATGGACCTTCGATGCCAGCACACTAAAAGCAGGCCTGAATACTATTGTGCTCTCTCTCCCTGAGCGAGCCACAGCGCCTGAAGACGCGGTCCTGCCCGAGAGCACCTATTTGCAGTATGACGCCTTGCGGCTGGAGCTTGCTTAGGCGACTCATTACTAGTAGATTGAAGTCGCTCTTATCCACTAGTTATACCACGATATACAATGCTGCCTTGCGCAAATACCCACGTAGCCGTGGACTTGGACGTTGCGTCTTTTCCCCAGGATATTCAAACAACATATTAGGCATTACCGGTGACTTTGAAACCTTTCTAGGCGCTCTCAAACTAGATCCCAGCGTCTACACGCTTTGGGCATAACTTCCAAAACTTAAGCATGCGGCCCTCTTCTAAAGTTCCTCTTGAACCACTCACTGCAACATCTGCTGCATGGCATTAACGCGATAACTCTCTCTCCTCTCCATCAATTCAGCGTGTGTGCCCTGATCCACAATACGGCCCCCCTCAATAACAAGGATCACATCCGCCTTCTGCACTGTCCGCAGCCGGTGTGTGATAGCCAGCACCGTGGTGCCCACCGCAGCCCTGTCCAGCCCCTCCTGCAGCACCGCTTCGCTCTGCGCGTCCAGGGCTGAAGTGCTCTCGTCGAGGAGCAGCAGCCGCGGACGGCGGACCAGCGCCCGCGCGATTGCTATGCGCTGGCGCTGGCCGCCCGACAGTCTCGCCCCCGCCCCGCCGCCGCTGCTGCCAACTTCGGTGTCATAACCATCCGGGAAGCCGACGATGTCGTCGTGGATGTTTGCCGTGCGGCAGGCGGCCTCGATCTCGGCGTCCGAAGGGGTCGGCGAGCCCGGGCTGGCGCCTAGGGCGACGTTGAAGCGGATCGTGCCGTCGAAGAGGGCGGGTACCTGCGGCACGAGGGCAATCGATGAGCGGAAGGTGTTGGGGTCGGCGTGGGCAGAGATGTCGGCGCCGTCGATGGCGATGGTGCCTGATGTCGGGTGGTAGAGACGCTGGGCGAGGCTCATTATGGTTGACTTGCCTGCGCCTGAGGGCCCGACTAGGCCGCAGAATTTGTTAGGCGGGAGGGTGAAGGAGATATTGTCGAGTATTGTCTTTTCTGGGCGCGAGGGGTAGGCGAAGGACACGTTGGTGAATGTGACACCTGCGCCATTTCCTCCCTCATTGGCTTGTTGTGGAGGAACAATGGCTTTGGAATCACCGGCAGCTCCTTCGACATCATCGTGGCTGCGGCCGTGTCTTTTCGAGACATCCATGATGGCTTCCTTGTCTATGGCACTCATGACTCTCCCCAGTGCCAGTCTTGCACGAGAGAACTCTGGCGCCAGGGCAAACATGCTGCTCCACAGCTGGGCACTCGTGAGCATGGCAACGAGGATGATCAAGAAGTCGGTCTGGGTATATTCGCCCTTCATGATCTGCTGAGAGCCCCACCAGTACGCGAGAGCATTGACGAATATGCCACACGAGTAGCTGAGAGCGAGCCAGATGTTGGTCGACACGGCATTACGGACGGCCTGCTTCTTCGGGCCACGTACAAGCCGCTGATACTCGTCCATATACTCATGCTCGAGCGAGAGCACAGCAACCGTGCGGATAGACTGGATAGCCTCTGTCGCGAGCGTGGTTGCGGTCGCGAATGCTCCCCGGTGCCGCTCCTCGTAGCGCGCCAGCATTCGTAGCTGCATGAACCCACTCCCCAGTAGGATTGGAACCGTGACCATGCAGACGAGGGCGATCTTCCATGCGAAGCAGAGCGAGAGCACGATGGCAACGACCATGTTGACTAGCACGCCGAGAACGGTGCCGAACGTCGACCCGGAGAAGGCCCCGACCGCCACCGCGTCGGCGGTGATGATGCTCAGCAGGCCTGAGGGACTCTGTCCTGGGGCCTGGTGGAAGGTGAGAATATCTCTGTCTAGAAGAGCACGCAGGGCGAGCACACGCAGGTGGTACAGGAGGCGCTCTGCCACGATACCGAAGCCCCACCAGGTGAAGAAGTTAGCGAGCAGCTCGACGCAAGCTAGCATAAAGAAGAGACCTCCGAACATTTTGCCAACGGAGCGAAGGGAGTCTCCGGTGGCGCCGGCGGCACATGGGTTCAGCTCACCCACGGTGAAGCCGAATATAACACCTTGGGCGGAGAAGGTCGAGCCAACAATGAAGGCGGCGATGAGGGCAAGGATGAACCAGCCCAGATTGGGCCGGATAAGATAGAATAGACCCTTGAACACGGGAGTGCCTCTTTGTTCCTCTTGTTTGCCATCGTTGTTCTGTGCTATCGATAGTTGGCTCGATGCGGCCGGTGGCGAGGGGGAGGGAGGAGAAGAATCCGTCCCCAGGTCCTCCTGGCTGGCGGTGACCTTCGAAGAGGCGTATGGCTTTTTCTCGTTGTGCTCCTCGTCATTCTCAACGGCCTCATCATGACCAGCTTCTCCGTTACCAGTCTGTAGCTTGACCATACGAGAAAACTCGCTCGGCTCCGGGCCCCTGGCCATGAGCTCATCGTAGGTACCCTGCTCGATAACGCGGCCAGCCTGCATGACGACGATGCGGTCGGCGTTGCGAATAGTGCTGAGGCGATGTGCGATTGCGATGACGGTGCGCCGCTGGTCCGGCGGCGTAGCCTGGTACGTGGCATCTAGACGGTCCATGATACGCTTCTCGCTGGCCGAGTCGAGCGACGCCGTGGCCTCGTCCAGGAGAAGTACGTCCGGATCACGGATTAGGGCGCGCGCGACAGCGATGCGCTGCCGCTGCCCGCCGCTCAGGGAGGCACCACCTATCCCCGCAGGTGTTCCGTAGCCGTGGTCCAGGCGTGAGATGAACTCGGCTGCGTCGGCCTGCTCTGCAGCATCGCGGACCAGGCGGGCGATCTCGGCAAGCTCGGGGCCCAAGTTATGGGCACTGACAGCGGCGTCCAGGTCCACAATGCCTGATATTCTAGACTCCGCCGCGGCCTTGGCCAGGCGATCAAGATGGCTGTGCACGAGGAAGGGCTTCAGGGACTTATGTTGGGGTCGAGGGCTGTTGACCAGGCCCAGGGCGATATTCTCGAGGATGGATCGGTCCAGCAGTTGGCAGTCCTGGTGAACAACACCGAGAGTGCTCCTCAGCGAGCGTACGTTAAGCTCGCGCATGTCATGGCCGTCGAGCTCGACAGTGCCCTCGGTCGGGTCGTGTAGGCGCGCGAGGAGCGAGGCGAGGGTGGATTTTCCGCTTCCTGATAATCCCACGACGGCTGTATATGTCCCGCGCTCAAGCTCGAGGTTGACGTTCGATAGGGCTGGCTGGCCAGGACGGGAGGCGTATTCGAAGGAGACATTGCGAAGGGTAATGGCCCTACCCCGGGATGAGGTCGAAGGTTCGAGGGTCTTCCCCGATGATAAAGTGCCGTCAATTGTCGACGGTGCGTCCATGTCCTCCTTGAGACGGCCGTAGGCGGCAACTGCGGCGCTCAGGAAAGGCATGGATGGGGCGATACCGCCAAGCATCACACAAGCGTCCACTAGTAGGAAGACAATGGAGTAGATGGAACCCACACTGGCGTTATTGGAGGAGGATCCCTCGAAGACGGCGGCAATCAAGATGCTGCCCTGCCAAAAGGCCAGGGCGTTGGCACAGTACGAGACGAAATAGAGCGATCCCGTCTGCACGGCAGCAAAGGCGGCCTTGGATACAGAAGCGTCTCGGGCCCGGGCCATGTGGCCCGCAAAGGAGGCGACGAGGCGAGGCGCGGCACCAAAAGATTGCACGACCTCGACGTGCTCTAGGGCCTCCGAGGCAATGGACGCAGCGGCGGAGGAGGCGACAGTGGACTGGCCCACCAGCTTTGCAATATAATGTCCGTTGATCTGGCCCGAAAGCAACAAGGCTGGAAGTGTTGCCGCCAGCAGCATGCCGGCCAGCGCGGGCTGACGCATGAAGGCAAGGACAAGCACAGTGATGAAGAAGGAGAGCGTGGTAATAATGTTGCCGACCTTCTCGCTCGTGCCGGCCTGCACAGCTGTGATATCACCTTGAAGCCGACCTGACACTCGCCCAGAAGCTGCGTCGCCAACAACATCAAAGAACCCGGGTGGTTGCCGTAGTAGAGCAGCCACGTATTGTGCTCGAAGGCGCTGTGCCAGACGCTGGGAGACCATGTTCCAGCACGTCAGGTGTCCGTATATGAGCACCAACGCGATGGCTCCGATCCAGGCAGTCTGAATCACTTTCTCGTTGATGGCCTCCTGGTAGGCAAAGGCGTCAACATCTTGGGACGCCGCGCATGTTGCCGAGTTGAAGTCGTCTATCAGTTCTCCGAACAGGACACCCATCAGGGGGAATGGCACACCAGCGCCGGCTGCGCACAAGAAGCCGCCTGCCAGCAGGGCGTAGTCGATCCATGTAGGCGACGCCGCGGTCAACACCAGCTCGAACCATGCGAACATGCCTCGTATCTTCTGCTTGTTCTTCTTCATCTCTTTGGGGGCCTTTTCATCTTTTATGTCAGCGGGTCTTATCTGATTCAATTTCCTTTGTCTGTCTAAAAAGTCAAATTAAGCTAAAAAAAATACCACTCACAGGTGCTGCTACCGCCATCTTACTGTTGGCTTCCTCGCCAGCTGCTGCCGCAGTGGATGCATGCGCTTTTTCGTTCTCGCTCATCGCACTTGTTTTGAGTGCTGTGTCCAAGTACACGTATGCAACTCGTTCGAGACCGGGCCAGAACGATCAAAAGGGCATGGTGGAGGGAAAGCCAAGCGAGTGGAACAAAAGACGGGGTTGTGTTTATCCCCGGTGCGGTATACAAATGCGTCTCCTTTCCTCTGTTTCTCACATTTCGCACCGAAATAGGAGTCCACAAATGCTATATGGTAATTGGCAGTAAAGGCCAAGCAGGCCAAGCCCTGGTGCAAAAAGCTACCCATCGCCACCCATTTGTTATCAGATCTCCTCTGCTCCGTAAGCCAAGAGGTTGCATCCATAAAAATAATGGGGCCTCCACACCGAAATTTCCCTCATTGTGCCGTGCTACATGGATCTAGGGAAATCCCGAGAATCACAGGTCGCCTATTCAAGTTGCACCATGCGGATAGATGCAATTACGCGGGCTAGCCTTAATGGATCACAGGTAGTGGGTACTTACATATATATGCTGGTTGATGTTTTAACATGGCACGCACTGCGTATTTTCGTCGATCACTTTCAAATGATACTTGCTTTTACGCGTATACTCGAGTTCAAAATTTGATTCTAACTATTCTAAATACATACAACTGCGAGCCGCTGAGTGGTGATTGTACTGTTTAATTGTCCCCACTCCCAAAGACACAACACCGTAGAAACTCGGCTGTGAACGCAGCAAAGGTCTCCCTGGCAGTTTCACGTCTTTCATTAGAGAAAATATCAACGTGATTGGCCCCAGGGGTGTCTACAGAGGTGGTGCTCAATGCCGGCCAAGGACGGCCAAGCCCGTCAGATCGCCTCCACGACTCCATCTCAGCGTTGTATTCCAAGACTGTATGCTTGCGCGTCATTACCATCTATACAGCATGTGTTCCTGGTATTTAAGAGATCGTCCCCGAGGGTCTCCATCACGTCAACGTCGATCGTGTGCTCTTCTACTATCTGGTCAAGACCACGACACTGTTGTTTACTTATACTATTTGGAACTGAGAAATCCACCAGTTGACACGACGGTCATTATCTGACACTTCACCATGTCGCAGCCAATCATCCTAACGCCCCGATTGGAGCTAGTTCCTCTTGATCAAAGCCCCGAGCATAGGCAATTCCTTCTCGAACTAGATACCGACCCGGAGGTAATGCGCTACATTGCTTTTGGACGACCATTTGACGAAAAAGAGGCGGAGCTGTGCCGAGAAGCCCTGCTCAAGACCGCGGAGCCGACCGGGTTCGGGACCTGGGTCGCACAACTACGCAACAACCGAAGCAACCAAACCACCACCAACAAGAACAGCCCAAAGGAGTTGGTCGGCTGGTGGGTTCTCAGCCCAAGCGAGACAAACCCAGAAAAGCGCGCCGAGTTCGGCCTGCGGGTCGTACGACAGTTCTGGGGCCAGGGCTTTGCCAAGGAGGGCACGTTGGGCCTGTTGCGGTATGCCTTCGAGTCGATGCCCGGCCTTGGCACAGTCTACGGCGAGACCATGACGGTCAACGAGGGCAGCTGCAAGACAATGGCAAGCTGTGGGATGAGATTTGTGCGCAAATATTTCAACGAGTACAAGGACTTCACGCCGGCACCGGGAATCGAGCACGGCGAGGTCGAGTACGCCATCACCAGGGAAGAGTGGGAAGAGGCTCAGATCCGGGCTGCTGCTCAGGAACACCATGCCACACGGATCCACCAGGCAAAGCTGCAACCGAAGCAACTTGATAGTGGCGAGCACCGGCGCATACCCATGCATGCTAGCATGCCAGCGGTAGCTGTCGGCTCATTCTCGGCTTGAAGGACGAATGGGGCGGAATCGCCCTATACTACGAGTAATTGGGGTGGGGAACGCCCAGGAAATCCCACGCATTTGTACAGTGAACAATTGGCAAATCTTATCAATCTCATCTAATCAGTTCTGCACGCCAAGATGCCATGCCACTAGTGAACGGGGAATCTACGCCAACAAGTTTTCCTCCTCCAGTTGACGGCCATGTCGTCAGGTTGCAAGGCGACACCCCTGGATTGGATCAGCGTCTAGATGCTTGTCCTGAGCTTAGCGATGCCGAAGCGACGCTGAAGCGACACTGAAGCGGAACCTCTTGCATAATTTTTTCTCTCGCTGGTCTTGGCTCGGCCGTTCTTTCGCCCTGCCTTTTGTATTGAATACTCAAGTGCTGAGAGCTGAGCTCTGAGTCTCTGTACTCGTTATGTTCATATTCATCACACCACAATGGGGAAATCGTCGTACCCAGTGCACAGTACAGCATGCCCGTCCTTCCTATCACGGATGGACCTCGCCACGCGTCGTTTCCAATCCTTTCGTTCCCATGTGATGGCCCTCTAATAAAATACCTCGCCTTCTCGTCTATTGCCGTTGTAACTCAAAACTGCGTCCAGATCACGGAAAATCCTGCAATTGGGACGCACCCGCAAAGCTGATATGGCAAGATCACTCGACAAAGGCTTTGGTGGTAATACAGACGTCGGCCAAGCGGTCGAAATGCCTGTTGACAGCCGCAAGGATGGGGACGAGTCATCCCCACCAGCAGTGGCCGTGGATGGCACTGGCCTTAACGAGGTCAGCGACAACGCGCAGATTGGTGTTCAGGAGATGGAGGCAACAACTTTGACCTGGACCAAGCCATCTCTGGCTTGCCTGTTCATTGGGTGAGTACACCTGTCTCGGGGTAGTGATCGGATGATCATGCCCAGAAACCAGATTGGAGAAGACATGGATGCTCTAACAAGAAAGCCGAGCGCTGCAACAACAGCATCTGGTTCATATTCCTCGTCAACGGCTTCCGTCTGTCCATTCTGTCCTCCCTGTCGCCCTACATCACGTCGCAATGGGCGTCTCACTCCCTCCTCGCCGTCATCAGGGTTGTCTCCAGCTCCATGGCGGGGGCCGTCTACATCCCCATGGCCAAGCTCATGGACGTCTGGGGCCGTGCTGAGGGTTATCTCCTGATGGTGGGCTTCACCGAGCTGGGACTAATCCTGACCGCCAACTCCCACGACCTGTACACCTACTGCGCCGCCCAGGTCTTCTATACGGTCGGTTACTCCGGGCTTATCTACGCCGTCGAGATCCTGGCCATCGACGCCTCGGATCTGCGCAACCGGGCCCTCGCGTTCGCCTTCACATCCAGCCCGTACATGATCACGGCCTTTGCTGGGCCCGCTGCTGCTGAGGCCTTCCTTCTCAAGGTCTCGTGGCAGTGGGGATTCGGTGCCTTCGCCATCATCATGCCCTTTGTCACGCTGCCGGTCTACCTGCTGCTCAAGCTCAACCTGAACAAGGCCAAGAAGATGGGCTTGCTCAAGGACCGTGTAAGAAGCGGGCGCACCCTTGCTGAGAATATTGTGCACTGGTTCCACGAATTTGACGGTACGTTTGAGAAGAGGCCTTTTTTTTTTCTTGTGTACCCGCATGCGTCGCGCGACGTTTGCGCCATCTCTCAATTTGGTCGCTAATCACCCACACCTTACAGTTGTCGGCGTCTTCCTTTTCGCAGCCGGCCTCGTCGTTTTCCTCCTTCCCTTTACCATCGCAGCGCTAGCACCAAAAGGCTGGGAGACAGGATACATTATTGCAATGATCGTCGTGGGCCTCTTTTTGATTGCCGCGTTTACCGTATGGGAAATTTGGCTCGCACCTGTTCCGTTCCTCGCGGCCAGGCATCTGCAGAACCGCACGCTTCTCGCCGTCTGTCTCATCAACACGACATACCAGATGGCCTATTACTGCTGGAACAGTTACTTTACCTCATTCTTGCAGGTTGTGAATGGAGTCACTGTGGCACAAGCAGGCTACATCAACAATACCTTTCAGGTTGTGTCGGGCGTAGAGCTCTTTATTGTCGGGTATTTCATCCGACGCACTGGTAAGTTGGCCATCGCCTTCCCATCCCCTACATAGGTGGATGCACACGAAAGGGAACACTTGCATTAACCATCATCACTGGAAACAGGAAAATTCAAGTGGACTTTCTACCCAGCTATTCCCATCTACATCTTCGCCCAAGGCCTTATGATTTACTTCCGCCGCCCTGGTTTCAGCGTCGGCTACCTCATCATGTGCGAAATCTTCATCTCGATGGGTGGTGCCGTCTTCATCCTCGTCTGCCAGATTGGCTGCCTGGCTGCCGTTGAGCACCAGTACGTGGCCCCCACCATCTCCATGGTCTTTGTCTTCGGCACGGTGGGCGGTGCCATCGGTTCCACGATCTCAGGTGCGATCTGGACAAACACCTTCTTACCGGCCTTGATTCGGTTCCTGCCCGAGGCCGAGAAGGCGAACGCCCCCATAATCTACTCGGACCTGGTGACGCAGCTCTCATATCCTGTGGGCTCGGCGGCGCGTATCGCAATCCAGAACGCGTATGGTTACGCACAGACAAGGATGTTGGCTTCGGGCACAGGAATCATGGCATTGTGTTTCATCTGGGTTCTGCTTGTGGAGAACTTGGATGTTAAGAACCGGAGGCAGACTAAGGGAACGGTGCTCTAGTCTGTTCATGTTATGGGTTACTTTATGACAACTTGATGAGTGTGAGGATGGTCGTTGAGATGAGCATGATTCACCTGGCTGCTTGATGACGGAAAAAATCTGGACGGGTGGCGATTGTGTCATAAAATTGATGAGAGCAAGGGAATAAGGGAAAGGAAGGTAATGGCACGTATCTCTGTACATATGAAGTGCAGGTTGCATAATACATTGAGCAGTCGCATAAGCAATGAGTTGATGGTATGTCAAAAATCTGAGAACTGAGGATTAGTAACGGTCGAACATTTGAAGTCTTGATACATCACAGCCTGAAGGCCCCAGGCAGTGGTACGTAGGAGGGTAAAAATAAAGTAGGAGGCCACGCAACAGTTGAAACACAAAGAATCTGTATCGGTGTGTGCAGTACCGTTGAGATTCATTAATTGAGTACTCGTTCAATTTAAAGTCAGTGTGAATTTGGATAGGCTTGCGCCTCGTAGCAACGGCGTTATTAGTGTATCTAATGTCTACAGACTTGCAGCAATCAACATTGAGGTGAATAAACCTGTGCTTCTCAGAATGGCCTCCTTCCATGATCATGTGCCGAATTACAAGTCTCCGGTCAAGAATTCCATGACGCCGTGCTGGAATCCCGGGAGCGCAGCCGAGCCATGATCTTCCCCCAGAAACGACCTTACCTCCAGTGCCCTCAGGTTCGGATGGCCCTCGAACCTCTGTACCAGCCCCTCCACCGCCTTCCGGATGCCTGGAAGCTCAGCACACCGCTGCCTCTTATCGAACCGCGCATCCGTCTCCCCAGGCCGCCGTACCATGTCCTGCGCCTCCTCGCCATAAGTAACGAGCAGCGCCGGCGGTGGGCTGAAGTCGAGCTTTCGGGCGCGGAACGACGCCTCCTGCTCGCTCACAAACTTGCATTTGTTGAACTCGACGTCCGCGCTCGCGGCCAAGTACGTGTCCCACGTTTCCGGGTGGGTGTAGAGCGCGTTGAGCGTGAAGATCCCGCCGTAGCTGTGGCCCAGCAGCGCCTTGCGGCCCCACCGGCCCTCGAGGTGCGGGAAGAGGACGCCCTGCACGTAGTGCTTCATCACGTCCTCCCGGATAAAGTCCAGGAAGTCATCCGCCTCGCCGAACTTGATATCCGTGCGGGGCTTCCCGTTGCGGTCCAGGGGCGCGTCGTACGTGCCGTCGCGCGAGGGCGGCGTCAGGTCTGGCCCGCGCCGGAAGTCGTAAACGGCGCGGGCTGGCGGCATGGGGTAGCCAATGCCCACGACTATGCAACGGGCGTTGTGGGTGTACTCAAGGCGGCGGACTACGTCCACAGTGGTGGAGAAGTAGGCATTTCCATCAGTGAGGTAGCTGTTGATAGTTAGCAATCGGGGCCCACTCCAGAGTGGCAAGTAATTCATGTTTGGAGTGGTTGTGTCTACATTGATGGTATATCCTTGGCAGTGATCTTTTCGTCCTCAGGAGGGGTTCGGTCCTCGTTCCATTTGAGAGGCCATGCCACTTGTACCAGGAAGTCTCCTCTGTGCGTCCGCACAGTGGACTGGCAGGTGTTGGGTGCATGCGCATCCTGCAAGGGCTCGAACACGGGTGGTTTAATTTCCATTTTGGTGTAACGTTTGAGAGTCACAGAAGACGACGAGTACAAAGCTCTCCGTGGCCAGGTGACGCTGGGCCGAGAAGTCCGAATCGGCGGCGAAGGAAATCGACTGACGTGTCGGCAGAGCATGAGAGGATTTAACGCGGCTTGGCAGATGGGTTTTGCACGTGGGCGAGCATTTAATTGTGGGGTCTACGCTTCCGCAACCTGGTCAATCGAACGCGAAAATTCATGGCCTGATTTGTTTTCATGTTGTGGGAATAATTATGAAGACTATGCAGAGCCCGACTCCCTGTTGAAGTGATATACGTTTAGACGATCATGCAAAACAGATTGGGTGCACTGTGTGGTGGGGGTAATTGTGGGTCTTTGACGGTCTCGTGGAGAAAATTTTTATCAGATTGATTGATTAGATGCGACCTTGATCAGATATGAACGCTTGGCCGCTTGGCACCGGAACTTTCCCTGCGACAACGGCGACTGGTGATCCCTCGGAACGCCGAGAGTAGCAGGTTTTGAAGGCAAAGATCTGCGGCATGTGATGCAGACACAAGCAGTGAACTTTCGAATCTTGATCTCAAAGTTTCTTGAAGAAAATGGTGTTCCAGAGTCCGTCACAGAAACTACAATACCGCCCTTCAAGAAAGGAAGATTGAAGTTGATTTAAAATCGATATCCAAATCTACCTAGGTATCGAGGTACATCGAAAAATATGATGAGAGGAGATGTTTGCGGCATTGTTTAGTTGATGTCGGTTGAGGCACCAGGTCACCTTTGGCTCGATTCCTGGGCGTCTGTGACGAGTTCTCGCCCACTTACAGTTGCATTATTGCCACTGGACATCTCGTGAGGGCCTTCGCCCTCGTCTTCATCCTTCAGCCCGAACTCAGTGACGAGCTCCTTGCGCAGAGGGACCTCATGCAGCACGCAGGCGATGGGCACAGAGATCACACAAAAAGCAATCAGGACTTGCCATACCTCCTTAATCCCTGCGGTGTAGACGTCGACGAGCTCTTTCTTTAGCTCTGGTGTTTCATTGAACGCCTTCATGAAGTTGACCGTCGCGTGTTCTATGATTAAAGCATTGGTTAGACGAACGGTGATACATGGTATTTTTGTTTCTAATGCCCACCCATACATATGAAACATATATAGGGCCTTCATATAGTAGTAAACTCTCAAGACCCAGTGTTTTAGAAAGCTAGTGCCGATAATAGTATAGAGAGAATACAATACGTGGTACGTGACCTCAGCCTCGTGCCGTGTAGATAAGGCTAGGAGGTATCGTTCCTAGCGGGACTGCTAATCGTCGACATAAGTAGCCTGAGGGCTAATCTGCCACGGTGCTGAAGTCAAGGCCGGCAAAGCAGTCAAAGGGTGATATAATACGGGCAGCGCGGTGGAGGATGAAAGTTCTGATTTCTATGGGGGATCGACTTACCATAAGCACCACCACGCTGCAGAAGCTCACGGGTGGCAGTGTCACTGATGGTATATAGCATCCTGTCAACGCGAGAGTTGAAAATGGTCGCAGGGGTGGCAGCTCCCCAAATGGAGCCGAAGCTACGGACAAATGCCCAAGACGCCGTCGCCACCGCAACATCCGCTTCTGCCAGTGGGGCTTGGATAGCCGGCAGGGCTGCGGTGTGCGCCAGGCCAGCGCCTACGCCAGCTATGATCTGGAAGATTACCCACTCAGCCGTGGATGAGTGTGCGTCAAGCGTAACGAGGAGGCCGGCGCCGAGCGCGAGCAGGGCATGGCCTGCGATCATCGTCGGCTTGTAGCGACCAGTCTTGGCGATGATGAGGCCACCCGCGATACCAGCGGGCATGAGCGGGATGATGATGGCAAGGAGGTTAACGCCCGACTGCAGAGGGGACGCCTCCAGGAGGACCTGGAAGTAGACCGGGAGGAAGAAGCTGAGCCAGCTCATGGCGATGCCGTGGAGGAAGGACAGCACAAATGACAGCAGAGATGTGGTGTTGCTGTACACACGGAGCGGCATCGTGAGCTCTTTTGCGAAGTACTTCTGGTGGGCATAGAAGACGCACAGGCCCGCGACTCCGATCAGGAGCGGTACCAGAACGTGGAATGAGCTCCATGGGTAGAGGGTGCCGCCCCATGTTAGGCCGATGAGGACAGCGACGACGGACGCCATGAGGAGGAAGTTCCCAGACAGATCAACCCGGCCGAGGCGCGACACAAGGCTCCCCTCCCGCTTGTGATGCATCCGCAGGAAGAGGATCACCATGGCCAGTGCTGCCCCAGTGATGGGCAGGTTGATGTAAAACGCCCAACGCCAGGATATATTGATTGGTCGCGATAACGCCTCCGATTATGGGTCCGATGAAAGTTCCCAGCGCGAAGGTGCCCGTGACGAGGGCCATGTACTTTTGCCTTTCGCGGAGCGGCACAAGGTCGGCTACGATGATATCGACGAAGATGAAGAGCCCTCCGCCACCGAGGCCCTGGATGATCCTTCCGGCGATAAGCATTGCGGTGTCGCTTGCACCACCACACATCCCGCTGCCCAGTGTGAATAGTGCGATGGGGATCAAAAGGGGGTTTCGCCGCCCAAAGATGTCGGAGGCCTGGCCAAAGACAGGCTGGACAGCCGCCGTGCTGAGGAAGTAACCATTGACAACCCAGACGTACAGAGCGCCTGAGTGCAGGCTGTTGACGATTGTGGGGAGCGCCGTGGTCACGATGGACGTGTCCAGGCCGACTAGCAGTACAGAGAAACAGAGCCCTGGGAAGACGGCCCAGAAGCGCCAGCCGTGCTTCGACTTGGTCCCATCTGCGGGCCGGGGTTTGGAAGAGGATTTCATTACTATGGCCCACGGGGTCTCAGATTCTGTAAAGGAACCAGGTCGCATTAGGAGAGATAGTAGTGGGCGGGACTAATTATAATGATTGAGTGATGACGGTCTTCAGGTCAGACTTATATGTTGAAGATTACCTACCATAGGTTAGGTATGGAGACAAAGCGGGTAGAGCCGGAGTTGGTTCGATCGATCACTTCATGTTTTTGCCTCCCCCCTCTCTCTTACTTCGCTTCCCTTTCTCTTTGCTGATTTTCTTCGCTTTCGGGACAGAGTCTGGGGGCACGTCAGTAGCCAGGGCCGCTTAGCCGGAGCGGCGTCATGCGGGTCGCCGCCACGTTCTATTCTACATGATCTTCTGTATCTAAAACCTATTCTCTTCAAAACATTTCTCCTACTTAGATCTGTATTTTAAAATATATCCCTATATAAATGTCTATGAATGCTATGAACCGCCGTACGCAGTGACCTAAGAGGATGGCCATCACCGGGTGAGGACTGCATCCTTCTCGGGCTTTTGCGGGCCGCGTCTGACGAACCCTGGACAACTTATCCCAAAGCTCCGGAATGGACCACCCGGCTGCTTGGATGGGGTGAGCTCCAGGTGGATTTTGCCGGCTGTCCAATCAGGACGGGCTGCTGACCCTGATAGCCTCAAGGCAGCCTGTTGGTTAGGCTGCCACCTTGGCTTGGGATTGCCTTTAACCACCGGACTCGCAGTCTCAGCGAGTGAGCCAGGGGAAACGATGACGTCTCGTCCTGCATGAAACGCCGGTTGTTAGTCGATTCGTATCATGACGAAGACTTTGTCGTTGTTCGGAATGCTGGATGCCGAGACTACCTAAACATGTAGTAATTTCTGTGCACACTCTCCAAGAAGAAGCTGATAACATGATAATCCCACGCGGAAATCTGGTTCCCGCCTTACTAGCAGGTTGGCGTTGGCCAGGTGAAGCCCTGCGCTGAAGCATCTGGACATCATCAAAGGGGACAAATGATGGCTGAGGTGCCCAGTATAAGGACACATATAGATGCTGAAACTTTCCAGGAGTTGTCGAGGACCTAAAGTGGAAGACACTTTCAAAGCACATTGAGACACCAGACAGGGGTCTTTTGTATATCCCGGAAACGTTGATCCTTTGGAAATGTGCGGGTCTCCTTGTCAGATTACGAGCAACAATGCCAGCAACTACGCTGCACTTGGATCATAATGTGGGAAGCCCGAGCCACGACTCACCGTTTGGGGCTGAATAGAGTTACAGTACCTAGGTACTTGTGCGATGTACTTCTAATTGAAATTCATCAATAGCTTACATGATTACTCTCCCCCGCCGTCGACTATCACATCGTCATGAGTATTGATATAAGTAAGTACTTATAGGAGAAGGGGCCGGTAATACTGCTGAGCCCACTAACACACTCCTGCCACCTCCGGAGATCACGCGGTCTTAACCATTCCTTCAATCCAATAAAAATGGTTTCTCATCCGATACGATACTGGATGTAGCGGTACCTTTCTGGGACTGGAACAGCAAGTGACTCTTTTCTTCGGGATTGGCACTCGAAGTGGCGGTATCTTTGCGGAATCTCATGTTCAGACCGTCTGCCAATAGTTGGAGTCTGCCCTTGATCTTGGTAATAGGCGACGTGTGAATTTGGGGCTTTGATACTCGAGAGTGGGGGACACGAAGCGGTGCACCGGTTGAGTGTCTGGCTAACAGGTCCATCGCATGCTTGCTGATCGTATAGTTTGTTGGACTGGATATATTTGTGTAGTACATGCGTTGCAAGTCGTCCATACGCCCTAGTATCGTAGGACGCCGTGATTCCAGCCATTCCCGGTTCAAACAGAGGGTGTTGTGGCCACAGAGGTTGTTGTAAATCTGGCGATCATAGATGAGAGTTTCAGCCAGACGTTCCCAGTCACATTCTTGGATAAGCCGTGCGACGTAGGCACCTGTACCTTTGGCCCCCGCTTGACGTGCAGCTGCTGTAGCACAAAGCCTGTTTTCTGCGTGCGATACAAGAGAGCCCAGGTTCATCTCCTCTAAAGGAAACAAGACGTTCTCTTGGTAGTACTTGTCGTTATCGCTGGTACTACCATCTTTGGGTTGTCTGTGGTGTTGCACATGGCTGGACACATCCGAAAACCAAGGGTCACCGGGTAAAAGGGGCTCAAAAGGGCTGACGGACTGTAACGTGTAGTCCTCATACAACATCCCGACCAAAACGACTTCATAGCGATTGATGTTCACCAGGAGGAGACTGCGATCCGATGGGTCCTTGAAGACCTTGGACCAGTGTTCGTAGATGTCGTTGTGCATACTGTCCAGCTTCTCGACGAGATCAATATCTGCGGACAGCCGAGGCTTCCGTATCTCTTTTGCCATCAGTTCAATTGCGCTGTTCATTTCCTTTTGTAGAAGAGGTGTCAGGCGTTCTTGTTGAAGTTGGATCTTCCAGAGTGCAATGCGGGCCTCCAGAGTTGTGTGATAAAGCTCCTCGGTACTTCCCGAGGACTCGTCACTAGAGTCGGGCACAGAGGACGCGTCGCTCGCGTCAACGAGCTCAGGCTGTTCTGGTTGGCTCATTGCTGTGGGAGGATTGTAGAGATGACAAAAGAAGTGAAACAAGGTACGAGAGTGAGCTCAGATGTATGGCCCAAATAGATATAGAATAGATGGTGAGTCGAAGTGAAGAGGAGAGGGTGTTCAACATTATTTGTACTCCAGGAAAAGGAGGGGAACAGCCTTCCAGTTCTGCCCAAGTGACGTACAAGTACCTAGGTACTTGCGGTGAAGAGCAGGGATTCTGGAGGTCAGCGCGAAGGACGGGAGACGGGCTCACACCAACATGCATCCCTCGGTGTTAAGCAAATTGGCGAACGTAACGCGGGACTGCTATCAGGGCCTCCCAAGAATCTGTGGATCCTCTTGCTTGAAAATGACGCCAGTCACCTATTTCCTGCTTTTTCCAACACCCAACTTGAGGATTCCATTGTGTGTCGCTGGGCGTCATTCACAACATGCCAGCAGGCGGGACCGTAGATGTCGAAGGACTCATACTTACACCTGTCTTTCATGGTCCGGGTCACAGCACTGCCCGCACTATGCGCCTAGGCCAATTAACAACCCCGGGAATCTCAGGAAAATCGGCTTCCATACCCCAACTGGTAGTGCTGGGGCAGCCTGCGAGTTAAAACGGAGGGCCACCAGTACCCAAAATGCAGAGGTCTCTTGATGACTTGGGATTGCCACCTGTACATGCCGTGTCCTCTCTCGGAAAATGCCACCCAACTGAGCCCAAGCCAATCTCTTTCAGCTATTAGTTGACAGCAGGGCAATGCCAAGTAATCATGGCCGATTATTACCCTAGGGTACTCAAGGACACTTGGGTTTGTTCCTCCGCGTTCACTACTTGGCGTAAATCATTCTCTATTACAAGTCTTTACAGGTTCCATTTAAATCAACTTTCTGTCCTTAACCTTCTATAAATCTAGTCTTCTAGGAACACAGACACCTCTCGCTCGAAGCTAGCTCTATCGGAATCATCAACATGCCTCATACACAAAGGGGCTCTGGAAGATGCCCATCCTAGGTTCAAAGATGCCAGTTCCGAGCCCCTTATTGACCCACTAGACTAAACGAACCGACTCACTAGTCAGCTAGAATTCAAGAACCACCCATACTTTCATCACATCACTATTTACACCATGTCCAGCCAAGTTGTCCAAAAGATGCTTGATAAAGACATTGAAAATATTGTGACGCCTTTGGCGGAATTTGTTCGTGCCGGTCTTCTGTCTGAACGGGGCTCGGGACTAGGAAGGTGAGTGGCTTGCGTATGATCGTCTTGAGGACCCTCCATACCCTCAATACCATGACGCTTCCGTTAGTATGAGGTAGGTCTTTAGAGACAACCTACCCAACGAGGATTTCTATCAGAGGTCTTTTCGTGGAAGGTGCTGTGTCACAAAGCTTTCCTGCAGGAACTACCTAGGTACTTATACTTATGGACTCACGTCAAGGGGAGTCTACAGGAAATTGATCCATTTCAGTTCGTGTAGAAGGCTTTTCTATGAGGATGTGTTATTCTCCGGGGATTAGTTAAATGAGATTGTTATATATCAGAGTATCCAGTGATCCTGGGTTTATCTGACAGGAAATTAGTATCGGAAGCTTGGTAGCAAACAATATCCCCAGGCCTCTGGAGGAGAAAGACAGCAATTGATCTTGACAATCGGGCTTCATACGTGCAGTGAGTTCGAAATTCCACCCATCCAGGCTATCATTGGGATCTGTGTATAGAGCACCTATTTAGTGCTTCCTATGTCTATCAGAGACCAGAATACCTACTAGAATAATCACTGGGCGGGCATGGTAGATATCACGTCTTTCTCGCAATACTTAGGTACCTTTTCTAGAGCACTTGTGCGGCATGAGGTTGATGCTCCGTGCCCACGTAATGCATTCTCTCTGCACTATTATTGGCATTGAGCTTTTAAATGCTAGGTCTTGAGTGTTTACCACTCTATGAAGGCGCCACATAGGTTTTATATGTATGGGGACTCACATAGTAGTGGTGGACACTCAAAAGGCCCGGTCCTTGCTAGGAACAACATCATTGCTTATGACATTGATGATTCGTAGAAATGGTGTTTCTTTTGATTTCTTCTCATTCTGTACTCTTAGACTCCAATTTTACATACCCCACATCAGCAGGATCTCAATAATAAGAAATCTTCGGCAGCGGTGTCGCCATCGCTCATCACCAATTCCCATTAATGCGGTCCCTTTCCGGTGCGAAAAGACCATTAGGCAGTTTCTTCCGCTCGGCTGATTTGTACAGCCCGTCAACAGCGATATAGACCACAATGGAGAAGAATGCAACCATGATAGTGCTAACAATGAGCTGGGTCGTTCCGCTCTCGATGACACTGAACAAACTAACCACGAATCCGGCTGGTGTTAGGACAAATGCCAGAACGGTGAGGACGCCTAGTCGTGCATCGGTGCGGGCGGCCACTGTGTTGAATTCGGTGTCCATTAGGTAGACGCATTGTTCCTGCAGCATTTCTACCTCCAGATTCAATGTCTCCTGTTCATTTCCTAGCTGGTACAGCATATCACAAAGGCGGTCAGACGAGGTCTGCCTGGAGTGGTCTGTTTTTTCGTCCACCGTGACGTAGTACTGGACAATCTTCTCCATCGACTTCCGTGCTAGTTCGTGCGTCTTGAACTCGGTTCGGAACTCTGCCACTGAGGTTATGGTCAGCGGGAGACCGGGAGGTGATCAGAGGACCATACTTACATGTAAGTAAGGCCTCCTTGAGTCTTCCCACCCGGGGTATGACTCCATGTCTTCTATCATATGGTCCAGGATCCTGCTAAGTTCAGCGAGTGTTCCATCCTATGCACTTCCCTGGCTGGGGCCTCATAGACGCTTACCATATATTTATTGATCCTCAAGCTCGATGTCGCGATATTAACATGGAATTTGTTGAATAGGCGGTCCATATCCATGAAGAGGAATAAGGGCTGATCGCGCACGCCAGCCCACCGATAGTTGGTCCCCATCGTCGTGTACTGATCAGCCATCTTCTTCCCGTAGTAATTTGGATCAGACGATGCATGACGCGGATGCCGGTATATGATGATCACTGCCATAGGCGGCTTTGGTTTCTCCTCGTGCCGCGGTTTAGCAGTGACAAGAACCTGGCGGCCGACCCAGGCGCCGACCCACGTCGTCTCCGTCATCAAGTGGTCGGCCTGCTTTGAGTTTGGTTCCGGGTTATCATGGAAGAGGCCAGTCCCGCCCCGGTACTTGAGAACCCAGGCAGCATTGCCGCGGGCGTTACCGCGCTCGCCTGGGACGTATGGCTGGCGGACCTGTCCGTTGAAGACCGAATCAATGATGTGCGTGGGGAGGCGGTTAGCTGTAATCCGGGCGAGCTGATCGCGGAGACCTGTGGGCAGGTTGCCAGTGCCGTGACAGGCAGTCTCGGGCCGGGTCGCTTCGACAACGATGGTGGCCAAGTTCTCCGGCCAGCGGCGACGGTTCGCCTCCACGTACGGCTCGAACTCATCCATAGTGGTCTCATTATTGTAGAACCGGAACTCGCAGCTTTGCCCATGAACATCGAACGGTTTTTTCGTGAGCACCGTCACGCCAACAGGCTGCTCCGGTTGTGCGACTGTGGGGCTTGGCCGACAGTGACGCCGTGGCCGTCTTCTCTCCGTGCCCCTCCTGACGATGCTTGAACAATCGAGAGGCATTGGTGGACAAATCTCAAGCAAAAAAGTATTCAATTCACAGCCTCACTACACATCAGTGCGGGGCACCTTCAGCCTCTGTCGTTATCGTGCGTACACCCATGCAGCTCGTTGTAACTGTCAGACGTTCGACATATTGCGACCCACAGCGCTTACTACCTTGCCTGCCGCATCTCTTGTTGGTTTCGACGAGGGTGTGCTGCCCACTACTTGGTGTTACCGTAGGAGCTAGGCGTATTAAGATGTACATAAGACTACCTACTGAGCCGCGATGACTAGTAGATGTCTCCAGCTTCATTCCAAGGTTTAGAACGAAGCGCTTTGACAACATCAAGCGCTTGCCCTTTCATGGGCATCCCACTATGCCAGCATATCGCAGATTTTTGAGCCAGAAAGGTGAATCAGACACTTTAGAATTTGTACTGGCTGTTAAAAACTATCAATCCATTGAGGCCACCTGGGCAGTTTCTGTACCTACCCAACACGTACCACCGTCTCCTGCTCACTCCTGTAACTATATGAAGTTTCTGAACTGTCTTTAGTCATGACTACTGCGTGGGCTGGCTTGCCTCACTAGTCTACATCTTCTAGAATTGACCGGGTTGTTCCTTGGCTTGGTACCTCCACCAGAATCTGCAGACCTCCCCGCGTTTATTGCGGTGAAACAAGAGAATCGTGGTGTGATTTTGAACCTCAGTGTCATGTTCTTGAAAATCCCACATTCCTTTCTGAAGCCACTCGTACCTTGTCAGAGGCATGAAGCTGTAGGCATCTGTCCCGTATCGCTTCAGATCAAAGCGGGAGCCGGCGCATGAGTTTATAGTCATTGCCAAGTGGGCTGTTTCGGGGTCCAAGGATATATCCACACATAGGTTGAAACACTCGTATTTTCCAACGTAGTCGCCGAGGTCTGATTCTGGATGCGATATGCTCCGACCATCATGCCACTTGATCAAAATTTCGTCGAACGATTCCTTCCAGAGAGCGGCTTCTTTGTTCGCCAGGGGAATGATGTCGACTTGTGGTTTGGTTTCGAACAGCGCCTGCGCCAGTATCTTGCTAGCCCAATCTGCCGAATCTCCGAGGTCCAGTCCGTTCGCGAGGGCAACTATGGCCGTTTTGGTGCCAGGGCATATCGTAAAAGAGGAAGTGAAACCATTGTTGAACCCCTTATACAAGACTACACTACTAGCCTTCACACTATCCTTGGAAATTAGTGAGTCATAACCAATGGAATTGTCTCTGAAAAAACCGAAAATGTCAGGTCCGACGCTCCAAAGCTTTTGATTCATCCCGTGCGTATGGAAACCTAAAGATGGGAAGTTTAGCACTCGGCCGCCAATGCCGTGTGACATCACGTTGTCTTTATCTACTTGCGGCCAGATAGTTGCGATCTGCCGGAGAGGATTCGGAGGTTCTCTCTGATCGTGATTTTCGGATTCCTCGACCTCAAAACTATAAGCCGAGAATGCGGTTTCGGCGAGCTTGAGCATGTCCTTTACCGAGCTTCTGACGCCGAGCGCGCTTAGAACAGGGGTGTGAGCGTCATCAGTCAGGGCGTCAGTTGCAATTTCCGAAAACGTGTCGTCCCCGAGCTTCGCATACCCCACCGCAACGTTTCTATGAGATCCCATGTGGATCCGTTTGACAATTGTATCCTTCATTCCAAGTGGATCAAGTATTCGTGTCGTAATGAATTCAGAATAGCGTTGTCCCGATGCATTCTGAACCGCGAGAGCAACCAGGGCCATGGCATACTGATTGTAACGGAAGTCCCTGTCTCGAAAGGCATCGTTGGATTCTCCGTCTGCTGTCGAATCCTGATTCTTCGCGAGTTTCCTTCTCTTAGCTCTTCCGTTTTGGTCGTTGTCTATCGCGGCATCTTTCCCGGCTTTGTCGTGCGTTGGCGCATGGTTGATCAGTTGCACAAACCCGTCCTCATCTACCAAAAGGTGACCTCTGATACCTTGAATGAGTGAGTCCTGACTTCCTAAGCCGGTTGTGTGGCACATTGCTTGTCGAATAGTCGCCCCTTCGGAAATGCGCTTGTCATCCACAACATCGAATTCGGGGACGTGTTTCCTGATCGGGTCGTCCCACGACATTTTTCCCTCGTCAACGAGTATGCCCACAGCATATGCGATGAGGGTCTCGGAACATTGTGCGATCAGGTATGCGGTGCTCGACATTGCAGGAAGCGGCTCCACTTGGCCGTTCTCCATATTCTTGAGCTCCCGTGAGCCAAAGCTTCTGGTGAACATTTCGCCATTATGAAGCACGCCCACCGATATCGAGGGCACGCGGCAGATCTCCAGTAGCTCAGAGACGCGGTCGGACGCCGTTTGCAAACGGCTGCGTAGATCCTGAGGTGCAGGATCGGCCATGGCGTGAGAGCGAGGACCTTTCTTCTGATGTTCCCAGGGTTGGCAGAAGTTGCGGGCTACCAAACGATGATGTATGAATCTGTGGGTGGTATGGGAAGAATATCGTTGGTGGTGGTTCTGATGACTGTCGCTTGTGTTTGTGTTGTGGTGTCGGTTCATGCGTTCTCTTGGGTAAGTTCAAGTACACCTGGGCAGCTTCTACGTTTGGGGCCACAACATGACAACACTGGTGGACGAGGAAGGTACAATGGTCAAATGGGCTAACGTCACTCAACACCGCGGATCATTCAATGCAAAATCCACTTGGTACGTCAGAGGCCTGAAATCATCCCAGGTAGATGGAAACCGTCATTGTCCCCATACAATCTACTGCAGTCACTGCCAGTGCTTTGCCATCAGGAGTTATCCTTACGTGGTTCACAATTATCAAGGTCGTGTGGCGTCTTGGCCCATCTTCATGCTTGTGGAGCCCTGTGCTCCCCGGGGCCCACGGTAGATCGATGTGAATGTATTTGAAACAGTAGAAGGAGCTGTCTGGTATTGTCTTAATACAGATCTATCTACGAATGCCGCTCTCACACATGAGAATTGCTCGAAAGGTATGTACGGATCAAGAAGCATAAAATTATCCGAGCCAGCTAGCCGCCCAGCTGCCCAGGTGCTAATCCAACTGCAACGCCTCTACACTACACTTACTAATTAATTGAAATTTATTTCGGTAGTCTCAAGGTCACGTATGCAGACAGGTTGGTGCGAGTGGGTTTTGTATTCGTGTAGGTTGAAGGTTTGCTTACACCTCGACGCCCGTCTGTTCATGGTTGATTGCACCTTCCATTCGCCGGCCAATTCGCCAGACCACCTGAGGAAGACCAAATCCAGAGACATCAATGAAATGCGAAATTCTTTACAATACTATGATAACAAAAATGATCCAACATTCTCATATTTAATGAAGGACACATATAATAGCGCATTTCAACAACATCGTGTCACCCTGCCTAGCAATGCGCGTTGATTCGTTCGAAAATTTTGATGCGAAGAGTACCTAGGTATGTATCCTTCTTGATAGCGCCAAGACGGGTGACCCCAAGTCCACGCTTCTCGTCGCTGGGGCCGGGGCCGAGGGCCATGACATCGAGGCTCTCCTCAAGGCGCCACGGGTGGGCTAGTCCTAGAGGACTTACCGCCTGTGATTACAAATATCAAGCGGCTCGATGACAAGATCATACGCCAGCCCCATGACATGTTTGGGGAGCAGCCGGTGAAGGGGACGCGCGCATACCGGTACTACGTGCGCAACATCTATCACAGCTACCCGGACGTGCAGTGTGGAGATCATGAAGCGCATTGCTGAGGCCATGACACCGGGCTACTCCAAGCTCCTGATCTTCGAATGGAGCTTGCCGGTGAAGGGTGTTTCTCCCTATCCAGCTCTGCTGGACATCAACATGATCTCCTCACCAGGGCTAGGTAGGTATTGAACGGGCGCTAAAGAACAAAGAACGATTGGAGAGACCTGTTACAAACCGCAGTGCTGAAATTGAGAAAGATCCATCGGGTTAGCCGTGATGATGAAGGTATTCTTCAGGCGGAACATGCCTGAATGATATAGGATGGGGTCTGCAGTGCAACTGAGTATTAAACGAATGTCGCCGCCTGTGACGCATTTGTCAGTGCTGGTTTCCCTCGGTCCTACCTGAGCTATGGAGAGATTGACTGAACCCATTTCTTCTTTTGTAATTTAGCTTTCCCACTCTTGAATCAATCATCCTTCGACATTGTTTTCAACTGTGATTTCGAAGTTCGAGGCTCTTTCACGCCTATCATATACGAGGCAGCACTCACGCCCTGTAGTTTCTCTCCGGAAGTCTACTAGTCATGTACATCCTCAATACTATTGTCATTTTACCATATCCTTATTAACATCCTCCACCCTGGTCACCCGTAGCTTTTTCCTCTTTCTCTCGAAGATGTAGGTGCTTGGTACAGGCCATTGAATGCTTTCATCCTTATCTGGTGTCATTTTCGATCCGTTTCATACAGTGATAAAAGCTCAGAGTGCCAGAAGAATACCGAGAAAGGCATTATGAAAACATAGTCATGGCTGTGTAGTTACAAATAATACATGCAAGGGTCCCGCTGCAAGTCTGGCGTTACATCACAGCCTACGCGAAATTCGTTTTAGTAACAGGTCCTAAGATGTGTCTGTTCTGTTTATACTATTTCAACCTTCTGTAACCCGTGTGTATGAGGTGAAAAGAAAGCCTTCTCTTTGCTGAAATCGAGTGACCCGGTTGTTCGAAGTATCGGATCGTTCGCAAAGTCCTCCTTTGTAAGATCCTGCCGCAGATCAGCACCTAGGAACCCAACTCTCTGATATATTCCTTCAACCTCGGTTCTTTCTAAAAGAATTGAGTAAAATTCGAAGCGCAATTCTGTTTCAGAACGGCTGAGGATACGAGCACTGATAGGAACACAAAACACGCTCCAGGGGACTGATGGTCGGGAATCCTCGTCATCTAATTGTATGTGCAGGCACGTTAGCTCCCCATTGACCAGAATGGCTTCACCTCCCTCATTTCTTCCATTGCGGGCCCCGTGACGGTCAGGAAAGAGCCTTTGAACTTCAAGCTCAATGAGACGGCACCACAAAGTCAAGGATCCTGAAGTCACTTGACCCATTGGATCATCCGTCAATAATTCCACGTCGACATCCAGGACTTTTGCTAGGGGATAAAATGCCTCTTTTGTCTGTTTCAAGGTTGGATGGTCATTGAGAAATTTGGAAAATTGGATATTTCCATCGACGCTTGCCCAAGACCACGATGGTGCGCGATATGCTGATGCTCGCTGGCTACTGTTTGAGCCAGTCCAAGCAATCTGTCTGATGAGATCGGTCTCCCAGTGACCAGCAAGGTAGCGGCAATTCATGAAAGGTTGAAGCTCATGGGCAATAGCCGAGATGGCCACCAACTTGTCGGATGGATTTGTCAGGTTACTAACAGACTCCAATGTTCCATCCGCTGATATGTGGTGATGATCAAGCCTAGTGTACGCTGAGACTGCATTGGCCCAAACACTGAATGCCCTCTTCACCAAGGGGCTAATTCCGGTGTCGGCTAGAGCATCTTCCTCCTCGAGATTCATATTGGAGAGACTGAATGGATTTAAAGCCTTTTCGTTTATATTCGCCCAGGCCTCGTTTGGAAAGCCATAAGGGTATGATTCTGAGGCTTGCATCTCGTCGCATTCCCAGTACATTTGTGCCTTGGTGAAGTTGAGTACGCGTGGGGAGAGCAAACGCTGTGGTTTGATTAGCTGATGAGTGTGACTGGCAGTCTGACTTCCTACCTCCTGTAATACCCAGCCTCGAGCATTTAGCGGCGACTGCCTAATGTCAAAAAACCAGGTTTGCTGGTTGCAGAGATCATACAATCCATGCAGAGAACCTTTGCCGTTTTCCACAGCGGGAATCACAATAGTTCCAGCAAGTTTTAGCTGATTTTCCTCAGTATCAAAAGACAACCGCAACGGGAGATCCATATCAACGTCTCTTCCAAAGAAGCAACCCTCGGTATCGTCGATTGCAGAAGTAGCTGCAATGTTGCAATAAGATCGTTTGTATATGTTGCTCATCTGGGGACACTGGTGTTTCCAGTCATCTATCGAATCCTGAATAATGCAAAGTGAATCTATCCAGATATATGGGATCTGTAGTTGCCGGCTCGTCTCTATTGCGTCCATGAATGTCTTCCACTTCGCTAGCGACGGCAGTTGCTCATACCAGTCCTCAATGTTTGACTGGGTTAAGACAAGTTTGTCTTTGACCTGGCCCCAACGATGAGACAAGGTTGTGTAGGAAGTGTTAGATGGGATGTCAGCGCCACGGACGAGCCTAAGGCGCGAATTCTCATCGTCGATGTAGATAAGACGCTCTGGGACCCAAGTAGAATTCGAGGCAACCCCTGGGCGTTTACATCTGGAATGGTGCTTGTGACAGTCGCTGATCCAGTGACGAGCAAGAGCCATGCTTTGAGGCGAGCCAACGGTATTGGTGGGCGCATAGCTCGGAAACGTCAGACGGTCTGGAACCTCATTAGAAAAAGCTCGAGGAACTATTATAATTCCCACTACCAACCCTCTTCAGTCTCGATGGGACGTAACCAGAATCTTCCCCAGAGCCCAACGCAATCTTCAAAATCGGCCGTAATGGTGAGCGATATGACTCCGATTCCTGGCTCATCATCTTCAGATAGTGTCCTCGCAATCAAGCTCGTGGAAGCGTCAAGCTCAGTAGCTCCTGTAAGTAGTAGGAATCGCCGGCAAAGAAGACACTTCTGCTCCACAGCCTTTTCCCAATCACGGAGTGAGGCATGATGTGGGAATGTACCACCGCCACCTGGACTTTTCTGGATCTCGCTCAACACGGAGTGGCAAGGCTGGCACAACATGGTGTTGATTATCAGCAATTGAGACCGTTGTGTTAAAGCAGTACAGAAAATGAAACAGTACTGAGTTTTGATAGTGGACTGGGAACCCTGGGGATTTTGGGCAAGAAAAGGGGGAAACAACATTGAATGCGGGGTTGGGGTCTCTCGAGGTATTAGTTTAACACAGTGTCTGATGCGGGGCAGCTTTCACTACATCTGACTGTATCTTACTTCTTTGTAGTAATTTCGATCATTTAACCCGACTAGGAAATCCTTGCAATTTGCGTCCTAGGCAAACACCGTGGAGCTCGTGTAACAGTGTCATGGCCTGCAGCGAGAGCAGCGAATCTGGCCACGACTGTGACACTCAACATATAACGATCGAGTCCGCCATAACAGGTGATTATCAAGAAGTTCTGTGGCGGCAATTCTGTAAGAACAGCATCCTCATACCTCTATTAACTAAAGGCTATAGCTTGGCTTGATCTGGGTGAAAAGAAATGTGCTCGTGTTTCGCAATTAGGAGGTTTCAACGAAGGCACACCACCTGGGCAGATGGACTGTGATAGCACCCGGGTAGGCTGGTCTTCCTTCAATACCTGCAAATGTCTTATACCAGAAAATGCTAAGAATGTGGTTTTAATATTTCAATTCCATTACTATGTGATGATTCTATAAAAAGACTTTCGATTTCCACATTCATCTATCCAAAAAGTCGTCACCAGCACTGGCCGAATCGATACCAGTTGACAGGTTGCTTACATGCACCCATTCAATTCACCACCTGATATTGTAAGCAGTCTTTGCTGAACCAACCTTAATATACTATTTTTGGCGTATCGGCTACAGGGCTGAATGAGACAAGTTCCTTTATTCAGGCTGGTATCACCCACCTGCGAATCTACAATCTAGTCAGAGTGACAGTTGTATCGAGTCCTACACCTTCTATTGTTCTTGAATGCTTCAATGTATTATCACGCCATCGTTTGTTGTCGGGGGCCTTGATGGCAGTTTGTCTTCGTCGACAGGCTTTGTGATTCACTGCCTCGCGGGTACTTTCACATCGGGCCTGCTGGCCCGCTTTATCGGGCGGGAGGCAGCTTTGGCGCATGAGATATGACGGGCGGAACGGGAGCGCTCGAGTGGGCAACATCATCTCGTACACCTGGGCATGGGAAGCACAAGATCTACTGTGGGCTGTGTGGTAGCACTTCCGAGCATTTTCGTTGGCAGGGTGCCCATTGGGTTGTTGGGGTCGGGAGTCACCCGCAGACCTGCACTTTGCCGGGTGTAAACCGTGTGTGCGACGTTCCGATCTGCGTATTCTCTGCCAAGCTCACCCCGGCGTCGTCCGTGCAGAGCATCCTCCCTTGCAGGTTGCAGCCCGAGGAGACCAATTCTCCGACCGAACAGCTGACGGGCAGACGGGCCTGCGGACTAGCCTCCTGGGCACGCCCGGCTTGTCCTGCTCTTGCATGAGACAGTCTGGGTAGGCCTGGTTAAGAGGGAGCTCCCCTGTCATGCCAGCACATGCAGCTTGTCTTATACCCTTCGAATCATCCCTGTGCAACTCCACGACACCATCCAAACAAGACTGAAGACGATTGGCAGGGTGCGTCTCATGTCCTGTTTCGATTCCCCACGGATCGGTTGCAGATTCCTTCTGGGTTTCCAGTCATACAGCACGTCTGTCCGGACAAATTTTGGAAAACCCCTTTATCTTCGTCCTCTCAAATTATCATAGAAAACTACAGCATCCAAGTGGAGATTCGACCGTGATCTGTCGCCCTCACATACAGCGTTTGCCCCAACAGCTGTGCCTGTTTCTATCCTGTTCTTCTGCCAACATGGCGTTAGCTGGCGGCCTAAGCCCAAAGACGCGACTTATCATCACAATATCCATCTCGTTTGCCTTTTTCTTGGCCGAGATCACTGGTTCGTCGGCATAATATGCCAAGATGCAATGCCGAAAGACTGACTTAATCCACAGTGGCATTCAAGACCCGCTCCCTCGCGCTTCTCGCCGATGCCTTCCACTATGTAAGACCGCTGGCTCCGCATCTCACCACTTGTGCGCGGGTAGCTGATTTTCCCTAGATGAACGATCTGATCGGCTTCATTGTCGCCCTCACAGCTGTCATCGTGAGTCCCGGAACTCAGCTGGGCCGTCCGCTTCAGCTCATCGTGTGCCCAGATATCAGAGCGGTCGCGCTCGCCCGCTGAGCTGTCATTTGGCTGGCAGAGGGCCCGCCTGTTGGGCGCCTTCTTCAATGGCGTGTTCCTCCTGGCTTTGGGAATCAGCATCTTCTTGCAGTCCATCGAGAGGTTCATCTCCATCGAGCGTGAGTCGATCTGGCCAATCGAAGCGCTGCCCTCATCTGACACATTCTGCAGGCATCGAGGATCCGAGACTTGTAATGATCGTGGGCTGCGTCGGCTTAGGTTTGAACATCATCAGCGCAGCATTTGTACATGGTCAGAATCCCCGAGCAATCGCACCATGACACCCGACAAGGAGACACGCTGACGATCTCTGTAGAACACCACGGGCACGATCACTCCCATGGCCACGATCACAGCCACGAACACGGTGAAGCCCACAGTCACGATCACGGCCACGGTCATGAGCACGCACATGACCACGGCGAGGCGGCCGTGGTGAACCTTGAGCCTGTCAGGGACAGCAGTTCAAGCAAGGCGAATGTCTCAAACGTACGTGTCACGGAGTCCCACATGCTTACACGTCAACGAAAAGTCTCAGAACTGACCGTTCCACAGCGTGTTCGAACCCACGCGGAGCACCGTCACAACGTGGCTCAGATGAAGAAGCCCGGGCGCGACCTCGGCATGCTAGGTGTCCTCATCCACGTCATCGGCGATGCCATCAACAACATCGGCGTCATCATCGCCGCCGTAGTCATCTGGCAGACACACTCTGAGGCCCGGTTCTATGCCGACCCGGCTGCGAGCATGTTCATCGCCATAATGATCTTTATCAGCTCCATCCCGCTGACCAAGAATTCGGGTGCCATTCTCCTCGAGAGCGCGCCCCGTGGTGTTGAAATCGACGATGTGAAACATGATCTTGAACAGGTGCGTGCGTCAGCTTTTCAAACAGGCGTGCCGGACCCAGCCGGTTGACTATATGCTGATACTTCTCAGATCCCCGGCATCGAGTCAGTCCACGAGCTGCATATCTGGCGCCTCGACCAGCAAAAGGCCATCGCGTCGGCCCACGTCGTCGTCTCGGACCAGTCCATGTCCAACTTCATCGAGAAGGCCCGCACCGTCAACGAGTGCCTGCACGCCTACGGCATCCACTCGTCCACCCTGCAGCCCGAGACTGCCGAGGAGCTGGCACAGGCCCCACAGGATGACTCCGCAGCCGATGCTACTGCTGATACTGTCATAACCGCTGCTGCTGATTCCTCTGGTAGCGTCTCCGAGGGAGTGAGCTCTGCTCTTAGAAGGAGGAGGCTCGACCCGGCAGCCTGCCAGATCATCTGCAGCAACCTGTGCCACAACCTGATGTGCTGCACCAAGATTGAGACCTGAGACCTGCTCAGGCGTGGACCCGAGCTTTGGGCGCGCTGGCCGGGCCTTGGACGATCTTGTTATTAGGCAACCTCTTTTCCTAAGGCGAGAGTGCAAGAATATGACCAATATAGCACTGAATGTGTAAAATGGGAACGGGTTATGGGTAGGTAGCTAAGATTTGCGAAACTGGAGGGGATCCGAATTCCTAACACATGAGCATGGAAAAGCCTAGAAGAAATCCTGCACGTGCAAACAGTCACATAGATTTCGTCTTTCATACCTAGCGACTGAACCACAACATGAATGACAATGTGTTTGAATTTGCGGTGACTATATCCTCCACTTGGCTGACCAAGACTGGTTTTGAGGGCCAGCCTTTATCAAAGAGTCATATCATGATCCTAGGCGCTGCTTATTATCCAGTATATAATTTTGACCGATTCACAGCCATTTTCCTAAGCCCCCTTTCCCATTCGACATTTATCCTTCGTAAGGGGCACCCATAAGCTACATGGAATCTCGATGATACTGCTTGCAATCGAAATATCCACCGTTACAGAACTTAAGCGGTGACCGTCTCCTGCGGGTCTGGCTCGCGAGCGAGGACAGCGGCCGCTTCTGCTGGGTCTGTGTTGCGAGCGAAGATAGTAATTGTCTCCGATGGGTCTGGGTCGCGAGCGAGGAGAGTAAGCGCCTCCGCTGGGTCTGGGTCGCGAGCGAGGATAGCAGCCGCTTCTGCTGGGTCTGTGTTGCGAGCGAAGATAGTAATTGTCTCCGATGGGTCTGGGTCGCGAGCGAGGATAGCAGCCGCTTCCGCTGGGTCTGTGTTGCGAGCGAAGATAGTAATTGTCTCCGATGGGTCCGGGTCCCGGGCAGCGATGTTGACTGTCATGGTCACTCGTGGGGGGTCGTCACGGGGAACAATACCCTCCGGCAGGTCTGGCTCGCGCGCAACGATGCGAGGGTGAGCGACGGCTGCACTGGCGACGGTGCAGAGCACCGCTGAAATCAGGAAGTGCTTCATTGTGACGGGTTTGAGTAGTCTGGACAGTCTTGAGATGACAAAGTAACGAATCTGTCGCGATCGACGAAACCATGACAGCCTCCATGGCTTTTGAGAGGGTGGAGCCCTCTTATATGTACACGTCGATGTATGAGATCGCGACTCAGTACCGTGGAGTGCCCAGCCTGATCAGTGGAGACAGTAACATGATACTTCCCGTTTTCAGGAGTTCGGTGTGTCGCTCGGCAGCCAGGAGAACCTGGCCACCCCGAGCGTTTCTGATGATCGAGGATATAGTGTAAGAATACCCCACGCTAAGCTGATAGACAATCCTAAAATACTTTGTCTTATAGTCATTCAAAAAGAAACAAGCAAATAGTTTTGAAACTCCAAGGAAAATAAGTAAAACGGGTTAGTCCTCTGGGAATTTGGGTCATGCCTAAATACTAGTCCTACTCGTAGCCGGTGGCTATGGTCTAGGGCTTAGCCCCTTTACCCTAGCCAGCCTTTTTAAAAAAGGAAGCCTTCAAGATACCAAGACCGAGAAAAGATAATTATGCATGCCCATGTACGTACATGGGAGTGCCAGAATCTCCGAACTCCGTTTTTAGGCAAAAGAGTAGGATTCTATAGTACCGTGGCTTACCCACACCAAGACTTGACTAAGGCGATGATCAACGTTGTGAACGCGTCAATTCAGTATCAGATTAATTGCTGCGCGCGCACGGGCCAAACATTGAGGGAAAAGATGATAAGAGAAAAACTCGCCTTATTAGGGACGAGAGATATTATACGCGTAATGGAGATGCTCTTTAGAGACACGGGCTTCCTAATTGTGATTCTTTCGTTCTTTCTTTTGGGAAAAGGTATTACCTGAGACCAAAAGCTTCAGCGAAACGGCTTTCGCGGAACCTTGGTAGCAGGCGTATGTGAGAAATCTACAGGACGGCTTCGATCTCATGATCCAAGAGGCAATCTCATTTGGAAATATTACAGGCTGGGCTCCACATATCACCAGCTGGGGAAATGCTGGAAGCTGTCTGGTGATCCTCTTCGGTAGCATAAAATGTGGGGACGGCGTGTTGTCGGGCGCCCCCTGCGAGCACGAAGATCTCCTGCCTTCCAGGCAGCTCTGGCGAGTTTCAGTGGCTCTTTATTTGAAGATGCGTGGGAGAAATCTAAAATCTCACTAATGGGACTTGAAGAATAGAATATCTACAGAGACGCCAGCACGCCGGCTAGAAGAATGTCCCGTTTGCGCTTCCAATTGTACCTCCGGGAAGTACTGTGATCTTCGGGACCTCGATGACTTCCCACTCTTCCGACTTGGCCGGGTCGCCAAAGGGCTTGAGAGCCGCAAGGCGGAAGCTGCGGAATCAGTGTGTCAGCCAAGTCGTTCTTGATGTCTCGTGTCTTCAGGTGCAGCTTACCGATAATCGCCGGGAACGACCGTTGACCCGTTGGCGTATCTGCCAAGCCACCAGTACCTCGTCCAATCTCCACGGGGCAGGTTATAAAGAGGGAATGGGAAGATATCGTCTTGGCTATGCTTGCTGGGATCGAAGTATGTCGAGGTGTCAGTGCCGTTCCAGCTTGTGGCGGATCCGATGTCTATCACTCATGTTAGCTGTATGAAATCCAAGCCCAGGGAATCGTAAGTAACACGTACAGTGATTTTCTCCGATGACGGGCGGGTACTTCCATTCCGCCTCGGTATAGTCGGCATCAAAGATGTCCCAGCGCAACTCCCGCGTGCCCCAAATGAGCCAGTTATTCCACTTGGGAAAATCTTGCGCTGGTAAGGTGAGGTTGAAGGTCATGTTCGGCTTGGTAGTGATTTCAATGCTATTGAGGCCAGTCTGGAGATGAGGAAAGCCCAGGAAGGTGTTATACATCTCTGTCACTGTCTTCTTCAAGTCTGCCGCAACGCCTGTCGGGCTGTCAGTTCCGATCAACTCACATGTAAACAACGGCTTGACTCACCAAAGTAAGGAATCCCGAGCTCTTCGCCATTGCTCCCGCTGATGAGGACTTTGCCGCTGTATACGGGTAGCTTGGTGGCATCCAGTCCCGTTGGCGCCGTAAAAGTGACTCTATGATTTTGGTCAGCCAGGTCGCAACTCGAAACGAGGGTGAGGCGCTTACTCTACTGTAGCCTTCTGCCCCGGCTCAACAGTAAGGTCGCCTGGGAGGTCAACCGTTGGGTCGAACTCCACGAGCACAATATCACCGTATTGGTTCACCTCAGGAAGATCTGGATCCCAAGCTTCGAACCCTCCAGCGCCCTGTAGGGTGAACTTGTACGTAACAGCCTCCTTACCGTTGTTGAAGACGTCAACAGTGTGAGTTCCCACGAAATTAGCCGTGTCGTTCATCTCGAACTTGCGGCCGTCAAAGCTGAGCTCCGTTGTGTAGTTAAGCACTGCGGCCGCGTCGACCAGGCCCGATCCAATCTGGACCGTGGGTGCCCAGAAGCCGTAGTCTTTGGCAGACGTGGTCCAATCAGCCTACTAAAGTCAGTCACATGCTCAAATTTTGCACTCCCGAGAGCTTTTAAGATCCATGGAAGTGGTAGGGTCGAGAATTACGCACCCAGGGCACAGAGCGGCCAGTTGCTGTGATGCGAGAGATCAGACGTTGAGCCCAGGCAGGATCGTCCTGATGCGCCTTGCGGCCGCCGAATTTGCCAACATACAGAGCCGCGATGCCGGCGATGTATGGAGTAGCCATGCTCGTACCACTCCGAATCCGGTAGGTCTTGTTCAAATCGGTGCTGAGGATCTGTGTGCCAGGGGCAGAGACATCCGGCTTGAGAGCAAGGTCATAGGTTGGTCCCCACGACGAGTACTTGGCCGGCCTGCCGCTCCCTGCGTTGAAGAGTCCGACATAGTGGCTCGTGTCGTTCACATTGAACGAAGCTGTAGCATTGCCCCCAGCCAGGATTGTCTCGATGATTGCTTCTCCGGCACGTGCCTCGATCATGCCGGTGAAGCCGGGCGATATCCCGGTGGTTGGATCCTCGTATGGACCGTCGTTGTTGTAGAACAAGATGTACCGCGGGTTGAAAGGGACAAGGTTTCTGTGCTTCTCGAACAGACGACATCCCCCAGACCGGACGAGAACGATCCTCTCGGCCAGATTTTCTGTGTTGTTAGGTAATGGTGTGCATGCGTCATTCTCGATGGAAGTGTTTAGTGTGAGTGGGAAGATGGGCCAGTCAACTATATCGCTCGGGAAAACATTTGGTCCTGAAATCCAGGCGACATTGGTGGTGTTGGTCTGTCCATCCAGATTGAAGTTGACTGAGAAAAGTGCCGCGGGGAATTGGCCCGGTTCAGACGAGGCGATGGTCAACTGGAGAGAACCTGGTCAGCAACTGTCTGTATCATGTTATCCGGCCCTACCCTGGGGTATTCACCACAATCGACCCGGGGTCCCAGGGCTGGTGAGACACGTTGACGCCGCCGTATAGGTCAAAGAAGCTGGAAGAATACATACCACGTGTGCGCCTGACGCACCATTAGCAGCGTCAAATGGCCCTACCTCACCGTTATTTCCAGCCGCGATAGCGACCACCACGCCCTGATCGACCATCCTGGAGGCCACCACAGCCCAGGCATTTGTGGTGAACCCGCTGCCTTCCCCGAGGCTCGCACTGATGATGTCGGCCTAGATATGATCTACATTCAGAATTTTGTCTCTCCCACGCCTCAAACTTTTGGGGGTCAGGGGCAGTAGGATCACTTACACCAGACTCGAAAGCCTTCAGAAATCCTTCGATGACGGTCTCTTCGTTGGAGTATCCATCCTTAGTGAACACCTTGAACGACAACAACTTTGCCTCAGGCGCAACGCCAACAAATCTTGTGTGGTCAGCTTACGAAATTAAAAGTCTCGAGGCTCGTTAGAACTTACTTCTCGCTTTGTCCGGCTATGATGCCAGCCACGTGGGTGCCATGGCCGTAGTAGTCCATGGGGTCCTCGTCAGGCACGGGAGGAGACTCTGGCCAATTTCCATCTCCAACGAGATCATAACCACCGATGACCTTGAAGCCAGGGCCGATCCCACCACCCAGCTATTGTAGATCAAGTCAGTCAACAATCACAACGAGATATATCTCAGTGTGTTCTTACAGCTGGGTGTGTGTACTCGACACCGCTGTCGACGACAGCAACAGTAGCTCCCGCACCCAAGATACCTTCTCCATGGAGCTTCTCGACCCCAGTGATGCCGTGAACAGAGTAGTTAGACGCGGCAGCATCGTCGCTGAAAGATTCGCCGTTGACTGTGTCCAGGATCCTGACACGTGTGGACTGGTAGACGGTGGCCACGGCGGTGTCGCTGCTGGGGTCATCGAGGGCCGCCCTCAGGGAGTCTGGGGTACAGTCGTGGTCACACTCAACGCTCACTCCGGGGAACAGGTCCGAGTCGAACTGCTTCACGATCCTGAACCCCGTGGTGGCAGCAACCTTGTCGAAGAACTTGGTGCACTGTGCGCGAGACTTGAGCTCCACCTGCAGCACTTCAGGTCAATTTTCAAGAACCACAACAGGAGCTTCATGCAAACAGGATGGTGGGTGAGTGACAAGGTGTAGATGTTGTTTTCACCTGTCACACAGCCTGCTGCTTGAAAACCTTTGTTGCAGAGCCTAATAAAGGTGAAGTGAATTTGTTTCTGTAGTGTTGGTGATTGTATCCAAAAGCTGCTTACGATGTATCTCCTTGGCACGGTGTCAATGGGCGAAGAGTGGGCCTCTTTCAGATCGCGACGAGAGGGAAAGTTGACAGCCCAGGCGCTGCTCGTGGCGCCGAGCAGGGCGAGGAGGGTGTGTGTCCCACGCATCTTCGCGATTCAGGGCTGGAGACGGTCCTGGCTGAGGTTCAGAGAGGACGTTGTCCCGAAAAGCGCAGAGGTGACCGTTAAATACAACCTTGGAAGGTTTGTGGTAGTTTTTGCTACGACTCAAATTGCAGGTTGCATTGCTTGGCCAGGTGGGTGCCAAGCGAGCCGTTCCTCGTATCTACTAATGGCAGCATGGCATGTCAAATGAGCTTAGACAAGTCTATGTATGATTAAACCGCGACAGATCCCTGAACCCGCATCACGATCCCCTGTCCGCTGCATTTGGCCTTCCTTTTACAGCGCTGTAACCGGGTCGGGATGGAGTGCGGGATCGGGCGATTCGGTAAATACGAAGCCAAGAACCCCCACGATGGGGCTTCATCAATGGGGCTGCGGGGGTTTAAAGACGTCAAATGGAATGACATCCTCACTTGATCCCCCTGCGAATCTGAGGATCGGTCTGCTGCCGAACATGCAGGGTGGCAGGACTTTTCCATTGGCTCAGCAACTTCTGCATCGAACTTTCAGTTGCTCCATGTTCTGTTTTTGGCATGTAACGTTAAAACGCGAGTTAAAAGGGGTGCCTGCCAAGGCCTAAAATTCCAATGCAGAACCCGGGGTCTACCGAAACTTAAGAGGTGTTTAAATCCTATCCAACATTGGAAGTGAGTAAGATCTTTCAGTACCTAGGTATGGTTTCAGGGTATCAAATTGAGCATATTACCTAGGGCAGAGGGCTCAAGAGGGCTTAAAGGAATATCTTTTTCTGTGCCTACAAATGCGGAGACCCTCGCAGACGCTGGCAATTTCATGTTCTCAGATAGTTACTTCCGGCATAATAGGCTATTCATATGAAAGACTTGACTTCAACAGTACTCGGCGCCTCTCCAGATGTCACTTCCCGCGAGAATCTGGTTTGTGGCCACAGGGACAAAGCAGCCGAGACAACAACAATGCTGAGTCCGGAAGCGGCCCAAAGAGACCGATACCAATTCGACTGGATTAAGGTCAACAGGGAATCGAATGCCATTTGAACGTCTCATGCGCACTTAGTCTTGCCCCAAAACTGGAAATGCTTTGGGAACTCCTGCCCACCCGTTCTTGGTAAACAGTGTAGTCTCAATGCTCAGTGAAGACGAGGCCTCGCTCCAGACGGCATTAGGGTATCCCACGGCTTGTACTCCAATTGGTTTCCAAGACAGTCGACCATTGAGCAGAGCCCAGCCTCGCCGATCGTCTGTGTTTTAGCCATGGGGCGAAATCGAACTTGGGCCAAGACTTTCAAATGTCAACAGTGCGGTGCACGGCATTTTGGGTTGCAAGGTGCAGCGTAAGTGTATCTCAGTCAAACTGTTGCCAGCATATTCATCCCTCCATCAAGTTGTGCACAACGTGCTGGTCCTCTTGCCCAACATATATTATCCACTGACGAACAATGTCTTCCAAACAGTGGGATCGCATTAGTCGTCCGCAACGCCAGACTCCCAGGAAACCCAGCAACTCACATCATACTGCAGTTCCGCAGGGACACAAGGAGCTGGGCCCTCCCCGGGGGGGTCTTGGACTACGGAGAGACGCCCAAGCAGGCCGCCCTCCGCGAGGCGGAGGAGGAAATATCCCTACCTCGCAACGCCGACGAGGGCAACGACCCGCTCATCACGATTCGGCAGCAGGCTGCGCTGTTTGACCACGGCCAATGGCGGTACACGACCTTCATCGCCGACGTGAACAGGCGCTTCCTGCCCAAACGGCCCCCGCAGGACACCGAGGGCATCGCGGTCGCGTGGGCGCCCATTGATGAGGTTGGCGTTCAAGGTGGGAGGTTTTTCCCGCTGCATCCTGCGTTCTGGAACGACTGGGAGAAGCTTCGCGATATGATCCGGGCGATGGATGGGCCGGCTCCAGTTGCCCAACCTGTCCCACCTGTCCCACCTGTCCAACCTGTTCAGCCCCAACCTGTTCAGCCTCAACCTGTTCAGCCTCAACCTGTTCAGCCTCAACCTGTTCAAGTTCAGCCTGTCCAGCCTGTTCAGCCTGCCGACCCGCCTGCCAACCCAGATGTCCAGCTTGGGAATGATCTTGCCCAGTTGACCCTTGGTTTCCCGGTGACGACCCCAGGGGCACAACAACCAGCAACTCGCAGGCCCCCGGTGAATCCTGGCTGGAGGCCAGCGGATCGTATCACCCCGCCACCAGCACCTCCCAACGTCCCGCCGACTCTCGGTTTCCCCAAGACAGCTCCGGGTCCCCCGCCAGGCCGAAATGTCCAAGCAACCGATCCCGGCCGTGGTGTTAACCCTATGCCCCCGGCGCCAGTACCACCTCTTCCTCCTGTCACAGCCCCGGCTGACACGTGGAGACCGCCCGTGGTCCAGTCTGGTATCATGATCCTAGATGACAGTGACGATGGCTCCGAGGAGGATTGGCGCACACCTCAAGCCCCAGGGCCGCCTCAGGTCCCGGGCCCAGCTCAGGCTCCAGGCTTTGCTAAGGTCCCAGGCCCAGCTCAGGTCCCAGGGCCGCTTCAGTTCCCAACGCCACCTCAGGACCCGGGCCCAGCTCAGCTCCCAACGCCGCCTCAGGACCCAACGCCTCCTCACGTCCCAGGCCCGGCTCATGCCGGACCATCTACACATGTCGGGAGTAACAATGGTACTTTCTTCGTGAACTCACAAGGGCCGCCTGACCCGAGCTTTGCCCCCGGGAAGATACGCTACATGACTTGGACTCAACAAACCGCGCCAGATGGGCAGTGCAGACCGAGCTAGATTTCCAACATGTTTCGTCTCGAACGGGGCTGTTAAGTGCATGGGATACAGGATAACTCATTTCTAGAATAAGTCTTTTGAAATACAATAATGTTTCTCTTGAATCGTGATTACGTGGTATTTACTTTTTGCTTTGCATGTGGCTGTGTTTTAATAAATCTATGCCATGTTAGCACGACATCCAAGGATCGCTGCCTTAAATATACTATATGGATATGGTTCCAAGACCAATGTAAGTATGATTGTCATTTAGCAACTAGCCTTTTGAATGCGGAGGCGATTTTCAATTCCTCGTAACTAGGTAGGTATCACACGCTTCCCATCCAGCTGTTGAGACATGGCATGGTGACCAGCCTCGGAACGCAGGCCCTGCGAGACGAAGGCCTAGTGACTTGCACCCGAGTTCGAACAAAGTGCTCAAGCTCGAGGATTCGCTAATGGAATTGTGCTCATATGTCTCGGTCGCTCAGGAATTTCAACTTCATTCTGCCTATTCTCCTGTGACACTAGTACCATGTCCAAAACCCGCACGCATGTCACCTTCATAAAGATTACTATTGAATCCTCGATATACTCTCCTAGGCAATACATCTGTTTGGGGATCCCTCCGTGAACAGGGCCTAGTCGAAGGATTGCGCCACTCTTGAGTCGCTCACGTGTAGTTTCAGCCATGTGCCTGACAAGATGGCACCTGGGCATCTACACACAACCCATGACCAGTAAAAAGTCACTGCTTTCAATTTTCCGTGTCCCGTTTGGCTTCGCCTTTTTCTCCTCATCATCCATCCTGACCGGCGAAATACGAGGCAAGTAAAAAAAAAAACAAAAAGAAGTAAAAACAATTCCCGAGCCGCTCAGAGTTTCTCCGTTCTTGCTCCCACAGCAGTGGTCCTGGGAAGACACACATTGCGACAGCCAGTCAGGATAGAACAACACATCGTGTGGGCGTCTTTGAACGGAATGGCAAAGCCCGAGGAAAGACGGTTGACTCAGCCAGAGTGGTAAGCAAAATGAAAAAATGTCCGCGCCTATCGATTCGAGGAGGGACCTAGTATATATAAGACAAAGACAGGCCCAAAACAAGCTAAGCTACGACGGCGTGGCGCGCGCAGCCCACAGTCATCACCCCCCGACGAGGCGTCAAACAGCTCAAGCCGTGTCTCAGGGATGAGCCCGAGGACGGACTCCAGACAACAACTTGAAGCTGTCCGGTGTCCAGCAGGTGGGTTTTGCCGCCAGACCTGCGCGCCTAATCCTACAAGGCGCGAAAACATCTTCCAATATTTGCCCTCCAACTTATTATCAGAAGTGTATGAGGCCCCAGGGAGTGTTGAACAAGCGCAATGCCCCCCCTCAAGCAGTAAATGCCCCCTCGCATGACAAAGCTGACACGAGGCGGGCAGGCCCGAGCCGCCCACGAGCTATATGTGTGTGGGCGTGCGCGCGTATTCCGCAATGGGCATGAACCCAACGAGCCAGGTATGTCCTGACCGGCTGGCGGCACCTAGTTACTCACTTTCTCACAGCGGTTCACAGCAACAAATAAATAAGCACGCCGCCCCATCAGCCCAGAATGCAAGTGTCAGCGTCTGTCACACACACACACAGGGGGGCACCTAGCGCGGTGCGCCCCATCCCCAGCGCGTTGAGGTCATTGTGTGGTGTTGAGAGAGGGCAGGGAGCTTATGAGTGGCGGGCAAAGGACGGGCGGGAACGGGGTAAGATGGACGAACTGCTCTGGCTTGCTTTACCCTGTGGCACACATCACCCCGGGGTAGGTGGTATCTGTCAGACGCCCAAAATGCCACCTTCCAAGCCCTTCGAACACGCCCTTTTCCAAGAAGAGCGAAAAGAAAAAGACTGACAGGGACAAGGAAAAAAAAGGAAATACCTGTCCCCAGCCAAAAGGACCCCGTTCATGTATCAATCCCAGTCTGCATGCGCATACGCAGACCCTGCGTGGCTGCTTGCTGCTCGCTTGCTGCTGCTGATCACAACCTGTCTCCCCGGCCTACTAGTCCTATCTCGTCCCTCCATATGTACAATCGTGTCTCATGAACTCGGCGCTTGCAACTCACATGAAGGGGAGAGAACCGGAGAGACACACCCGCGACCCGCAGGGCGCCGAAGGCGAGGTGAGCACTTGCATGAGCTGCCTGCCTGGCCCGGGTACGGTACCACCTTGGAGGATGAGAGAAGAAGAAAAGGTGAGACGTCATGCCTGCTGCACGCTGCGGCTCACGTGTGAGTGGGTGTTGCAGGGACGGGTCGCACGTGCGTGCTGATGCGTGTCCTGTGTATGAGTTGTATGTGTGCATGTGTGCATGTGAGTGAGTGTTGCGAAATGGGACATTATTTGTGTAATCGTGCGTTCTTGTCTGCGACGGCCTTCACTTCCACCACCTGTCGTCCCGTCGTCTTGGGGGAGCCGGGGGTCCCCCCCCCCCCTTCTCGAGGATGACAGCAGGTCTAGCCGGCCAGCCGGCCGGGTGCCAGCGACGAACGGTTCGCCGTGTTCCGCAGTGTGACGCGAAGGGTGTGTGTGCGCGCGCGCGTGTGTGTGGACACGAACACCTGGGACGATCTACCTGGGCGTGGTCATCACTAAATTACTGTCATGATTACTAGATACCACCTCGTTGACTTGTTGGTGGCTTGCGCCGGACGTTTGGATCATCGGCTGTCTGACAGGACAGGACCGGGGTAGGCATCATTGATGGGCCGTGGGCGCAAGGCTTGGCTTGGCTCGGCTCGCCCACACTTTGTTGACAGTGGCATTTCGACTGGGCCGTTGAGGATGTTGACTCTCTTACCTCTGATGACATGGCAGAGGAGACCCATCCGTCCCATGCCGCCCATGGATGATGCGTGTCGTGTCGTGTCGTGTCGTCCCATCGCATCCCTGGGCGCTGAGGCCGACCGCCCCGAAAGTGAGGCGGTCGCGCCGCCCATCAGTCAGGGTTGGAGGGTTGGGGAGGGTCGCGGGCCAGCCGGGCCAGGGCTTCCAGAAAGTATCCTATGGAGAAACCACCAGGGCTGTCCCCAACCGGCGTTCCCAGGGATGTGATGATAACGACACACAAAAGTCCACCTTGTCTTCCCTTCCCTGCCTTGGAACGGGACTGCCGAGATAATGCGAGAGGATGAGGATTCCTGCTGGTCCCCATCGGCCAGCCAGCGTGCAAGCTGGGTCGCAGGATGCGGTGAGAGCCTCGCTCTCGTTCAGCTCTCGTTCAGCCACATCATGGGGTTCCGCCAGTATCACCACTATACCCGTGCACAAGACACGAGACAGGTGTTCTAGCCCACATGCCCAACCAGTAAGCCAGCAGGCCAGCAGGCCAGACAAGCCTACCAGAGAAACTGGACAAAATCCAAAGCAAGCCCCAAGCTAGCCCTGGAGCAGAAGCCTGGGCCGGTGATTCGGTGCAGTGGCGGTCTGGGACAGCGGCAACATGCAGCTGCAAACAGCAGCCATCCTACCATTCTCGCCAACGAGTACAGTCGTCCTCGGCTCGGCAGGCTGGCGGGCGGGCAGCCCAACTGCGAGGATGATTGACTTTATTATTACTGCCGTTCTACAATTAACAATTTACCGTTTCGACCTTGGCACAGCTGTGGCGCGGCGGCCTAGGGGAGGAACTGCGGTAGTGCCGCCCCCCTCATGCCGGCACCCATCTCGCGAGCTGCCAGGCGTGCCAAGAGGCTGGCAATTCTGGGGACTGACGCGCAGCCACCCTCTGGGTCTTCCGGGGGACGGGTCTGGGGACTGGGGGAACACGACGACCGTGTAACCCGAGCGCTGGGCATGATAACTCAAGGCGCCGTGCTGCTGCTCCGCGCGCAGAAGCATGCTTGCTCTCCTGTCTCGCATTATGTGCCGCCGCAGGCGATCAGGGCTCTCAGGTGCCCGGCAAGTGAGCGAGCGCGCTCGCCGTGTTGTAATTATCCATGTTTCTGCGCGGCTGTGTTCCTGATGGTGGCAGCAAGGACGGTCCTGGAGCACGGTCCCGGTCGGGCAGCTCAAAACCACGGGGAAGCGTGGGAGGGTGGGCTGGGAGGTATCCGTAGATTAATAACAACGGTGTTATGGTTTATGACGGCTCTCCCGGTTCACCGCCTCGACCCCCTCGGATCGAGCAGTGGACGTCGGAGCTCGATCGTGGCAGGCGTGGCTCAGATCCCCGCCGAGCGCTGTGATGTGATGTGCCGTCAGAGGGCGAGACAGGCAGACAGGCCATGGCATATGCATGCCCTTTACCACATTGATACGGCAAGGTGGCATGGCCGGGTTGCACTCAGTAGGGACCCGGGAGCGCGGCTTGATCAACACTCGATGGCAGGATGGCTAGGGGGGGGGTTGTCTGGTTCCGAAGATGAGTTCATCCCCCAGCTGCCCCCCACCCCCGTCGTCCGTCGTGAACGGCTGGCGGCCGACTTAGCAGCTGCACTACTTGGGTGCTGGGTGGGCTGGGTGGCAGGCTGACAGGGCTGGCCTTCTGGGTGTCTGGGACTTCAGGAACCCTGTTCGGTCTGAGATGTAGCAAGGTGCCTCCCGCTCCGGGACGACTAGCCTCGAAGAGGAGGCCGGTGAAAACAAGTCGGGACTGCTGACAGCCCATCACCATGGATCGCCTCCCTCCATCAGCTCCGGCCCGGGGGGTGTGGGTTGTCAGCATAGCAGCCTACCTAGCACGGCTGGGAGGAGGATATCACGAACGAGCGCCAGGACGGTGGTAGCATTTAGCATTGTGGGACAGGAGGCTGTTTGGGTGTAAAACGAGGCTGGACGATGAAATTGCGTCTGCCATGAGCCCACAAGCCCGACAACAGGGCGGATCAAACCTTATGAGGCCCCGAGAATTCAATTGCGACCGCGGAAAGAACAAGCCTTCCGGAAATGAAATGCCCTCGTGCTCGCTCGCGATATGGTTTGGAGTTGGCGGCGCTTGTTCCAAGAAGGGGTCCATGGTCAGCCAGTTCGACCAGCAACAGGAGGAAGGGAAGGGGTGGGGGGATGGGAAGCCGGCCCTTGGTAGCGCGGGGTTGCTTGCATGACCATTGACGACCGACCCCAGCAGACGAGGTGCAGCCCAATGGCATATGACTGCTTGCTGCCCTACACAATGCCGTGTGGTGCTGGGGGGGTCTATCCCGAAGTCCCAGCACGACGGCCACGGCAGCCACGGCAGTACCACGGAATTACACTGCACAGGATTGGTCATTTGGTCGGGAGTGCCTGCTCAAATCGTTGCTATTCTGGGACATGGGATGAGCTCATCCTTGATCAACATGCAGTGTCTATCTCCGCGGGGCATGGTATTGAGCATGGTATTGAGCAAGATATCCCGCATTGTAGATAGATATCCATCTCTATCAGAGGCCAGCCAGCCAGCCAGATGAGTGAGGGATTTGTCCATGTTGAGTTAATAAGACGAGAGAAGGCTGAGAAGGCGGCATGGCACAGGATGCGAGGCCCCAACGCTGGGATATCCTTGCCCTCCCACGTTTTCAAGCTTCCCTGCAGACTGCAGTGCGGCGGCGGCAGCAGGGTGTAGGCGCAACAGCAACGGCAACGGTAGCAGCGAGGGTACTGTGTATTGTCGTACACCGCAACTTGGCCGCCCTGCCGTCGTGGCCGCCATGGCACCCACCCCGGCCATGCTGCTGCTGGCCGTCGCATTCATCTCGGGAGGGGAGAGCATGGCAGCATGGGAGCCGGGCATGTTGCTCTCGATATCACCCTCCAGGGCTGATTGGCACCGAGAGGGCACACCAGCAGAGAGCAGCGGCATTAGCACTGCGCAGCAGACGAGTAGCAGTCATGAATACATTCCTATGACGACGCTGCTTTTTTTGTTGTTTTCTTTCCTGGTCTTCTCCTGCCTCCTACCCTCAAGTGCTCCCACCCTCCTACCCTACCGTCTTTTAGCCCTCCCCCCACCTCGGCTTGTTCCTCTCTGCTACCTAGGTAGACTTGGACTGGCACTGGCACACACACACACACAGCCTTTTCCCCTTCCTCTACCAGTCTACTTAGACAAACTCTCCCTTGGACTCGTTGGACTCGTTGGACTCGCCCTCGACCTCGCCCTTCAGTTTTCAATGGTCGGCCATCCTCCGACAGCTGGGATCCCGGGCTCGTCTCCTCGTTCCCGCATTTCCTCTCTTTTTGTGATGTCACGCGTGGGCGGTTGTCGCAAATCCCAGTAGCGCCGGCGGTTTTATTGCATTTGCAGTCGGGACTTACTCGCGCTTCAGCCCACGCCGGTCCCGGTCCCCTTCTTCAAGTCATTTTGGCACGACGAGTACCAGCGCCAGCATTAGCAAACAACGGCGTTCCGGCCTTCGGGTTCCCAGTCTGGCCCTCAACAAACAATTCCCCCACGGGGCTAGTCCACTCAGCTTTGACGTTTTTTTGGCACTACGGCCACGACCACGGCCACGACCTCAACCTCGTCGACGACAACATCAATAACAGTATTCTGGTAAACTACTGCTGCGAGTGCTGGACCCACCACATCAACAACGGCCACCTGCTCCCAGTTCCCAAGCTCCCCAAGCTCCCCAAGCTGCAGGCCAAGCAGTCCCATCTCACCCGACCCCCCGTCAGAAGCTCGAGGCGCAGCACATGCTCAAGTAGTGTAGTCTGTCTCCCCATCGTCATCCTCATTTCCGTCGCAAACAACACGGCTCGGCTCGGCAACGGCACCAGCAACCACAGCAACAGCAACAGCAACGACGACAGGCAACCCAAGACGACGATCCTCTTGTGTCCAGAATCCAGACTGCCAGACTGCCAGACTGCACACACGCAGTCAGTTCCTGATACATCACAATAGTGCCCCGCCCACTCCGATCCACGCCCTGTACTCCGTACTTTATTGCCCTCTGGCCCTTCCCTGCGCCTGGCCTGCAGTTCCTGTACAGCCGCCCATTTATTACGTGGGCGAAACATTGTCATTTGGCCGACGGTCGAATCGACGCGGACAGATGTGCCTGGTTTTTGTGGACTGACTCCACCTCGCTGCTGTCCTCTCTGCACCCTTCAATTGGGTCAGAAGCCCAGGCCTGGCCATTGTACCGCAACAGCGCAGTCCACGCCCCAGAAGCAGTAATCCCGCCCTGCAACCAGCATCGTGACCACTCGCCCCTCCCTGCCATCCCACCGCGCCCCCCCCCCTGCTGCCCCTCGTCCTGCTTCCCTGCGATACACGCAGCGGTACATACGCAGCAGTACCTCTGGGTCGCCCCACCCCGCCATAGAACAAACAACACCCACTCCCAGCCAGGCCCCAAAATCATCGTGACCTCTCCTGCTCTTGCCTCCCTCGCCCGGCTGTCAGCTGTCTGGTCTGGTGGCCGCCATCCCTATATCTAGTACGGCGACTCTCACCGCCGCCGTCTGGATACAGACGCACTGTCCAGCAATATCAGAGCCGCACCGGCAGCTTCATTCACTCAGTATTCAACACCAGCACCACCCCCACCCGCCGACTTCACCTCTGACCGCCGTCCCAACCCCACGAGCCTGTTCCAATATCAAAAGCATCCAGGCCTGATCTAGGTCGTGGCCATGTCCGGATCGTATCACCACCATCTTGACATCGACCGCCGCCAAACGATGGTTCGGCCGCAGTGCGCTCCGCGATAGGACACGCCCCTTCCTCTCGGCGCTGCTCAAGTGGAGCTAGGTACATCGCATATCGTCTACCAGAACTGCACTTTTCAACACCACCGGATTCAAAACATACAACACACCATGCTGGGCAAGCTGTTCAACCTGGGTAACACCCCGGGTAACTCCAACCAGGCCCAGCCTTCTACCTCCAAACAGGTCTCGTCGCTCGAGTCGGTCCAGGAGGACATCCACACCCGCTCCCTCCTGTTCCCAGACGCCCAGACTCTGTACCAGCACCAGAATGACCAGGTCTTCCCCATGTCCAGCGCCTCTGTGCTGCCTCTGCAGACCTCGGTCGCAAACCCTTACGATCTCGACGGCGACCTCGAGATCGAGAGCCGCGACGTTCGCGTCATTATCATGCAGGACACCTCGAGCTCGTCTCCCGCCTCCCTGCTGTATGACAGCCAGCGGCCCCAGCTGCCCCAGGAGCCCTCGCCCACTGAGCGGCCCCAGACCATGGCAGGCATGTCCCAGGCCCTCCCACAGGATTCCCGTCGTTTCGCATCTGCACAGCGCAAAACCAGCACCGGCCAGTCGTCCAAGCCTGTTGTGATCCAGCCCGGCAGTCCCCAGCCACGCCAGAGCGCGTTCGACAGGAGGGCTTCCATGCACAGCCGCACCCAGAGCAAGGCCGAGACCGAGTCGCAGAAGCTCCTGAGGGAGTACAAGCAGGAGATCGACACCTTTGCCGGGTGCATCTTTGGAAACAATGAGTTCCTGGCCTACAAGGGGACGTCAACCAAAGTCCATGTTGTCCCCTCAGACATGCGCAACGACGTGCCCAGCTCGGGTCTCGGAGACGGCAGGGGATCAATTGGCAGGTCGGCAACGAGGACGAGCAAGCTGTCTCAGTCCTTTTCCTCCGAGGCGGTGCCTCCCTTCAAGCCATCAGTCTCTTCGCCACTTCCTCGATCGTCTGACCGAAAGAGAGTCCTCATCACGCGGCTCTTTCCAGTCAGTATCCCTGCCGACGATACTCTGGCATGCACCCCCAAGGGGCGCTTTTCCGAGGAGAGCTCAGGATTCCCGTTCCCCCAGTCGAGTGACGAGGCAAAGGCGAAAGCCAAAAAGGCACAACTGAAGCAGAAGCGGACACCAATGTACGCGGTGGCTCTCATCATCAGCCTGCCACCCGGCTTGCCTCAAACCGCCCCCGCCAGCGCGTCGCGGTCGGCCTTTCGCGGTTCGAGCTCCTACAACGAGCAACAGGACTCATTCCCATCATCCTACAACTCCGCGAGGCGGTCTGGCTGGGCGACGGTCGGGCCAAGCTTCGGCGGGTTTGAGGCTCTCGATGCCGGCTTCAGCATGGACTCGGAAGAGCGGATCGACGCCATCACGCGACACTGGGACGTCATCATGCGCAGCCTCACCTCTCTGCAGTCTACCGTCGCCACTGAGCTGTTTGCCCTGCTGAAGCAGGCGGACATCGCGTCACCGAACCCAGCACCAAGCTCGGTCAACAGCCATTTCCCCCGGGCGCCCTCGAACGCCAGCCAGAAACCGCCAAAAACAAACACCAAGTTCATCTCTCTTCTCCCAAATTGTCTAGCAAATGACAAGCTGGTCAAGGAGGAGGTAGACGCTGCCAGGGCTCGGATCGTGCTGGGTCTACGGGCCACCAGGGTCGTCACCGGTCAGAACCGATGGGGAATCTGGCGCGAAGAGGCTCGGTGGGTGGAGCGGTGGGCTGGCGGACGAGACCAAGGCTTCTTCTTCTTCAACCTGCTCACGGGATTCCTGTCGGTGCACACGGACTGGCTGCAGGCTTTGAGCCCTTCTAGATACCGCCGGCAGTTTTCCGCCCTGCAGAAGCTCAAGAGCGACGATGACCTTTCGCTTCCCGCGAGAACAATTGTGGTCTCGCAGGATCGCGTGGCTGCGCGAAGGCTCATATTTCTGCTTTCTGCTTTCTTGCCCGCCAACCAACAACTGTTGTCGATGCGGACGCAGAGGCCGCAGACCTCAGCTTCTTTCGGGGGCTTTTCACAGTCTCCTCCGTCATTCATCATTCCCCTTACGAAGGAGGAGTCCCTGCGTCGCAAGATCAACCGTCGCGGTGCCTCGAGGCATGCCTCGCACTCCCGCACCGCGAGTACATACACTACTAGTACGAAAGTCTCCGTGCCGGCCCACCTGGCCCACCTTAGCATGGATGGACAGCATGGGCGCCGGGCGTCAGATGCCGCGTCTATCAGAACGAGCCTGCCGCTCCAGGGAAGTGATACGGACAGTCGGAAGGCCAGCGCCGCCACAACGGCGACTGTCACGCAGGAGCACAGCACTATTATTCCGCATTTCGCGACCCAGAACTCAGAATCGCAGGCCTACGGTCACCCCGACAGCAGCATGGCAGCCGACGATCTGAAGCGTTCGCTAAAACGAGGGGACAGCATGGGTAGTTCTGACACCCAGACGAGCTCGCGCTGGAGCGTGATCAGTGGGCTCTGGAACACGCGGCGGAGGGAATCCTCTCTTAGCACGGCGCCGAATAGAGACTCGCCAGGCAGTCGGGACAGCATACCCGTGTCGCCAAGGAAGCCAGTCTCGAACCGAAGGAACTCCCTTGCAAAGATGGTGGAGGAAGCCGCTGCTCTGGATCCCATGTCGTCGCAGGCCAGGACCAGGAACTCCCCCAAAGAGAGGGACGCCGAGTCCCCAGAGACGCCAGACGCTGAACAGGGACCCGGGCAAAGGTCGCGCGCACCGATCCCGATGGAGAGGAAGCCGGATCCAAGCGGGGCCTTCGAGTCGCCGGTAAAGACCACGATCAACCCTGAGGACGGTGTCATCGACGTTGACGTACCGTTTCCGGACTTTATCGCTTCCTTCGAGACTGCCGTCAGCTCGCCGTCCAGCAGTGGCTACCTGTCAACGCCAGGCCTGAGCGGCCTCGAGTTGTTCGAGCAGGCATCCCGGGTCGCTTTTGACGGCGATGTGCCGATGAACGTGGCGGGTTGGCTCCAGCGGTACCATCCGGACTTCATACTGCAGGCGATCCCTCCCCAGAACGACCTCGTGGAGCAGGTGAAGGCGTCACTCCGGGCCGAGCCCACCCCATACCCAGCTGCGCTGGCCGACGGCAACGAGGAGAAGTGGGTGGATGTCAGCTCGGCGCTCATTGCAGACAGCACCGACTTCTCGATCCGGCGCGTACGATACCGGCGCCTGATCAAGCCCAGAAGCGGCGCCGAGAGGACAACGCCGCTGCTGTCCTCGTCTGTCAACACGATGAGCTCGACCAACATGACGCCATTGATCTCTCCTTATGAACACCACCTGCAGGAGGACTTTGTCGAGGAGCCAATCGTGACGTTGGACGACACCCTGATCGAGGCGGTGGAGCGGGTGATCGCCCACGGGAGCGACATGAGCAAGGACAGCTCGCAGTGCTCGTCACGGTCGACGAGCAAGAGGCGGGAGAGCTTTGCCGACCTGCTCGCCGCGGCGGCCGCGAGCACCACGGTGTCCAACACTGTCGGCTTGGCCCCCGAGGTCGAAGTGGCCCAGGGCAGCACCCAGCCGCGGAAGGGCTCGCCTCAGCAGGGCGAGGTGCCGCGGGGGGAGTGCAAGACCGTGGTGCTGTCCGCGCTGGAAAACATCGCCAGGGACGTGACGCAGAGGAAGAGCGAGAGGGAAGAGCTGGGGCGGGCCAGCAGCGGCGGCCCGCGCGGCAGGGAGAAGGAGAGCGTGCTGAGAGAGGCGGTGCGCTCGTGGGTTGAAGGCGTGGATGCTGGCATGGAAGCGAGCCAGTAGAGATGTGTGCATGAGGGCGCCGGACTGAGGGAGAGGAGGAAACACGCGGGCACCGACCCGGTGCTTGAGGAGGAGGGGAAAGCTGCGTGGATTGGTGTTTGAGGATGTTTTGATGATACCCAGAGGTCGAATGAGCATGAGCTATTCACCGTTGCATTTCGAGGAGGACGGTCATTATAGATGGATGTGTGTGTCAGCGTTGGGAGCAGCAGTCTGGCCATCTATCTATCTTTCTGAGAGACGGAGGGAGAACTCCGCAATGGTCTATGTATGGCAGGCACACATGCACATGTGCCCAACAACTAACTGGCTGTTCATATGATGACAGCATGGCCGCAGAACCAGAATAATATGATAAGAAAGTCCCTCAGCTGCAGCAGACTCGGTGATTGTGATGTGACATATCATGCACGGGCGGGACGGGCTGACGGGATGGATGGATGGCTGGCGCCGTGTGGATTGTCGGCCCGCACCCAAGGCTCCACCCGACGACACACACGGGCGGGCGGGTTAAACCCCGACCTCCGAGCCTTGCTTGATCTCTCACCCGGGCGGCGAATTCTCACCCGACGACGGCGGCCCTTCTCCACTAGCTTAACCAGGCAGGCATCGATTCACGAATTTTGAAGTTCCTTACTGAAGATCACCGCGATATTCCTGACTGGACAGAATTGCTGCTCTCGAGCTTGAGGCACGCGAGAATCTCACCCGCGCCACCTGCCGCACGTTCTCGCCTCGTCTCCCCAGGCCAAGCCGCCACCGCCGAGGCTCCGGACTGTTGAAGTATCGGCCGTCTGACGCCCACCTTGTGCCTTTCTGCACACACGTACATACACCAACCCTCATACATTCCTATGAGCAGGTGAACGGGCTGTTGATTGCCCATCTTTTACCACGTGCAGGTGACGGAGTGACTGAGGAACGGCTCTCATCGCACACCCACGTCACAAGCTATTTTTTTAAGATATCAGGATACATTTCCGGCAGGGTGTAGAGAAAGTGAGCGAGACAGATAGTGAGGGGGACTTCCCGGGAGATCGCCCATCATGCCTCGCCGGGGTGGTGTATTCGACGCACCCCAGCCAATCCTTCACCCAATAGCCTCACACGCGACATTTCACGACAGCACAGCAGCAGCTTCAGCATCAGCATCAGCACCACAGCCCTCGGCCTCGGAACCACAACAAACAAGCTGGAAGATCACACGGCCGGACCGGCCGCCCCCGGAGCAGCTCTCATTCTCGTACCTCCGCTCCCGGAAGCTAGAGCCCTACCTGCCGCCGCCCGTGGACGAGCAGCACACCTCGCCCTCAAACTCACACACGCTCGCCCTCAACTTTGCCCCGCCGGCCCAGCACCAGTATCAGCAGCAACAGCAGAACCAGCAGGCCCCCCACCATCAACACACGGCAGGGGAGGCGCACCACCAACAACAACAACTACTACTCCAGCAGCAGCAGCAGCAGCAGGCCTCATCCCCAGAGTCCCCGGCACCCTCAGCCCACGGGGAGGGAGGAGATCGCCACCACGGCCACGCAGCAGCAGCAGAGGGATCCGAAGGCGACGACGAAGAAGACGACGACCTCGACTGGAAGCCCCGCCCCTTCATAACCCTGACCTACGCGCAGTCCCTCGACTCGGCCATCGCCACGGCGCCCGGCGCGCGCACGGCGCTCTCGGGCCCGGCGACAAAGGCCATGACGCACTTCCTGCGCAGCCGGCACGACGCCATCCTCGTGGGCGTGGGCACCGCCGCCGCCGACGACCCGGGGCTCAACTGCCGGCTCGAGGTCGAGATGGGCGGGGGCCACCAGCCGCGGCCCGTGGTGCTGGACCCCCGGGCGCGGTGGGCCGTCTCGGACGGCAGCAGGGCCGTGGAGCTCGCGCGGGAGGGGAAGGGGCTCGGGCCGTGGGTCCTCGTCGCCGAGGGCGTCGTCCCCGACGCGGGGCGGGCGGCGGTGCTTGAGGCGGTCGGGGGGAGGTATATCGCTGTCGCGGGGGCGGGGAGGGCTGCCGAGCAGGGGGTGGCGAAGGGGGGAGGGGAGGAGGCGGACCAGGCGCGAGGGGAGGGGGTGGGCGGCGGCGGCGGCGGCGGCGGCGGCGTTGCCGGCCCGAGGCCGGTGATGACGTGGGACAACATCTTTGGCGTGCTGTGGGAGGAGGGCATCAACAGCGTCATGGTGGAAGGCGGGGCCGCCGTCATCAACGACCTGCTGCTGCTCGCCAACGAGGGGCTCGACGTGGTGGACTCGGTCATCGTCACGGTGGCCCCCGTGTGGCTGGGCGCCGGCGCCGTCACCGTCGCGCCCGAGAGGCCCGTCGACGCGCACATGCGCCGCGTCCCCGGGCCGAGGCTGACGGACGTCGTCTGGACCCAGATGGGCGACGACATGGTGCTCTGTGGGAGGATCATGCGGTAGTCTTTGTCTCTACAGCCAGCGTCGGTGTGGGTGGATGGGTGGATGGGTGGATGGATGGGACAGCGGAATGATTGATTGATGGACGCATGAGATGAAAGAAAAGAAACAAAGTTCAAATGGTATTGTCGCGTGTCATGGCTGCATGTCTATATAACCCTCTTCCAGGGGAGAGGGGTGCAGTCTATGCCGCCGCCGTCAATGCTGTCTATACTTGTGTTGTTGTTGTGGTCGGTCATTATCGTCGTCACGTCGTTCAGAGCCTCAGAAACGGGGCGCTGTTCCCTTTCCATGCAGCATATCTATCCCATCCCATCACAGCCGTCCCCTCCACCTGATCTCAAGCCACCGAAGAGGGAAATAACACAACCCCGTGACCACAAACGCCGACTCGAACCCAATGTCCCCCGTCTTCTCGGCAATCGGCCCCGTGTACCACGCCTCGGCCATCCCGGGGACCACCAGCCCGAAGCTGATGATGCTCGCCAGCAGCGCGGGTATCCCCGTGGGCAGCTCCCTCCCGACGTTCCAGATGGCGTGGTCGTACGAGGAGTAGTCCATCCGCCGGAAGACGACGAGCTCCATGATGAGCACGGCGTCGAAGCACCCGGCCCAGTACCCGATGAGGGCGAGGAAGTTCTCGAGGGACTCCTCCCAGGCGCGGGCGGCCTCGATGGAGCAGGGGATCATGACGGCGAAGGTGGCGACGATGAACAGGAAGCGGTGGATGCGCGCGAAGAAGGGCACGATCATCTGCAGGCACAGCGCCACCGAGTACATGGAGATGGCGATGTTGCCGATGACGCTCAGCGCCAGCAGGACCAGCACGAACTTGCCGAAGCCGCCCGCCGGCGCCAGCATCTCGGCCACGACGCCGCCGATGCCGAGGGACTCGTACGCCGCGGCCCACTCGGGCACGTTGGGCGTGGCGCCGCCTATCGCGGCGCCCAGGATCAGCAGCGGCACCGACGGCGTGAACATGCCCAGGTAGTAGCTGGCGAAGACGACGGGCTTGCGCACGGCGCGCGGGTCGTGGTAGATGGAGTAGTCGGACACGGTGCCGCCAAAGGTGAGGAAGTAGCCCGCGATGAGGCCGCCGTACGACAGGACCTGCTGCACCGTGGCGGGCGGCACGTCGGACTGCAGGCGCAGCTTGGACCCGCCGCAGCCGACGGCGATGACGATGGCGACGAGGTTGGGGATCCACGACCACGCGTTGAACACGTGCAGCGCGCGGTAGCCCATCAGCGAGGCGGCGAAGCTGACGAGGCAGACCACCACGATGCCCACGTTGTCGCTCACGGCCGACGGGTTGACGGCGGCCAGCGCCTGCCCGCCCACGATGGCCGCCACCAGCGAGAAGCCGATGATGGTCGCGGCGTTGAGGAGCAGCGGCACCGTGGCCAGGTACAGGCCGAACGAGTACCGCGCCTGCACCTGCTGCCGCAGCCCCGTCTGCGTGCCGCCGATCCCGAGGAAGGCCGGCGGGATCACGGTTATCACCGAGAAGAAGAGGATCACCAGCGCCGCGTCGCGGAGGGACATGCCGAACGAGATGGTCGCTAGCATGCCTGTTGGCAGCCTGGTGGGGATTCAAGGCGGGTTAGTGATCAGTCATGACTCATATATCTACATGGTCAATGTGAGTGTGGGAAGGGAAAGAAAAAAAAACAGGATTTGTATCATACGGTAGCAGGCACATGAGCGCCGTGAACATGACAGTGAACAGGTTATAGAAGCGCCCGTCCGTCCGCTTCTCGAGTGGGACAGGCTTGATGCCGTTCTCCTCGACGCCCACCTCCAGGATCCGCTGGTACCACCGGGGATGCTTCTCCGGGTGGCTCTCGTAGACCTCGCCGTCGTCCACCTTGAGCATCGACACCAGTTTCCCGTGCTTCTGGTACAGCTGGTGGTGATGGTGGTGGCCATGGTGCTGCTCCTCCGTTGTGCCGTGCTTCTCGGCGTCACCGGCGTCCACCGGGACGCGGGACACTACTGTCGACATTTTTGTTTTCTCTTCTTATATATTACTTTCTTCCTCTCTCCTCCTTTGCTGAGGGATTAGGAATCGAGTAGAGGGAAATAAAATAAGCAAGTGTGTGAGCAACACTTGAGTCACAAGAATGTGCAGTTGAGCCCATGGGCTTGAGGGCCCGTGTATGACAAACTAGATATGTAAGGTAGACAGGTAGATGGATAGATGTATGTGCGTGGTTGTGGGGCCGGTCCTTCCAGACCGGCGTGGCGAGTGCCCAGTGTCGAAATTTTCGGGTAGATCGTTTATAGCCCGTTGACAACACACACCGTGACCTACACACCTGCACACCTACACACCGCGGAAGGGCGGGCCTCGTGGATCAGGAAATCTGCCTTCAATCTGGCCAATGGTGCCTTATCCGCCAGCGCGGAACTGTGCTGGGCGTGTCCAGAAGCAGCAGACAAAAACGAGTCCAATGACTTTATGCATATGTAGGATTACATGCAGCAGTGTCAGAGACCCGTGTCTGACCAGCTAGTCTTCCTTCCACCCGCGGTAGCGCCAATCGGATATCGGGTTGCGGTACGGCAATGTGTCGAGGCGGATAGTGCTCGCCCGCCCCTGAAGTGATGTCGTAAGTCGGAGTGTGCGGCCGTGTCTCCTTATGGTCTTGTTGTTTGAAGATCGGTAAGAAAAAACATCAAGTCCTGAGGTGGTGGAGGTGTGACCTTTCGTAAGCAAGTAGTGGAAGCTTGATTCTGGATAAGCACGCAAGTGGAAGTGTATTTCAGTGTGGGCGCTCTGTCGAGCGGCCGCTTTCGCTGTCACCTCCGAAGGGGTGGAGAGTTCAAATATCACGAGCAGCAAATGGGAGAGGCCAAGACCATGGTTCCAGGGATAGGATGGGTAGAATGGGAATGCCAAGTTCCCCATGGGTTTCTTTAGGCTTCTCGGGCGAAAAAGAGTTGGCTTCGAGCATGGGGATCCGGGCCATTTAATAATCTGCTGTGTACTGTCGGTTTATCGTTCGCTAGGCCAAGAACGATATCAGCCACGTTAGTGTCGCAATGCCGCGACTCAACACAGACGTCTCCGAGTCGTGAAGTTTCCCGCTACCCAGTCAGCTGTATCGCCTCCCTGCCTCCCTGACGGATGCGTGGAATCTCCTCGACCTCTACTGGCCGAGAGACGGGCCAAGGGGAAGGCTAGCACCAAGACCTTTTATCGTCGGGTAACACCCTGATGAACACCAAGAGGCTTGTAGTCATTCATGCTTTGCTGGAACGGGCTGATGTCACTTGGGGTCCAAATAGCCGTTCCCAAATGGTCCGGAATGGTCCCCAAAACGGGTGCCGGGTCCAATTGGCTTTCACCGATCTGCCCATGGCGTCTTTGCATGTAGGGCCCAGCTGCAAACCTGGGGTTCGGCGGTGGGCGGTGACCGGGGCACGACTCGAAGTTTAAATTCGTTCTGCAGCTATTCTAGAAGGATGACAGGCAATTGGCGGGTGGCGAAAGACTGGGCGCGACTGTACGTCTGTCTCAGCCTACACAGTATCGCTTTTCGTGTGTGTCTCAAACTGATAACGTCCGGACCAACACCGTTGTGTGCCGTTGCACCGAATATGGTAGTATTAATGAATACATTGCAGCAAAGATACTGCGACTGAGCGTGGTTCGCATTGCACAATAAAATGCCGTAGGGGACCTTTCGCAGGAACCCTTGTGCGCATGCTCGTATCCTGGGTATGACCGAAACATATTACATATACTGCATGAATGCAGTGCGGACACTGCTCGATCCACCGACAGCCTGAACTAAGGGTCAGGCAGATTAATCCTCCAGCACGCTCGGCGGGCTGGATATGTTCGCGACGGGCGGGCTTTGACTTATACATGCCGAGAAGTCAAACAATTACCCGCTACGAATCCTTTTCCTGAGAAGTCTCGGTTTTATCGGTATCCTCCTCCTTCTTGTCAGTTGCTTCTTTGGGAGCGTCCTCCTCAGCTGAGACCAGGGTCTTCTCGTTGTGCTCCTCGGCCTGCTCCGTGGCAAAATCTTGCGTGTTTGTCGTTGAGAGATCGCCTGCGCTCTCGGTAGCTGCGGGTTCCTTGGGTTCACCAGGCGCGGCAGCCTCTTTCTCTTTCTCTTCGCCCTGGCCATTGCTTTGAGCCGCGTTATCTGCGCTTGCCGCATCATCGCCTTTGCTCGACGCCTCTTCCTTTTCCGCAAGGTCAGAAGGTTGTTCAGCCTGCGGGTCAGCTGCACAGGCGTCCTTCTCCGGTTCCGCCGTGGGCTCATCCTGAGGTCCAGTTGTCTCTTTCTCCTCACCGACCTTCTCATTCGGTCCCTCCATCATGCCATGCTCGACAATAACCGGTACTTCGGTCCCTTCAGATTCCTCCACCACAGTCTCCGGTGTGGAGATGCGCATTTCTCTCAGCCGGCCGGATACGTCTGCGCTGTCGTCCTCATCCGCCTCCATCACCGTCGTCACAGCGCTCCCTGTCGACGGGCTACTTCTTATGTGGCGCCGAGTATTAGTCCTGCCCGCTGGTAGAAAGTTGTCGTCGTCAGAATGCTGCTGGATCGTAGGCGTTTGAAGCTGGCCGTGCTCTTTCTTGGTTCCCCTGTCCGTAGACTCGGCAGCAGCCGCAGCGCTTTCGAGACCTTCCGCCTCAGGAGGCAGTTTGTAGTTCTCAGCCGGCAGTGTGTCGAACATGTCGCAGACAGTCTTGAAGAAGACATATAGACCAGTCTGTCCCTCCACAGACCAAAAAACACCCCTGTGCTGGAACCATGCGTGCGCAAAGATACGGTGAAGGCGCCGGAACACGTTGACCAAGTTCTTGAGGGCGGTGTTCCTGTCGTGTCCGGGGCCGTCGCCGCCAGACAAGGCCACAAAGCGCGATGGGAAGAGCTTCGGGTTCGTCACGACGTTGGCTGCCCAGTCAAGAGTGTGGCAGCAATAATCTATGGCGCAGCACGACTTGGGTTGCTCATGTACAGCGCACAGGAACTGCCATTCTGAGGCGCGCATCTCTGGGCACGTGTTGAAGCTGCAGGGAGGGGTGTCGAAGAGGAAGCCGACAATCAGGCTATTGCATTGTGCGACGAGGAACCGGCACAGCTCGTACAGCCACAGCGTCTTGTCCGTCGATGGTGGGGGAGTCGCAAGCAGGCTCGCTATCTCTCGGGTAATAGGGCGCGTGTTATTGGCGGTGTGGTAGTAGTGAAGGGCGGCGAGGTGCTCTTGGAGTTGGAAGGCGGAGTCAAGCTCGTTCAAGGGCACAAGCGGTGGGCCGGCGGCCATATCGGCGCTCTTAGTGCCAGGGTGTATGCGCCTCCTCGAGTTCGCGTTGAGGATTGTCTGCTCCATCTGTTGCGATTCTTGGTCTGCGGGCAAGCCTGGGGATTTGGGTCCGATCTGGATCTCGGCTGGGGGAGGAGGGCTGGGGAGACGGGGCGACATGGCTGCCATCTTGACGTGGCACCCGGCTGGGCGAGGACGCGACTGAGCAGGAGAAAGGTGGCTTAAAGAGCAACCAACGGCGACAAGCCCGTCGATGGGAAACAAGGCTTTGTTCTCTTGACTGTCCCTGACTTGAAATCCGCCGCGGTTGATGGGATCATGAACCGTCTGTAGTAGAGATGGGAGTTGTCAACTGTCAGAGGTGGGCTTCATAGATGCGAATGTCAAGTTGTTGTCGATCGAAGACAAGATGCAGACAGCCTGCGGCTCAAGCAAGCGAAGGGTGGGCCCAGCCAGGCCTTGTCGGAGCTTCGAGTTGCTCGAGTCTCACAACGCGGGAGCTCTGGCGCGCTGATTCGCCTTAGCTAAGCGCCCACGCCCCTGCAGCTTTATCGATAGTGCGCCGCGGGATGGCCAAGCTCTGGGCTATGATGGAGCTGGGCTGGCTGGCAGGCTGGGCCGCACTGTGGGGTTGGGTGACATAACATGACTGACAGTAGGCATTTTGTCACTGCCTGTCTTGGCTAGGTATTTGGCGTATTTATGCATGTCGAGAGCAGGGCGTTTGCAGAAACCCATTTATATCGGCCTGTCTCTTTCATAACCCATTCGCTCAACGGTGAACTTTTCTTGCACATTATTCGCCTGTCCCGATAATTTTTTTCACCCCTCTTTACACAGTCTACCATACATCATGGACTCGGATGACGAAGCACCACCTGACCTGGTTGAAACTGGACCCGATCTGGCAGACGAGGAGATCACTTCCAAAGTCCCCATAACAATAGTCACTGGTACTCTCTGATATACCAAGCCCTTTTCTCCGGCGTGTCAGCATAGGTTTGGGCTGACCACTGCGCCTGTAGGGTATTTGGGAGCGGGCAAGACAACCCTCTTGAACTACATATTGACGGCACAACATGGCAAGAAAATTGCTGTTATTATGAATGGTCTGAGACACCTACTGCGCTTGCATGCTGCCATTTTTGTATAGTATCAATCTGCTAACACACAGTATAGAATTCGGTGACTGTATGTGCTCACGACACTTGGTGCTGTTTGACTCATACTGATCTGTCGCTAGCACTGGATATCGAGAAGTCACTCACTGTCAACAAAGATGGCGAGTCGGTAGAGGAATGGCTAGAGGTTGGAAACGGCTGTATCTGCTGTTCGGTTAAGTGAGCCATACGTCATGGTGTAGAGACAAGAGAAGCCCCATCTTACATTGCGAGTAGGGACACCGGCGTCAATGCGATCGAGAGCTTGATGGCGAAGCAAGGAAAGTTTGATTACATCTTGCTCGAGACGACTGGTCTGGCAGATCCTGGGAACCTGGCCCCCCTATTCTGGGTCGACGAAGGACTCGCCAGCACAATCTATCTCGACGGCATCGTTACTCTGGTCGATGCCAAGAACATTCTCAAAAGCCTTGATGATCCCGCGGGCAAGGTCGACGGCCACGATGAAGGCGACCATCATGGCCCTGTCATGACGACCGCTCATGTCCAGATATCTCACGCCGACGTCATCGTCATCAACAAGACGGATCTCGTATCGGAGCAAGAGCTTCAAGCCGTCCAGGACAGGATCAGGTCCATCAACGGGCTGGCAAAACTGCATCTCACCAAGGAGAGCGCCGTGCCTCAGCTAAAGGGATTCCTGCTGGACCTCCATGCTTACGAGAACGTTGTGGAGTTGGACAATTCCAAAGGACACAGTCATCTAGATTCGGTCGGTTGCTCCATGCGCCCTTTCTCAGCAGCGTTGCTGCTGCATACATACTAAGATATCCCCTTGCAAATTGATGCTAATGCATTCTAGACGATCTCAACAATATCCATCCCGCTTCCGGTGCTCGATACAGAACAGGTGGGTAGGGTAGATGCGTGGCTCCGGTCGGTTCTCTGGGAAAACGTCTTGCCGGATGATAGTGACAAGCACAACGTCCCCTTCGAGATTCACCGTCTGAAAGGGCGCCTCGTTGTGCGAGACGGTGGGACAAAGATAATACAAGGTGTCAGGGAGCTGTTTGAGATATTCGAAGCCCCATCAGGGGGAGACCAAGGCAGCAAGGAGTCAGGCAAGATGGTGCTCATCGGCCGCCATGTAACCGACTTCAATTTCCAGAAGAGTCTCCTGGCAGCCATTGCCTAGCCAGGAAGATGAGGCTTCTGAACCTGATCTACAGTTTTTTTTTTAAAAAAAAATCAAAAATCGACGGTCCCAATGATGCTTGTTCTAGCTTGACAGTCCATTATTGCTAAGCATCTGGCACAACAGCAGACTTGTGAACGTGAAAAAAAAAAAAATCCAAAGTTGATCAATGAGGCACCTACCTATGTCATCTGCGGAGCCATCATTCAAACAGCTAGCGCATTAACAGCACCCCTGTTTCCCCAATCTAACGTCCTTTGAGGTGCCAGGCTGCCAGGGTGCTTTCCCATGGTGGGGGCCCACTGGATACCTGCTGGGGTACAGAGTGCGGTTTGAAGCGTCCGTGCACGCACCTGCATGGTCTGCGGCGGAATGCCTTTGCTGGAGTTCGTCCTGAGCGTCCTGGTAGAGCCAACCTCACCTGCACTCTACCGACACCTTGACCAAACTCACCGACCCCGCCAGACACAGCGCAATATCCAAACCGAGCCCCTCCGAGAATAAACCCACAGTGCGATACCCAAAGGTCCCCATTACCATACTAGCCAGTGGGAGGCAGTCAGGAAAGAGCTGGCAACCATGAATAGGACAGGTACGAATGACCGCGAACTGCCCTTGCACGCCCTCGATGCCGGTCCCTCTGTCCCAGGTGCCCAACAACCCCTGGGGCTCCTACCGATCCCAATCCAGGAGCATCATTCCCATGCGACACGGCTGCGATGCGCTCGAGACGGTCAGGAACGACCGCTGGTGGTCGGGGCTATCGAGAGACATCTGGCCTTGGTGTCTTAACCAGTTGCCAACCTTGCAATGTTCCGTGGCCTGTGGCTGGTTCCAAAGGGGCTATCTGCTGTTGAGCCTGGAACGCATGGACCATATACATGTTTCTCCAGATGTCCTGGTTCCCAGGCCGCGACTGCATCAGGCTGCGCATGACGTCGCATCCTATCGCATCATGCCACACTATGTGCACCGATGGTCAAACAGATAGCTAACAAAGGTTATATGGGCAGGTACAGTTCCTCAGTCTATGAGGGGGATGCCCGGCGGCTTTGGTGGCGGCCAGCAATCACAACACGCAGGAAGAGCTGGTGGAAACAGGTTACCAAATGGAAAGCTGGGTAAGGCACAAGGGCCCTCAGCTTGTGTGTCGCAGTGGTGCTGATGTCTACAGCAATACCAGTGAACAACTCGTCTGGATGGGCTTTTGGAGGAGTTGGTCCTATGAGCTCTGGTGGCATTCAAAATCCCACAAGGCAGCTGGGAGGCAATGCGACTTTTGCCCAAAGCTTGAGTGGCTCGACACCTGCCACACCACTGGACCTATCGTAGGTGCCACCCTCGCCCTCGTCTGCACCTTCACACCCTCACATCCTCGCACCCTCGCAACCCTCGCGCCCCACCGTCGTCACTCCTTTACTTGCAGTTCAAAGCTCTTTCCATTACTTTGTCGTGTGATTGGCCCGTCCCCGGGCTTTTGTTTTCCCCCTCGCACCATGGCAATCCCAACTTCCTCCAAACCAAAGCTGGTGCAGAAGTCCAAGTTGTCAGCTCCTCCACAAACACCAACAACAACCAGTCCGTCTCAGAAGATGTGGTCCCGCATTGTTTCTAGTGAGGCCAAGCAGACGTGGCCCCCCGTTATTTCTGGTGAGGCCAAGGAGACTTTGGCCACAACACCTAGTCCGTCTCGGAAGCTGCTGTGGTCCAGCGTTGTTTCTAGTGTGGCCAAGGAGACTCAGGCCAAGGAGACTCAGGCCAAAGAGACTCAGGCCAAGGAGACTCGGCCCAAGGAAACTGAGGCAAAAAAGATGTGGTCCCGCACTGTTTCTGTTGAGGCCAAGGAGACTCAGCCCAAGGAGACTGAGGCCAAGGAGAAGAACGTCCCAGAAGATAACGACGACTGGTCGCTGGTTGCTTCTGGAGAACTTGACGAAGGGTACCATGGACTTCCTCAAAGCCACCCCTCTCACCACAAACACACAAACATGCTCATGCACTCAATCCAGCACACACATACATGCAAAACAGGTCCCATCACCTCTACTGCTTTCCATCTTGCTCTCACCTCACACATGTGGTGACATGCAACAAAATATGCACTGTATTTAGCACAAGCAAGACTGACATTGATCACAGTGAATTCCCCCAACTGAGCAACAATGCCCCGTTCGCAGGTGCCTCCAACCAGGGCCTATGGGCGGGTCAAGCTGCCAGGAACCTCGGGGGACCAGGAAACGGCCCCAGGACTCCCGCTTCATCTATGCCTCAGGCGCAACAAGAAGACCTCTTCTCTCCTTCGTCTCGACTACCATCCAGTCAGACCTCGTTTCGATTTGGTAGCCAAGCTAGTATCGCTCAGCAGGCTCCACAAGCTCAGCCCAGTGGTGGTGACGAGTTTCCGCCGTTGAATAGGAACGGCAACGGCGAAATCGGTCAAGATCGAGTTGCGAGTCTCATGTCGAGCATGAATATGGGTTCTCAAGGACCAGTTGCATCCTCGTCGACACAGGCTAGAGGCTCTGGCAACGGGCTTCTTAATGCAGTCACCGCCAACACCCGTGCCTCTGAGGCCCGCTCACCCGTTGGTATGGTTGATCCCAGGCTTCTAGGTGTTCACTTGCGCGTCTCACTAAACTTACTACAGGTACTCGACCATCAGAAGGACGACCCTCGATCACTGAGGACGACGCGCGACAGAAATCCGCCTTTCGCGAGGATGGCGCTGCACCCCAACCGCCCATCCAGGATGGGGCTGGTCAATCTGCAGATGCCCGTAACCCGATTGGCGCTATTGGCAACGACGCGTCAAGCGGCAAAGGCGTCGAGGCTCCCACTGAAGCCTCGGCCTCCACAGCTCAGGACCCGCTTGCTGGCATGTCGGAAGCGGACAAATGGGGCATAAAGGGCCTGTTGACGATGATGGCAAAGTACCCATCGTACCACGCGCTAGTCCACGGTCTCAACCCTGCGGAGCTGGGTCTTGATCTGAGCAGTGACGCGTGAGTATCACCCGTCTCCTTGTAGGCAATGTCGTCGACTAACGCACCGTGACGGCAGTCGAATTACCGAGCAGACATTCTCGCTCACCAGTCACGAGCCCCCAAAGCCACCGCAGCCGAAGTTCAACCTTCCCGAGTGCTATACTGTTAGGAACACCCAGCCCATCGAGCAGAAAGTGGCGAACTTCACCGAGGAGACCCTTCTCTACATGTTCTACTCGAGCCCGCAGGACAGGCACCAATACCTGGCGGCACAGCAACTGTAAGCTCGCTTTTAGAGTCGGCCGTTGGTCATACTTGCTAATCTCGTGTCCAGGTACCAGCGAGGTTGGCGCTGGCATAAGGAGCTCCGTGCCTGGCTGACCAAGGACGTGGAGATGCAGCCGGTGGCGGTCAGCCCAGATGCTGAGCGAGGGTACTACGTGCTCTGGAACGCCGAGACTTGGGCGAGAGTGAGGGTAAGCCGTTCTTTCTGCATACGCGTTATGTTCCCTCACTGACTCCGTCGCAGCAAGAGCTGACCCTCTACTACGCGGATCTCGAGACCTTCCCCGAACTCCCTCCAGGTCCTCATTCTTAGGGACCAAAATGGCGACCTCAAGGTGTTCCCGGATCTTCCTCGAAGCCCTGAATGCCAAGCTCGACGGGCGAGGCTCGACATTTGACCTGCGACTTGCGACTTGCGACTTGCGACTTGCGACTTACATTGTTTCCAGTACTGTACCTATTTCTGCTTTCAGCTCGGTGCCGAATGAATGCGGCTCTAAAAAGGTACTCGTTTTGTCCAACTGGACATCTTTTCAAAATCAGGGATGAGGGCCGATGGATGATTTCATGTTTCGGTAACCCGCATTTGCAAAGGCGTATCTCGTAAGGGGCTACGATTGTGTCTTCGGAGGATTCCCAGGCTTGGACGATCAGGCTTCAGGGAATTGTGGTCTTGAAAATGCTTTTGCCAACGTGGTTTTCTGGCAAAAAATAATGAATTGGAGAGAGTACCTCTCATGGACATGAATGAAGTTGTAAACTGTCTCAACTGCCTGTCGATGTGGAACTTTTTGCGGGGATATGTGCTCGTAGGCTGTGTTGACTTGGGAGGGAGCTGCTGAGTCGTCCGCAAACCCGAACCCTGCCCCGTTATGACGGCAGGTTGAAAGAAGCCCCACAGAGCTTTAAGTAGGCATCTCCACCAAGCTGTCGGGCCCGAAAGCTGTTCTGACGGACCTGGCTCTCGCGCCATCTCGATCACCATCGCGGTCCCAGAATCCGTTGCCTCGAGCTCAGCATCCCCACTGGTAACGATATCACCGGCATATACTCACTAGCCCGCCAATAGTATTACACGACCCGGTGGGAACATTCCGCAGAGGGGCCAACGATTGCCATTCTGCTGCAACATCAGACCGAGCACCGATTCACCTGGGCCACGTGTGCACGAGCTGTAACCAGGAGAGCTCTCTTCGAAGGGGCGCACACGCAGCGATTCGACGTCCCGACTGAAACCTCCACTCCCTCCCCCCTTCCCCCTCCGACGTACGGAATTGTTCTCGAGGGTGTGTGTGGGTCGCAACGGGGCAAACCCCAAATACCAACAAGATGGCCAACGACCAGATCAACCTGCCGTCGCTGGTGGTAATACTGGTGCTGTCGGGTCTCATTGTGCGGTACCTGTTCTTCTCGTCGCCGGGGGGCGGCAACAACCAGCAGGGGCCGCGCGACTCGCTGTCGCAGATGAGGCAGCGCGAGGCGGCGGTCGAGAGGATCCAGCAGATGTTCCCGCAGGTGGACCGGAGGACCATCCTGTGGGACCTGCAGCGGAACGGGGGCAGCGTCGCGGCCACGACGGAGAAGATACTCTCCGGGAGGATGGAGACGGTACGTTGATTGAATTGCTACGTGATATCCCCTGGTCTGGATCCCTCAAGAATAACAATGACATATATATCTGACTTTTTGTTGTCCTGTTTTCCTCTCTAGCCGCCAATCACCTTCCAACCCCCGCCACCGCCGGGCTCTAACGGGGCCTCGTCGTCATCGTCATCGGCGACGGGCGCCCGGAAGGCGTCGGAGAAGCCGGCGCAGCCGAACCTGATCCAGAGGTACAACCTGGAGGACAAGGTCAAGCAGCAGCAAGAAGGGGGCGAGGCCGGGGCGTCGGGCGATGCCGCCGGTCAGAAGGCGTGGAGCAATAGCAAGGACGAACGGCAGTCACTGCTGCAGAAGAGGCGGGACGAGATGATCCTCGCGGCGAGGCGGAAGATGGAGGCCAAGATCGCGGCCGAGAAGGCCGCATCGGCCGGCGTGGCCCAGTGAAGGGGGCACAGTCGGCGGTTCAAACAGTGACGGGTCGTGGGGGATGCATGCATGGAGAGGGAAGGGATGGGCGGTATTTCTTGGTTCCCTAGAAGGGAAACGTCACGCATTGTACTACTCTGTTTCGCAGCGGCGAGGCGCAACGGTTACTCCTTCGGATCGACAAACAAGTTTGTAAAGGCGAATGGATTCTTCTATTACGGACGTTCGTTGTTCCCTTGGGGCATTCTGGATTTGGAATAAGGCTCATCATCATTATGTCTCTGTTGTGTGTATCACATAAGGGGCAAAGGGCGCGCAGGCCATGCCGAGATGCATTCCTGAGCACTCGTGTCTGCTCGGCTGTTGTCAAAGTCGCCTGGGCAACAGGCGGCCTTCTAGTCTGGACAGGACACAGCACCTAGAGCTTGTCAACAGAACTAAGACTAGTAGCAGGCATTATCCAGCCCAGTCGGTTCTGGTGGCTGGCAAGGACAATGAAAACGGAAGCCGGCCTTACGCAGAGCAGGTGGCCTGTGTTGGTGTGTGACCTAGTCCCGAGGCATCGTCAGACTCATGGAAAGTATCGTCATCAGGGTCTCAAAGCCCGAATTGAAGTCGTCCGAACGGGGGAGAGGACGGACCCACGTTGCTCCCTCCCCCTTGACCCGTCTGCCCGTCAGCCAGCCTGCGCGTCAGGGGATCCTTTGAGCCTCGCAGCCCAGCGGCCCGCCCAGAATACGATGGTGCCCCGCTATGATGCAGCAGCCGAGATAAGAGAGCATGGGTTAAATGGGTGCAGCAGTTAACAGGCTCAGAGTCACAGGGCAGCCAAGGACGGCGGGTGGATAAGCCCAAGAGGGATTACTTGCATTCCATCCCATGCCTGGTGGCCCCCCATTTTCACATGCTTCTGAACCTGAGCTTGCTCGACCTGGGCAGGGGTCTGGCTTGTAGACGTCTGACACCACAGTTCGATCCAGGGCAAAACAGAAGAGAAAATAGACTGGACAGGGAGAGAATGGGAAACCGAAGGGGAGGCAAAAAAAATCAAAAAAATCAGGAGCCTCCACGGACTGACACAAGCACCGGCTGACGGACACCAATCACAAGATCATGTCCTGGAGATTGTGCGGTCCCTCTCTTCATCACGCAACTGCAGACACTTCTACCTATCTATCTGATTCTGCACACGGGCACATGCAGGTGCACTGCACTTACACACTCATGTATCTCCGTACATGCCTGCTTGCTAATAAAGTCTGTCTAGGTTGGGGACTGCCCAGTCCATGCAGCAGCAGCTAGTGAGGCGCCTTCATCTCAACGGTTTTCTCTTGCCTCATCTCATCCCTCCGAATCCGTCCTCACTTTTTCTTATCTAGCCTCCCCTTCTACCTAACCCATATCCTATTCCGCCCTCTCTCCTCTCTGGTGATCCTTTCCTATGCCGTGTCACATGTTGGCTGGTATTACAAGACATCCTTAAGAGCTATCTGTCCATACTCGAGTTTATTCCGGCCTCTGACTGAAGCCAGGAGGCCCGTTCTCAACCCGGACAGTGACAATGCTGGGTCCGTCTTCCCAGCCATAGAGGTTACTTCCGCGCGGCGCCTCGCAGGTTCTCTTTTGCATAGCCGACAGACTCGGCCTAAACCCAACACTTTGTATATCTAGTATCGCCCTTGCGCGCTCTCGCAAGTGGCCATATGATGCATCAATTACAGCAACCTGTCATCGTCCAAGACAAGGACTCCCGTGACTTAGAGCACCCTCACCCTCGTCACCACCACCACCCGGAGCGGGCGGCATCCGCAGCCATCACCACCACCACGCACCAGCAACACCAACAACACCAGCACTACCGCTCCTCCCACAACTCCTTCCACCACCCAATGGCCTTCGAGTCCTCCCCCTCGGACCCGGAGACAAGCTCGCTGCTCACCCACCCGCCGTCCCTCTCGGACATCCTCGACAACCTGCCGTCCGCCGTCAAGAGCAGCCTGGGCCCGCTCAACACCATCCGCCGCTCCGTGAGCATCCGGAGCTGGGCCTCGTACTTTTACGAGATCTCGTCCAACACGATGGGCGTCGCCGCCTCGCACGAGGGTGCCACAGCAGCCCGCAGCACAACTGTCGTGTCTAGGACCACCAGCACCACCGCCGTCGAGATGCAGCAGCACAGCAACCGCGGCGAGAAGCGCGTCGCCGCCGCCCACTCGCAGGCGCAGGCGCAGAGGAGGATGGCCGAGCCGCCGCATTATGAGGAGGTAGATCAGAGCTTTGGGATCAACAGGTTCTGCGGCCTGCAGGGTAAGAGCCCGCCTCATCCCATCCTTAACCCCCCCCCCCCCCCACCACCCTCTCCACTCAACAACAGCGGGCCAAAAGTGCTGACTTCTCGTGCATAGGCCAGCTGCTGGTCAACAACTCTCTGTCAGACGGTAGGCCCTCGTCACTGCAGGGCCACGCCGCCGCGGGCAGGATCGACCGCAAGGCGTACGTCCAGGGCGTCGCCTGGCTGGTCCACGGGCTCCCGGACGACCTCGACAAGCACGAGCGGACGGAGTTGATAAGGGCCATGCCGCCGTCCCTGTGGGAGGAGGCGCACAGGACGCCGACGTCACGGCAGCCGGGGGCGCCGCCCTACCCATCATCATCATCCACGTCGTCCTCCTCGTCCTCATCATCAACAACAACACCACCACCACCATCAGGGTACGGCTACTACTACCTCGGGGCCAGCAGCGGGGCCATGGGCGAGGCCGGGTGGACCCTGGCCCAGAGGCTCCTGCACGCCGCGTGGCTGCAGCTGCTGGTCCCGCTGCACATGCTGTGGGCGTACGTCCTGGTGCTGCTGGGCCGCGCGGGCCGCCTCGAGCGCGAGTACAAGGTCACCGAGCAGGTCGTCAAGCACTCCGGGGAGCTGGGCTACGGCGTGGGCAAGGGCGGGGTGCGGCTGTCGGGCGTCATCTACAACCACGGCGGCGCGAGGGTCGGGCACCTCGTCACCAACGTCGTCGCGTACACGGCCGACGGCCTGGTCAAGGGGATCAGCGACGGGATACGGGAGGCGAGGTCGGAGAGGCACAGGTGTTGTGGGGGCGGGGGCGGTAGTGGGGAGGAATGTGGTGGTGGTGGTGGTGGTGGTGGTGGTGGTGGTGATTGAGATCCTCACCTCCTCTCTCCTCCGGTGTCATCTCCTTTTGGGGCATGCTGCTAGTTTTTTGTGGCGTTGGTTTTGCATAGAGGTCGGTGGGTTACAAGCCTTGCTATTTCGGTCGATCAGATTTTACTCCAGCGTAAATAGAATACCATACAAAAAGAAAAAGACCATTTTCTAGAGCGAAAGATTGTCGTGTGGCCCTCGGAAGTGTTCTTTGGAAGAAACTTGACCCCAGGTGTCCAATCAAAGTTAGAAATCTGGAACGGCTACATGCAAAGCTACGTTTTCACTTTTGGGTCTGATTCACAGTTAAATGCTCAACTCTTCCAATATATATACAGGCAATTCAAGCCTTGAAGTATTAATCTTTTACTTGACACTCTCAGACTCGCTGGACCGTGAGCATTGGAGAACTTGGTGCCACTCCGCCCTCAGGTACTGTGTTGCTTTGTGCATGTAGCTTTGGTATATTCTGTTTAATGATATGGGAGTCTTCAATGTTGCAGATTCGAATGATCTGGAGTTCTAGAAACATTACTGGCGGACATGAATACCTGGGAATCTAGCCAGAGGCAACCCTCCACTGAAGCCGTCCAACATCTGGTTCCGGTCTTCGTCTCGCCGGCCTTGCCCGGGATTAACTGATGGCGGAAAGGCAATGCTCCTGGCGACATACTTATCGATGTTTATTGTATTAGTCATTACTGCATGTTGGTGCAACCAACAGCATATATATGTTGACAAGGTTGAATTATCCCCGCATAACAAGAAGATCACGCCGCAAAACCCCAGTCGACTCTTCAATGCCAGTGCCAGGCTCGTCATATGGTACACCATGACAGCCTCCTTGGATCGCGTGCCGGTCGAGCTCCTTGAGCAAATCTCCTCTGGACTCAGTGGCCGTGATCTACTCAGTCTTTCCAAGACGTCCAAGCTTCTTTACTCAGAGGCTCACCTTTTGCTTTTTCGGCTTGTCAAGATAACATGGGACGTGGCAGGAAACCCCGAGGAGCCCTCCGAGTGTTACCCGGCTCCTGGAGCTCATTCTCAAGGAACCTGACTACGCCCGGTGCATCAGGAGGGTGGATATCAATATCAGCAGCCACTTGCACTTCCTGTGGCTTGCGAAGAAATGGGTTGAGCAGGGGATCCGATCACCGCTCAGTCTTGATGTCCAACAGGACGACAGCCTGGCCAGACTGGTCAGGAGTACCATCAGCGGGCCTCCACAAGCACAGTCGAGTTCCTGCTGAGGCAAACGCCTGGTCTCCGGTCTCTTGTCTACGACTGCACGAAGCCAACAACCCCAGGTGTCAACCTCGACTATTTACAGTCAGCACTTGGTCACGTCTGCGACACACTCAGACAACTGGTTGTCCGATACAGCCCAGATAACAGCCCATTGTTGGGACTCGCAAGAGCATCCGGTAGGGAGAACCTCCTCCAACTGGGCAATCTGTCCTGCCTGGAGGACCTTGAGATCTCCCTGGGGGTGTTGTATGGCACGACGGAGCCGCGGGATGCGCCCCCGCTCTCTGAGGTCTTACCCGCCAGCCTGAAGCGCCTGGCCATCAACGACAACCTCTGGCAGGGGCGATCGCTCACAGACAGTGAGTGGCGATTGGAGCCCAGCGGGACACTTTTGAAGGCCTTCTTTGGCGGCGGCGCCTGGAGAAGCGCCACCCCGCTGCTGGAGGAATTCGTGCTAGACCTGTGGAAGAACGGCGCGGTCAGGTCAGATGAGTACTGGGGTCGCAGGGCAATCCGGGACGAGCTGCAAAAAATGGTCAAAAGCCAGGGTGTACGGTGCTCGATTCTCTGGAATGATGATGCAGAACCGTATACTTTGGCCCATGTCCTAGAAGGAACGTCTCCATGGACGTCGAACTAATAGTAGACATGTGTTTTCAATTGTGACAGTAAATGTGCAGATGGATTGAATGCATTGCTGCTTGGGTGGCAGGTGGGTCGTCGAGGGGGACAGGGGTGGGGAGAATGGCAGGGGTCGTATCGCCTCGTAATCGATAACGACTTTTTCCGTCAGGTCCCTTGTACCCGCACCTGAACTTTCCCATATGTGCTTCTCATCCGCGCAAAACTTTCCTGCAGTTGGGATTCCTGGGACTGTCACCTCTCGCCACGGCCTTCCTGACCTCAATCAGTTTTTGTTTCTTGGACTTTGAGGGCTAGCTGCGTTCACAAGACAGCACACTTCCATCCCATCCCTTGCTCAACCCTGCCTTTCATTCCCAAGATGTTGAAGAGGCAGTTGCTGCGGCAGGCCCGAACATGTCGCGGCCTGCGCGCGTCTCCCTCCTCACTCTCGGGTCTGGTCTTCAGCGCCTCGCCCAAGCCATCCACTTCCTATAAGCCCGCCGTTCTTTCCACCTCAATCAGCCGCCAGATCATTTCGAGGAATTACTCAAGCGCCGCCGCCGCCGCCCAGCCCCAAGATGGCGGCAACCAGTCCGGTCTCGTCACCCGATTCGCCGACCTCGAGTCGCTCGGCGTCCACCCCAACATCATCAAGGCCATTGTCGATGACATGCGCTACGAATCCATGACAGATGTCCAGTCCATGAGCATAAACCCTGCCCTGCAAGGAAAAGACATGTAAGTACTGCCCCTACACGCTGATACCCCATGATGCATCTGCTGCGTCGCAACTCAGACTGACAACCGCCTTGCACAGTGTCGCCCAGGCCAGGACCGGTACTGGCAAGACCATTGGTTTCCTTGTCCCTACAATCCAGAGGATCATTGCGAGCGACCCCTCGCTCGGATCCCGTAGCTTTGACCGTGCCGACGCGACCAACGTCCGGGCCATCATCATCTCCCCCACAAGAGAGCTCGCAGAGCAGATCGGCGCCGAGGCCCAGAAGCTCTGCCGCCACACCGGTGTCAAGGTGCAGACCGCTGTCGGTGGGATGAACAAGCAGATGATGCTGCGCAGGACCAAGCACGAGGGCTGCCACCTGCTGGTCGGCACGCCCGGCCGGCTCATGGACCTGCTGAGCGACGAGTACAGCGGTATCGACGCACCCAACCTGGAGGCGCTGGTCCTGGACGAGGCCGACCGGATGCTGGACGTGGGTTTCGACAAGGAGCTGCAGCAGATCGTGCGCCTGCTGCCCGACCGCAGGCAAAAGTCCCGCCAGACCATGCTGTTCTCGGCCACCATCCCCAAGGACGTCGTGCAGATTGCGCGTGTCTACGTCGATGCCAACAAGTTCCAGTTCGTGCAGACCATCAAGGCCGACGAGGCTCCTACGCACGAGAGGGTCCCGCAGAACATCGTCCCCGTGGAAGGCTACGAGCACTTCGTCCCCACCATGCTGGAGATCATCGAGAGGGCACAGAACGGCGAGTACGGGTCTGACCCCGTCAAGGTCATGGCCTTCTTCAACAACACGGCCACTGTCAAGCTCATGGACGAGACATTCCAGTTCCTCAGCCGCTCCCTCAGATCCCTGCCACCCACTTACGCCATCCACTCGGGCCTCGATCAGAGGCAGCGGTCGAGAGTCGCCGATAACTTCAGGAAGGCCAAGTCCGCCATTCTCATCTCGTCAGACGTGACCGCCAGAGGAATGGACTTCCCAAATGTCACCCACGTCATCCAGTTCGGCGTGCCCCCGACCCGTGACCAGTACATCCACAGACTAGGCCGGACGGGGCGGGCGAACAAGTCAGGACAGGGCTGGATCATCATCAGGAAGGGCGAGATCCCAGAGGCGAGGCACAAGCTGCCCGGGCTCCCCATCAAGCGCCACGACGGCCTCGAGTGCGCCGCGTTCGACACCCGCAACGCACAGGAGGGCCAGGAGCCCAAGAACTTCAGCGAGGTCGCCCACGCCATGCGCCGCGTGCGCTTCGGCGTCATGAGGGAGGCGTACGAGAAGTACATCATCAGCGCCAGGGACACCACCCAGGACCAGATCGACGCGGTCAACCACTGGGTGACGACCCAGGGCGGCCGCCGGGAGCCACCCCCGGTCTCGACGAGGCTGATGAATGCCGTGCCCCGCCTGCGGCGGATGGACGGCATCACAGTCGAGGATGTGAGGGATAGGGACGAGGGCCGTGGAGGCTTCGGCGGCCGTGACGGCGGCAGGGGCGGCGGCCGCGGCGGGTTCGGCGGTCGTGGTGGTGGCGGCCGTGGCGGCCGCGGCGGCAGGGACAACAGCGACCCGTTCTCCCAGATGTCTGACCGGAGGATGGACGACCGTCCCGCGCGGAGGGAACGTGCCGCCTTCTAAGTAAGAAACAGGTTGAATGGAGGGTTTGGGGGGGACAAAAAGAGAGGGCAAACAACAACCCAAGCGCCAGGATGGACACCACCCCGGGAATTGTCCAAGCTCGCCACCACGGCCAGGCTGGTGCCGAGGCGTCTTGGGGGAGGGGCCGTGTTGGGACCGTTTTGTACAAAAACAAGAACACGACATGGACAGCAGGCTCACGCGACAGGAGTGAGTGGGTGCCTTCGGGTCATGATCACGAGATACCTTTGGGTTGGGATGTGTTATTATAAAAAGAGACAGCCACGATGTGTGTGTGCAGGCGCGGCCCATATCGGGTTGACGCCGGGCGGCCACGACACACATACGGTACACAACCGCCAACCCTTTCTTGCATCTTACCGGCGTTAGGCTGCCTTTGTCAGGGCTTCTTCTGGCCGGGGTTTATAGGGACACAAGCTAAAAAATCACAGAAATCTCCTCTTCCTCTTTTTTTTTTTTTTTTTTTACACTTTTGTGTTTTACTTCGCGATGTTGTTGGCCGGACTGGTTTTCACTGTATCACGAATCTAGGCTTGTGGGGGAGGGGCAAGGAAGAAATTTGGCGGCGCTCTCTCATAGAATGCTCTCGTAATCACGATTTTTCACCACAACTGTAACGCACCCCCCTCTTCCCCTTGCTCCAGCAAGCTAGCTATGTGTGTGTGTGTGTAAGTGTGTGTGTGTGTACGAGTGAACAATTGACCCGGTCGCCAAGTATTTCACCCGCTGCTTGCTTGCTTGCTTGCTGGCCACCTCAACGTGTGCGTTATGTGCGTGTGTGTGTGTGCATTCATCATTTCCCAAGTCCCCATCTAGTAGAGGATAGATGATATGATTCCCTTCCTCCATCTATCCTCTCTTCCCAACGTGCCGCGCCCTGCCCGCCTGCCTGCCCGCCCCTTGCTTTTCCCGAATCCCCTTCCTTCCCTTATGTGTGTTTGTGTGCAGCCAACACCAAAGAACACAACAAAAAAAGTTATTTTCTGCTTTCATGTCCTCATCCGTTTCAACGTCTGACCAAGATATCTTCGCTGATAAGATAAAAATAAGAATATGAGGTGTGGATGAAACGGTAGTGAGATAGATGATGATGATGATGATGATTCGAGGCGGGTAGATAGGTAATGGATGACAGTGGATGATGCAATATGAAAATAAAACAATAAGAAAAAAAGCCCAAGAGTTCGTCCACCACAGAGGGCAGGAGGGTATAAATTGGGCAGAGAGGAGGGCGCAAAGGAGGAAAACGAGAGATAAAGAGAGGCCAAGACAGAGAGATAGAGAGAGAGGGCAAGGAAATGATGGAAGGGAAATTAAAAGGGAAAAAAAATAAAAATAAAGCACAACGGCCATCCTCCGCCTTCCCATTCCACCATACCATATGCCCCTTTCCGACTTTCCCATATACACACTGAGAGACCTGGTAGTCTGTCTGTCTGATGAACATTCGGGCCGGGAACAAGAAAACACGCGTGCTGCCAGCCCTGCCGCGCACGCAAAGGGGGGGGATATCATCATTACACGGTGCGCCCCTCGGACCCCCTTCCCAATCCTTCCGAACCAAGAACCAAAAACCGTTGGGGCCGTACCAGCTTGTTCCAGTCGTTGTTGCAAATCTTGTATGGTCCTTTTCTTCTTTCCTCTTCCCCGTTCTTCTCGATACAGTATTCTGTCCATGGGCTTCTCGTCACCACCACCAGTGATCTGATCACAGCACGCCGTTGGACCCGGCTCCGCCCTGCTGGCCGCCAAAGAAGAACCCGTCGAAGAGGTCATACTGCTGCCCGTCGCTAAAGTCGTGGTGCAGGCCCTCCCAGCCGAGCCCGAACCCAAAGTCCCCGTTCTGGTTCTCCTCGACGCCGTCGGGCAGGTTGCCGTTGCCGTTGCCCGTGACCTGGTTCAGGAAGTCCATGCCCTGTAGGTCGCCAAAGTTGAGCTGCCGCGCGGGCGAGAAGCCGCCTGCCTGCTGCTGCTGCTGCTGTTGGTGTTGATGCGGCCCCTGCGACTGTGCCAGGAACGCCGCCATCTGAGCGGCTGTGGTAGCTGGCGGCAGCTGGGACATATTTGGCCGGCGTGCTGCGGAGCCGGTTGTGTTGGACGAGGGCGAGCCCACGCCTGGCGGCGTGCGCACCGCGGTCGGGGATGGCATCAACGACGGATCTATCGCGGAGGCGTCGGGGCTGTTTCCGGCCTCGGGTGCGGTGACGCTGCTGCGCGGCCCGCCCGGGACGGACCGCATCATCGAGAACCCGTCCGATTCCGCCTTGAGGTTCGGGAGTGAGTTCATTCGCTGCAGCGCAGACTGTATTGGCGGCAGGTGCGAGCTTGATGATGCGTTGGCGTAGGCATCCCCGATGCCTGGCAGGCCGTACTGCGATGCTGCCATGAGGCCGCGTTCACTGCCGCCTTGGTGGTGGGGATGTCTTTGACCTTTGGTAGAGGCCGTGTCGCTCCTGGCTGCCCAGTCACGCTGGTCCATGCTGTCTCTTGATCCTTGCCTTTTGTGGGGGAGGACCTGGGGACCGAACCCACCGGTGGAGTTGGCCATTCTGATGGTTGCCCGCGCAGTACGGTCAATTGCGTCACGGCATGCCTCAGCTGGGGGACACTTCTCGCTGAGGTCTGTGAAGACCGATGTTGCAGCGAGAATGGTGAAATCTACTTCATCCATTGTCTGTGCCATGTTGTCAGTAGGGCTTGCCTATGCATGATTCACAAGTAGTAGTAGTACTCACCAGACGGCTTCGCACGATTGGCGAGTGCCATATCGCGTACAGGTATGATATACCCGCCATGAATATGTGATGTGTGGCCAGGTAGGTGTAGTTGATGACACCGGCAATGTGTAATTGCCTGTACAGCCGCATGATCTTCTGCCCAGCCTCGGCAACCTTCAGGTATATTCTGTCCTCGTCTTCCCTAAGCTCGGCATTGTGAACATTGGGGCTGTTGACTTCCATCGACGTGTTGTACTCGCCCTCGAACATCGCAGGCACGCTGAGACTCTGTCTGTACAGCATGACCACGGCCTGCCAGTAGTTGAGGTCGAGGAACTCGGTGGAGAAACCGACACCCGTGCGCTGCTTTGTTGGCGCGGATTCTTTCCAGTGATATAACCTCTTGTCGATATCTATTCTCCATGCTCGGAAGGATTCGTACTTTGAGAGGAAGGGCGATGGGAGGCTGGTGTGCATGTAAGGGTTCTTGACGTTTTGACCTGAGGCCCTCGCGGCTTGGGCTTGCTGGTACTGTAAGACCTGCAGGATTTCTGACTGGAGCAGACGCAGGCGGAAGTAGTGGTGTGCGACGAGTTTGTATGTGGGCTGAGCGGCGAGATCTGGAGGGGGCTCCTTGAAGCCTTCGGGAGTGACGTAGACGTCTTCCAAAATGGACGGGAACTCGGTCGTGATGACCTGGTCCGAAATGCCAAACGGTCTGCCGACGCAGATACTCACTAAGCGGTCAAAGGAGTAGGTAGCCCACCAGAGACGCCTTCTTACATCCCGGATGAACTCTCTCCTGCCCCGCTCGCGCTGCTGTAACTCGTATTGGGGCCCCGAAACCTCCTTCAGGCCAGCATCGACGTCCTTGCCGTCCTCATAATGCAGACCAAGGTCGACTGCAAGCCTGACGGCAACACCGACAATGTACCACAAGCCTGGTGGAACAGGCCTAAGCAGTGCGAAGTTTGCCAGGAGCAGCACCGCTTGCAACTCCTCCAGCCCACCACCGCTGTTGTTCAGACAGGCCTCCAGGTGGACGATCGCGCTGGCGTGGTACTCCTCTGGCTGCGCTTGCCTCGAAGACATTTTCCCCTCGCCAGGCTTTGCCTGGCTGTTCTGCGTCTCGTTCTTGGCCATGGCTCCCATGATGATTCCACCACCGATGGCGAAGACCATGTTCAACATGTATAGCTCCTTGGGCCCGCGCTGGGGGTTCTCCGCGTAAGCCTGTTCGAACAGCCTCATGAACTCGACCTTGTGCAGGATAGGTATCTGTGGGTTCGCATGCTCGAAGTACAGGTTGACCAACGCCATGCCGACCTCTCTGTCCGGGAATGGTGCAGGGTGGATGGTTGGTTTTGTGTGCAGGCCGAAGAAGGAATCTCGCATAGTGGTACCAATCCCGGAATTGCCGTTTCCTCCCGTGGGCTTGTATGGGCGCACCCCGGCCTTGTCGGAAGTAGACTTGTTGTCATTGACTGACGACTGTACAGCGGCAAAGACGACACGCGCAAAAGATACACCGGAGGTAGACCCAAGATATCTCGGGTTTGCTGTGCCTTCCTTGCCGTGTGTGATATCGGACTTGGACACCAGCCTCTGCAGCCTGGCCTCGTCGCTTCTGTCACCAGCACCGCCGGCGGCGGTGATACTATCCATGGTGTCCGAAGGTGCGGGCGCCGCAGCCTCTGTTGGAGACCTCACAGATGCGGAGTCGACGCCCATGCGTGAGCAGTGTTCTAGGTCGTTGGCTGGAGGGAAGGGGATGTTATTTGCGCGTAGTAACGCCTCGAGCTGGTCCACCCGCGTCTCGAGATAGAAGACATAGCTGATTCACACAAGGTCAACCTCGGTGCCCCCCAGAATCCGGTGGCTGCTGGGAGGGAGAAGACGGGGATAAGCTCCTGGACCACTCACCTGCGAGGTATTTCCTTCTTTGTTATGGGGTCGTAGCCAACGCAGGCGACATTGGCCTTCTCGCAGCTCGCGCAGCTCGGCAGCTTCTGGTCGCACCTGTTCTTGCGGAGGCGGCAGCGGTTGCAGGCACTCACGTTCCGGAAGTTGCTGCTCTGGCCGACCTTTGCACTGGCGCTGCCGGCGAGGCTGCCATCGTGCTTGGAGCCGCCGCCGAGGCCGGCGCTGAGGGGCGGGCCGTCGCCGTGCTGCTCGCTGGTGGCCGGGGAGGGGCCCGAGGTGGCGACGTTGAGGGACGGGGGCGAGTCCTTTTCGGAGCGCCGCTCGGGCGAGGACTGCCTCAACCGCTTGGCTGGATGCATCTGCGGAGAAGGCAGGGAGTTCTCCGGCATCTTCTTCCGGCGCGAGGCGGGAGGGTTCCCCGGGTAATCAGCCGCGGGCGTAGCTGCTGCTGGTGATCGCTGCTGCTGCTGCTGCTGCTGCTGCTGCTTGGTCTCTCTGCTGGGGTGGCGGGCAGATAGCTCTCGACTCAAAAGCTAATTCCTGCTCCTCCTCTTTCGGCCGGCGTCCATTCCCCGTCACCGCCGGGCCTTGATTTTTTTCTGAACCTGGGAATCGGACCCGTGCTCAGGGTCGGGCTTCTCTCTGGCTTGGGCGAGGTTGAAGTCGAAATCGAAATCGAAGTCGAAGGGTTACGTAATGAGGGACTGGTCGGCTGGATGCAGGCCGAGGGAAGAAGACAGAGGATAGGTCAGTCGGCTCGTCTCGTCTGAGGTCGCGTCGTCCCGAGTGGCAGTGACAGGCAATGAATGACTGTGTGTGGCCTGTGTCTGTCCGGTGGACGAGGTGGCAAGGGAGCAGCAGCAGTGGTGGTGGTGGTGGTGGACTGGGCTGGCCTGTCCTTGTCCTTGTCCTGGCTTGCTCTTTGGGTGGCTGGTGATGGGCGGTTCGGAGGGCGGAGGGCGGTGGGCGGTGGTCGGTGGGCGGTGGTCGGTGGTAGGTGACGAATTGATTCTCAGGCGGGCACAATCAAGGCTGAACGGGCCATCATTTGCAGCTCCAATCCAGGGGCCCGGTTAGTAGGTTGGTTCAGGCGCCCAGATGTTGTTAACCCGGCGATAAGCTTGTGGCGTCTTGTCTCATCAGGAATTGGAACTCGAGCTGCCCCGGGCGGGTTCAGGCGGAGACGAGCAGGAACAGGCGAGATGAACTGAAGCCAACGACTCGACGGGATCAGCTTCTGGAATTTCTGGAAGGCTTCCGATGGGCCGCAACAGCTCGACTCCGCGACGAGGGTTGGGCGGGCACACAGAGGTTACACGAGTGGGAGGGTTGGTTGCTTGTTCGTCGTCGACGGGCGGTTGGTTGCGCAAGGCCGGGCAGGGCAGAGCAGAGCACCAGAGCAAGCACCAGAGCAGCCACAGCCAGGTAGGCAGGCACGAGGGCAGATAGAGAGAGACGATAGATAGATAGACAGACAGACTAGACTACGGATACCTACTACCACTGCAGGCCATAGTGGATCACTTCCAAGTTACAGGCAGACATATAGCACCACATCAATCGCAATAGCAAGCCGGAGGATTTGATTTGAGTTTTTTTTTTTTTTTTCTTCAACCATCTAAGATAAGATAAGATACAGTAGACTAGATGAGATGCTTGGGATCTGATCTGGGTTTGAAGTTTGGCGCGCACGCACTTGGTCCTAGCCTGGAACTAACTGATGGCGACCATATCGGCCTGACTGACTGACACACACGGCTAGCCGCGACGACAAATGCGAGATGGACAATAGCCTAGTACTATGTAGATGATTTGCATGCAATGCACAAAGGGAACAAGGGGCCCCAAAAGAGGGGAAGCAACCCCCATGTCATGACCCTTTGCCCGCGCCAGGGGCCAAGACGACACCCTCTTTTTCTGGCCTTCCTCCATCACATATCAGCACGTCCGACCCTCAAAAGATACAAGATAAGCAAATGGGCTTATACCTCATTGGCGCCCCAAAACCCGACCGCCTCGCTTGCCTCGTTTCCCACACTAGGCGTGCACACCACTTAGTACACGGACTACGCATGCAGCCTTGCTAGTGCTGGAGAGTCGGTCAGTCGCAAGGCCGCCGGGACTGGACTTCAGTAGCTGGGCAGATGTGGGAGGCGGCTTGTTGGTTGTTGCCGTTGACGACTTTCCCCTCTTCCCGTCGTTGCGGGAACCGACCGCTACTCACCTTGCCCGCACCGAGGCACCTTATTTAGCCTCCCCCAGCTCAGCCCAGCTTGCCCAGGTAGGGTGTGCGCCTAACTGGATGCAGCCTAGGCGCGCCTCTTCTGCACAGTAGTACATGTGCTGTCTGATTTGTTGGTACGGCCAGCGTACCCAGCAGTGGTCTAGCCAGACAGAGACTACCCAGGAATCGACTTACACATACAATAAAACTTATTAAAGTCACATGTAGATGCTACCGCATAACACGCTTCCCAACGTCACCTCACCCAAGCATAGCAACCTACCTATGTACGTAGCATGTCGGCATATCATATTCGATCGTGTCCCCATATATAACGCCCAGGCCCGACGCAGCCTTCTCACCGGTTCCTCCCCGAACCCACGCCCACGCGTCCGGGACGTCTCGCCCGCGCCAACAAGGTTCGGTCTGGACCAGTCCACCAGCCCACCGCCGGGGCGATGGGCTCGGGGAACTCTGCAGGGCTGGGTTCTCATTACACCACCACCCATGCCATGCCCATGTTTAGAAACAGCGACGACATCAATATCACCCAAGGCAAGAGCCGACTACCACCGCACAACCACCGTCCATTGTCGCCCGCTCTGCCTGACCGTCTAGACGTGCGGCGACTCCCTTCGTCAGGGGGGGGGACGGGGGACGAGGGACGGATGAACGCTACCGTAATGGCGACAGTACATGAGACTCACCTGCGATGTACTTACATACATACATACATACATATACACATATATACATACATGCATAGCATGTCTTGCTTTCTCCCCAGCAAGGCCAGGCCACCAGGCACGGCCCATGACGACACGACATGTGCCGGAATTACGATCCTTCGGGAAAATACCTACCCAGGCTCGCATCTGCACCACACAGGGGGGGTTTAACGCATGTAGACTCGGACCCGATCTTGCAACCGGCCGCCCGCCAACCTAATAAGCACCCAATCTGTATCTCTATCATGTCCCGAGGTCCCTGGGGTAGCTAGCTAGCCCTGACCTTCCTTCGCCTCACCTCACCTCGCCTCGCCCTGCCTCGCCTCATCTCTGTCCGCCCCCCAAACCCAACCCTATTATTTTTTCCCCTCCGTTTTGGTTTCGGTCTTCTCCCTTTCCGAGGTAACCTTGGAAGGAATCAAGTGTAATGTAGCCGCGGCCCTCTCCCAAGCTGACCACCGAAAAAACCCCAAATCCACCCCCGGCCGGGGGGGGATCAAAAACCAACAAAACAACCACCCAGGGCCGCGGGATCGCGTTTCAACACAAAAGCTTCTCGGCCTCTCACCCTGCGCTGGGCCTAGCTCCCAAACTCACACCACAGCCCACCCAGGCTGGCCGGGGCGGGGTGCAGATAGATATCCCAGGTTGATTATTGCATACATACATACTGTGGTATAGAAACGCCAGGGGAGGGGACAGGCGGAAGCAAAACCCCGATCCCACCTCCCTCCCTACCAGGCAGGCCAAGCTTACGGAGGGCCCGTGGGGTTTCTCCCTGTGCAGACGGCTTCAGGCCCTTGAAAGCTTCGAAACCATTTTTTTTATAAAAAAAAAACATGTATGCATGTACACATGTCGCCGGCGGAATGTGACGCTGAGTCGGCCCGGCTCAAAAAAGGCCCGCGCCCGCGTCCGCGTCCGCGTTATGCATAATGCGACACTTGTATGGAAGACTAGGTAGACAGGATACATAGACGGTATGCATAAGCGAAAGAGGTAATAGACACACGAAAAAAGTTTATCAAGAGGTATGCAATATCATTGGTAGGCGGATTTTAAAAAGAGTAATGCTTGGGAGATCCTCCTAGTGTCGGGGGCCCTGGTATCATGAACAATGACTTCTATGAAAACGGTAAGACGACATGCAGACTTTGGTGCGTCGAAAAAACAATGAAACCCAATATGCGTTTGCCATGAGGTGGGTGGGTGTTGGGAGGGAGGTGGTGGTGAAAGCAAAGGCCAGAAAAAAGTCATGGGTGAAAATGTGGAGGAAATGAAACCTGTCCATATCCAATGCCAAAAAAGAAGAAAAGAAATCTGTCTGCTGCTGCTGCTGTTTGCTACTGTCCGCGTAGCAAAAGTGTGTGAAGTCCATCTTCCCCCGTCCCATGTTTGTTCCCCCCCAGATCAAGTGTCCCATCCCAACCCGAATCCCCAATATCCCCCCGGTACCGAATTCCCACCCCCTCCAGAAACTAAAAAGAAATGACAAAAGACCCTGATTACTGGTTCCCAATCCCTCCCTCCTTGCACCCTAGCCATGTCCCATGTTGTCTGGCTGTGATGTCTGTTGTTTTTCCCCCTGGGCGCCGTGCTCGAAAATACAAAAATGGAAAAGGTGTGAAAAGGGCAAAACAAGAAAAAGAAAAGGATTCCGAAGAAAATACATCGTCTCGGGGGAAAAAAATAAAAGAAGTGATTCCCTGCTTTTCCCAATGTTGCCCCTAGTTTTTGTCTTTGCCCGAACAAGATCCCTTCTTGACCCATCCGAAAAATGAAAACGATCCGAATTTTTTTGTTGGTTGTGCGTGATCCGGTAAAAGCAGAAGTCCCTTGGGTCTCGCGCTCTGGCTGGTCAGAGAAGATAAGGGAAAGATGAGGGTCGGGTCCTCTTTCTCTTGGTGTTGGTGTGTCTGACAGGGGGTGGTGTGTGGTTCCGGCTAAAGCAGTATGGATGGGGAAGAAAAAGCAAGGCCGGCGATGAGGAATCTGAAAAGCTCATCTGGGGATCGGACCCGGCGAACCGTCTTGTTGTTGCTCCATTGCTCCGTCCTTCTGGGAAGGGGAAAAAAACCCATCAAAAAAATGTGAGAACTGATCGGGAAAAAGGACCAAATAAATGTGTTGAAAGAAAACACCTCGGGGCGCAAAGAAACCCCGTGGCTCCAGTCTACCGCTCCATTAAAACGCAAACCGTTTCGCCCCGTGGAAGACGAGGCAAAAAGTAAAAACAAAGGTTCGAAAAAGTAGAGAATTCGTGAGTCGGCATTAGTCTCGCAGGGGCTCTGCAGCTCCTGACCAGTCGTCGTGGGCGGTATTGCGGCTCGCCTTGCAAATTCCTCCCTGCCGGTTGAGAGAGAGGGAGTGTGTGTTTGTTGTGTGTTGGTTTGGTGGAGTGGGGTGGAGCAAGACAGCGCTACTACGCTCTCACAGGTCGGCCTGGCTGGCGCGGCGCACCATGTCGATGCTGAGCCGGCCGGGCACGACCTCGGGCTGCAGCTCGCTGGCGGCTGCCACGGTGGCAGCCTCGGTGGCCGCCTCCTCGTCCTCGTCGACCTTTTCAGCGTCCATGCGGCCTTTAGGCTCCGTGATCTGGAAGCTGAACAGGGCGCCTGCGATGGTCACAAGCCCGTTGCACCACCAAGCGAGGCCCGAGTACCCGGTCGAGAGGCCCACAGCGTACAGTGCGCCGGTGATTGTGGGGCCGAAGGCACGGCATAAGCTCGCCGTCGAAGCCGCCACTCCGTTGATCGTCCCCAGCGTCTGCAACGTCGGCGCCGAGTTCGTGAGCAGGATGGCGTTGCTGGGGTAGGCCATGGATGAGAACGTGCAGCGCCAGACCACTGCAATGTACACGCCCACCATGCGCAGGTTGTCGGGCAGGAGGACGAGGTATGGCGTGAAGAAGTATAGGAAGAAGTAGGTCATGGCGAGGAGTCGGAAGAGGTGGAGAGTGCCGATGCGCTTGACGACGAACGGGAAGAGGATGACGGTGGCGAAGAGCTGGTAGATACCCTGCACGGACAGGATGATGCCGATCGTTTTCTGGTCCATGTCGAAGCCGTCCACAAACTTGAACGGCAGGGAGATCGGCTGCGTTTCCTTCGGGGTGGGCGAGCTGAGGAACACGGGGAAAAGCTGGTCGAAGGCCATGGTGTGGCTAGAAAACATTGTTAGCTCGCAGAGAACACCCCAAGGTGGCTCCGGGATCACCTACAATGCCAGGATTCCGTAGGAAATGATGTTCATGATGACCGGCCTCGTGAAAGCCTCCCTGGCGGGAATGCGAGCCTTTTCCGCCCTCTCGGTTGACGATCGCAGGCGGTTGTCGACGTCGTCCGCGTCGAGCAGAGGTTGTGCCTCCATATCTGCAGCCGGTGTCGAGGAGAGCAGGGGCGAGTTCTCTGTCGTGCGGTAGTCGGGCAGGCCCTCATGGCCACTGAGCAGCGAAGAGGTCTCAGAAGCATCGTCGTCCTTCGTCACCTCGCGCTTCCGTGTGAAGCGGCGCGTGATGCACTTGCCCAGGGCAAGTCCCGGATCGTGGCGGCTCTTCTTGTCGGCGTGCGTCTCCTCGAGGAACAGGATTCCGATGATGACGCCAAAGACGCAGGTGGCCGCGCTGAAGAGGTTCGGTAGCAGGTAGGGGTATTTCTCCCAGATCGTTCCCGTCGCGAAGATGGATGGCATGTTGATGCAGGGTCGCGCGAGGTTTCCGCCAATCATCGGTCCGGCGATAGATCCTAGGCACCAGACCAGCGGCATAATCGTATACGCACGGGCTGCTCAATATCAGCTTGGAGTCCGCTCGTCAATGGCAAGCGGATTAAGATTTGTTGCCAACTTACGCTGATGTTCCTTGACAGTGACAAGCTCGGCCACGGTCGTCTGCAGGACCCCAATGTTGCTTCAGAGCGAGTCAGTCACTTGTTCCTAGGCACAGGGCGCGCTGGCTGAACTTACCCGTTCAACAGACCGCCCAGGGCCCTCGCGATGAGTGCCACCCAGATGTTGGGCGCAAATCCGAAGACCAGGACGCTGATCGCCGTGCCGGCCAGGCCGGTAAGAAGGACGGGCTTGCGTCCAATTTTGTCGCTCAGTCGTCCCCAGAGCATGCCCGTCGAGAACTCGGCGAACGTGAAAGCCGACGTCACCATTCCGGCGTAAAATGAAATGTCCTTCTCGTTGACGCCGAAATCTCGTACCATGTAGTAGATGTACGGAAATATCGACATGAACGCTATGGGCTCACAAATCCGGCACATGGCTGAATTCCCCTTGTCAGTACAGGCGGGCGAGCACAACTGCCCACGTCTCCGCGCTTAGAGACGGGCACAGGCTAGGCATTGAACGTACCGAGGACCAGCATTTGTTTGGAGGGAAAAGCAGGCTTGGGCTTCATGGCCCGTCGGCCTGGAATGTTGCGACGCATTGAGGCCATCTTTGCACTTCTCACTGCACTTCTGGGGGTTATTGGGTGTGGGTCATCCGTCAGGATGTTATTCTCAAGGGTGGCGTCTATCTCGAGATATCGGGGAGGGCGCCGGTGGAAGTGTGGACGCTACTGAGTGCCTGAACATATAATGTTTCTCAGAGCTCGGGGAGGTGCTAGTCCGCCTCGTCCGTAATAAACAGGGCGAGTCTGGTGTAACGGATAGGATCAATCACGAACACGGGTCGTGGGATAAGTGAGATGTGGTGGCTGTGGAGCCGCGGGTCTATGCAACAGGAAGCGGTTGTGGGTGATTCTAAATGCTCCAACACTGGCACGGGGTGATGCAATGCCAACACAGAACAGCGGGATTCAGGACGCTGTATGGTGGTTTTCGAACTTCGGACACACAAGAATTATGGGAGGGGGGTCATAGGAACAGAGTTAACGCAAGACGAGAGAAAGAGGCAGCGTAATAAGTATGCGGAGGGAGAGGGTCGAGATATGTATGACACAGGGGAGGGAGGCCGGGCGGCGGTACATAGTACATAGTACATCGTACCGTCAGACCCGACGAACAGGACAGGGATACGTAGCAGGAAACACTTTATTTTTTTCGGGAAATATTACAGAAGGAAATGAAACAGGCGGTGACTGAGAGGGCTCAGCATGACGGACAACGCGGCGAGCGATCATCCTCCCGGGGAACAGGCTTTACATTTGCGAGGCCTGGCACAGCCAGGGAGCCGGCAGGTTGGCGATGGGGGAACGCTCCGGGATGATGGACATTGACAGGGAAGGCTGGGACATGGCGTGGACACGGTGAGAGGGACTGTGAGCCGACAAGGGCAGAAAAAGCAGTGTGGATAGGGTGGGACCATTCCCATAGCCGTGGTTTCGTACCTGTTCAGCTCAATGAGCTTGTTCCCTGCCGACAGACAGGACAGGCAGACTGCTGCCATGCCATCCAGAGCACGGTACGGTACCAGTCCAGCACCAAGGCCGGATCCAGGATGGTCGCACATGGGCGTCGCCCAGAGCTCCATGACCTCCTCCGCGGGGGGGCGCGGGAGCGAAAGGTCGGACATTGGAGACGGACGCTGGCGCGCAAAGTACGTGCGTGCGTGCGTTGCGCCGTGCCGTTCTCAGGGAAAATTTGCGTTTTGCTGCCCTATGGTGGGACTGGACTTTGGATTGACTTTTGGGATGGGTGGGTCCATGTCGTTTCTAATCAAGAGGATCTGGATCCCCAAGAACCCTCTCCCCTGTCCAAAACGTGATGGAGGCTGCTGGGATACCCAGTCCGCCATCATCCCTTTCGCTGCATAACGCTACCAAGGTGACGTTGACGTTGACAGGGCCCCAGAAGGAGGTACCTCGAAAGTACCGGCCGTGACATTCACCGCCGCCAGGCATCACGGGACGGTTTGATGCATGTCAGTATGGAGAAGAGCCGGGCCGTGGCTACCCAACCCTCGAGCTGCGAGATGCCCATTCATCACGAGGCAGCTTCTAGCGCTGCTACTGTGGGCGCAGTCGCCCTGATTGGAATACTCTGCCATGCAAAATAAGTTTCCGATCCACTCCGATTTCATTAGTCCGCATTGTCAGCCCATCAACGAGTTGCTGCTTCATTTTTCTGTCTTTACTTCTGACCAGAGAAGTCACAGACCGGTGAGACTGTCCAACGGTCCACGGCAGCAGCACGCCTGGTTGGGGATAGGCGCGCATGCTGACATGACACGGCAACCACGGCTGGCCACGACCGGGCGGGCGAGGCGTGGAGTCAATCCCGTCCCCTCTTGGCCAGCGCCAGCAAACCGGAGCCGCAGAACTGCAAGGGTTCAAGGCCATTCAGTCAGAATGACTGACTTGGCTGGTGACGTGGACTGGCGGTGATACACACCTGGGCAGTAGCCTCGCAGGTATTGTCCTGCCACCGAACGGAACCAGGCGCTGTTGCGACGAGGGGAACAACTGCGCGGCGATCGACCCGGACATTGGCTTAAAGGGGACCGATAGGTGGGCGCAGGTACAGATGCGGATACGTAGGATGGGGGCTGCAGGTTGACAGCATCGCGCTAGTCTGATTTGTACTACAAGGCGTTGGCATGACACCTTGAAATGGTGAATGCCTCTGCCACACTGGGATTCCGCGACATACGGATATGAACGGATGCCCACAAGCAGGCAGTCCGGGACCCAGGACCAAGAAAAGCACGTACAGCTTCTCTGTACGTGCAGTACTGCGCATGTTGTCGCAGCGAGATGGCCACACAGCATCCTTCCCCTACCCAGTGGGCGGCATGAGGCTCATCTCTCGATCCTTCCCGGTAATAAAACCCTGTGTTCGTTGCCGCCGGGTTGTAGAAACCATCGCCCCGTCGAGGTGATGAGTCTGACAGGTGAGGTGGGCCCTGGCCTTACGAGTTAAAAGTGGACCTTGTTAGATGACCACTGCACTGAGACCAGGCTCAGACTTGGACAGGGGAGGGAGCAAGGTGAGCGAACGAAGCTGACCTGAGCCCGTACCCATTCGCATCTCGGTCAAGTCCTTGTCGGGTCCTCAGTCGCAAAGCGGTGAGCTAATGCGATGGTTAATGCGCCATGCGAGTGTGGCCAAGCGGAATCTTGCCCATCGTAGACGGAGCTTATTGAAGAAACGGACAAAAAGGCTATCGGGTGTATCGTTCCAATGGTCCGGTATGCTTCATCAGATGGGACTGAAGGGGGTCGTCGGAACACGGGGCATCGACATCATCGGGACGACCGCCTCAGCCCTGTCCACGTTTTGCATGCCGAACTTTAACCAGGGGCCCGGCTGGCTTCACCGAGCCTAGCAACCCGATGCCAGAATAGTCTCGATCAGTGTGCTCTTCCCGGTCCGGGATGGCCAAGGTGCAGATTGGAGCACATTGTGGTATCCTCTGTAAGATCCTCCGTGACCGGTGGAGACGATGGCCAGGTAGGGAGCAGCCATCATGCATATCGGATAGACAAATCGAGCCGATCTGATCCTTTTGCACAAGCACGACGATAACGCGGCAGGTACTCGTGTATCTTAGCTGCATACTGCCGCCCACGTCTGCAGTGCGATCTGGCGTCGTTTGCACCTGATGCCGAGCCGTCCTCCGTGCTCGCCGTAGTGCGCGGTGAGCCGCGAGGCCAGGTTGTACACCCAGGGAGGGTGAAGGGGTTGGTTCGCTACAGCATCCCCTGGGTCTTGCTCACGTCAGCCGGGCAGCGCTCTCGTCGAATCGCGTGCCGTGCCGTGCGCAGTTCGTGGCGTGATACCCCAGGCCTGCTACTCTCCATTATGAAGATCACTGGTTATCAGTGTGATTCCACGGGCGCACGACGCAGCAGTAGACAGCCGTTCCGACGAGAGTTTGAGGTGGTACGATGACGCCGAGTTGATGGAAATTGTATCCGAAGAGCTGCACCTGACCGGCGACCGCAGGTGCGCCCAGTGCTGTGAAAAGTTGCGCCGGCGGGCGCAAACCTGGCTGGTAAGCTCAGCTCAGAACCTAGAATGGCTCTTTGACGGGTCTTGCTCAATCAAGCTCAGCCGTGGGACTCGTGGGCCCGGCATTGTCTCAAAGCAGGATGGTTGTGCCCTCGGCTGGGGGGTCCGGCCGTTTGTGGCTTTGGACAGGCCCATGCGGGTCGCGGCCGGCGGCCATGGGGAGGCCCTTCGCCGCCCGTCGTCACCACACGTGTATGTAGTAGATCAAACGTATGTACTGTACAGCCGTTATATGCCAGTTATCACAGAGTCGCATCTGTATTCCGGCTTACTTAGCCGGCTGCGACAGCGTTGAACCATCGCGAGGTGGCCAATAGAGGCTTGGCAGCCCCTACACTACAACGGGCGAAACAGGATCCGCCGAGGCGGTCACAACCTCGTCCGACAGCTCCGTAGTTGATCTATCAAGGCCCGTGGTACATAAAAACCGGGTCGGAGAATCTTGTCAGCCTCGGAAACCTTGACCGAGGCGGATAGCACACGTATGCGGTGGCTGGTCGGGCAGCCGCCTGGTGTCCCCCTTCAGAATCTGGCCTGTTGCGCAGCTGCCTCCGTGGCCATGGCCCGGCAGGGAGCTCCGAGTCTGAGCGCCCACGAGCCAAATTGCAAGGGCGTACATGCACCACGCGGGACTCAGCACAGCCACGGCGGTAGGACGAGAAGGTGAGGCTGCGGCCATGCCGGCGACGATGAGAATCGACGTCAGATATTGATGAGCCGCATCGTGCCCGCAGCGGCTTGATTGGCGTCATCCAGACTCCCCAATTTACGAAGTGGGCTTGCTGCGCGCCCCGTCACGACGATGAGGGCACTGAATTCTGGGGAATCGGAGAAGCCGTTGGGCCCAGGAGGCTGTCAACTTCAACAAAGGCCACAGTGCTTGTGAGCACGGCAGGGGACCAGGTGAGCAGACCCGCCCGGAGAAGCCCCGGGGGCGAGAGAGCAGCGCAGGCCAGGCCAGGACACAGCGAAGCGAGAGGCATCCTGGGAGTCCTGGGCTCCTGGGACAGGGTGTGGGCTGGTGGGCTTGTGGGCTGGTGGGCTGGTGGGCAGTCTGGCAGGGCAGCTCACGTGTGTGGGCTCTGTGGAGCTGTTGTCGAGGTGGAGCGGCCCCAGGCTGGAAACAAAATGGAAGCAATGGAAGCTGTGGAACGCGTCGAAGGATTCTTTGGGGGCTGGTCCCTGCACGCCTGCACGCAGCCATATGGCTCGGGCGGAGATGAGGACTCGTGTCTCAATCTTTTTTTGATCTCTCTCCCAGAGTTAGATTTCAGGGTGGAGGAGGTGGCCCTCTGCGCGAGCAGACCCGTTGTGAGCATGACAGCAACGGCCGTCCAGCCCGTTGCGGACCACGTCTCGCCCGAGAAGAGGGTTGCTGCTTGCTCGATTGGCTGCCTTGGCTGCCTTGGTTGCCTTGGTTGCCTTGGATGCGTGTCCCGTCTCGGGCATTGGGGCCACTCTGGATGAGGTTCGCCGGACGACAGCGCCTGGGATGGAGTCGGGATTGATGAGCGGTCAGACAGCCTCAGTTTTCTTTCTCGGGGCGCCGGGAGTGAAAATGAAGCATCACGGGCCGGATGATGTCAGTCAGGCTGCGGCCAGCCAGGTGGAGGGGAGCTCGTTGTTGGCAGACAGGCTGACAGGTTGGGAGGACGAAAAGGAGGACCCCCAACAAGGAGCCGGCGTCACAGGAGGGCTCACAAATGGCGGTGTTGGAAAGGCAATTCAGAATCAATCAATCAGGGCTCGAAACTTGTCCCTGGGCCATGGGGAGACCCCTGCCGCCACTCGAGACAAGCGCCCTCCCCGTGCAGCGCCTTCCATGCTCGCTGGTTGGCTCAGGGAAGGTCTTTGTCAGGCGACTGCCGGAGCCCGGAAGAGAAGCCGAAGGAGCAACGGCGCTTGCGGTGGGAGTGGGATGGGAAGGTACTTGGCAGGTACCGCCTTCCTCTGGCCCTCCGGTCACCGTCTAGTCCACACCTAGCCTGGCCAGCCCGCACCTGGTCACCTTGATTGAACCTTTGCATCCTTGTGAACCTTGTCGCACCCTGCAAGGGAAAAGGGCCCCATAAGGTTTGCCTGTGGTTCCCCGAGCTGATTTCCAGGGCCCAACGTTATGCCCACGGCGGCTGGGCGGCCAGGGCGATAAGGCTGGCTTTTGGTTTCGTGGGTAGGTAATTTTCCTCCTCCTCGTGTTATTTGCGGGACGGCCACCCGGCCTGGCAACCTGGCAACCTGGCAACCTGGCTCGATCGATGCAATGCGATGCGATGCGATGCGTTCGATGGCTGCCCTGTCATGTACTTTTACCACGTGTAGCTGTGTATGAATGAAGGTACGTACCGCACCACACCGTACCGTGCCACACCGTCCCTGACCACACCGTACCAACAGCCATACGCCGCCACCTCAACGTCGACAGAAAGACAAATTACGATTTGCTCGTTGCATCCGGGGGCCTGCCACACTTCCACGCTTCCACGCTTCCACGGCCGCCAGAAGTCACCGCCAGTGCCCAATCTGCGGCGGGACACGGCCGACCCAGCCTTGCCTTCGTTATCCCTGGACAGGTACCCCTCCTCGGTTATGTCGACCGGCCGCATCATGTCATGTGGTGGTGCCTGGGCGGCTGGGTTGCTTGATGCCAGATCAACTCGCAGCCTAGCGAAAAGCTTGCTTCTGCCGCACACGCAGCACAAGCACGGCGTCCGGTCGCCGCATGCGATGCATCGTACGACTGACCAGAAAAGCTCCAAAGTTTCGCTGTAGGAGCGAGCCAGACAACCAGAGTGCGTGCGGCCAAGAACCAGGCCGGAGGGGCGGAACAGACCCATCTCTAGCTTTTTGCGGCCACGATGGCGACCGTGGAAACTCAAGCCACGCGCCTCTT